ACGTTGCGGTGGTCCCGCTTCTTGGCCTCCTCCATGCGGTGCTGGTACTCCTTCAGCTCCTTCTCGTCAGGGAAGGTGATGGCATATACTCGCTGCACGGAACACGCACCAGTGTCGAGCGGGCAAGGCGATGGCAGCAGTTGGTATAGGCAGCGCCGCGCCATGGGGGAGAGCAAGGGGCCGGCAGGAAGTTGCGAGGCGGCGGCGCTGAGGGCCCTCTGTGACCAGTGTGGCAGCAGCTCGCCAGGCAGGTGCAAGGGCGTCAATGCCCTCCTCGCGCCACACCCTAGCAGCCAGGCTCACCTGCAGCGGCTCGCGGTTGACGTCGGCACGCTAGAACGCGCGCGACATGGAGGTGACGCCCACCGCCTTGAGCAGGCCGGTGTTGGGGACGTGCGGGCCGTGGCACAGGTCCACCATGGGGCCGACCTTGTAAAGCGAGATGACGGCGTCTGCCGGCAGGTCGCTGATGATCTCCACCTTGAACTTGTTCTCCTCAAACATCGACAGCGCCTCCTCCCTGCTTACCACCACACGCTCAAACACCTGCCGCTCCTTGATGGTCTGCAACACAAAGTTTGAAACACGCACCAATGCGGGGGTGGCATGGCGGCGAGGGTCAGCTGCGCCGGCGCTGCACGCCCTAGCAGCCTGGCTGCCCTGCTACGACACACAGCCGCACCCCCCCCTGCCACCCCCCCCCCCGGGCCGCCGCGCCCCCCCCCCCCGGAACCCCGCCCGCCCCTGCTGCATGCGCTTGGGTAAGCGGCCCTTTCTGGGGTTCCTTCACCTCTTTGTCCCCCAGGAGCAATCCATATAGAAACCCTCTTCCCGAACGGGGCCCAATGGCCGGTTGGGCGCCAAACTCAGCCTCCAACCCTGGCCGAACCAGTGGGGGCCTGAGTTGCCAAAGGGTTTGGCAATGGGGGCGGGGGCGGGCAGGCAAGGCAAGGAGGGGCGGGCAGCAGGCAGGAGGCCCGCCGTTGTCCAAACGGCGGCAATGCCAGAGGGGGGAGTGAGCTGAGCCCCCCTCAGCCGCATGGATGGCAGGACTCCAGCAGCTCTTGAGTGGGCGGGGGTGGAGAACCACCATCGGGAGGTGGGGCGCCAGCATCGGAAGACCCAGCATGGGACTTGGCACCCCCCCCGGCCTGCTGCCCAAATGGTACCAACCCTGCCTGCCAACCTTCCCTGGGTGGGCCTGGACCTGCCCCGCCCGTTTCTGCGCCACCTCCTTGCCCTCTGCGTCTTCAAAGGATAGAAGCTGCAGCGCGCAGTCGCCTTCCAGCGGGCGCAGCAAGTCCCACACGCAGCCGTCCACTTTGGCCACCACGCACTTCTTGGCCAGCCCCTTGGAGATCTGGTTGGCGACTTCCATGGGCGTGGTAACTCCCTTCACCCCTGCCTTCTCTGCAAGCGGGTTGCAGGGCGGGCGCCTGGTTGGAGGCGGCGGAGGCGGCGGGCAACCCACATGCAGCGGCCACACAGCACATGCCGTGCCGGAGCTGGAGGCCCACGCCCCCACCCCACACCCGCAGCAGCTCACCCCCGCCGTCGGGCAGCAGGACTTTGATGGGGATGTTGGCGGCCTTGGCCGCCTCCACCGCTTCCTCATGCCGCTTCCTGTACGTGTTGAACAGCTCAACTCGGCGCTGGAAGTACGGCTGGGCCTGCTGGAGACGGTCGGCGAAGTCCGCCTCCCCGTTCACATCCAAGCCCTGCATGGCCGCGGCTGCTGCTTCCGCCATTGCGCTGTGCCACAGCGTCGATAGAATTGAGCTGCAGCAGGGATGCATGCAGCTGCATCAATCGTGTGCGTTCCATTGAAAACATTCTTTTCGATTGCAACTTTCGCTTTTTTGGTGCTGTGCGTTCCTGTGCCGCCCATCGATACAATGCTGCTGCTGCCCAGGGCAGCGTGCACGCTTCCGACAGCGCCGCGCAGCAGGGCGACCTGGTGGGCAGCGCCTAGGAGGCATGCAGTCCCGGTATACGCAGCAGCAGGAAGGGTGCGCCAAGCCGTGGCCACCCCCCCTGCGCAAGCAGAGCCATCACCCAGGTGGGCAAAGAGCTGGCTTTGGCGGGTTGCGCCTTCTGCACGGACATGGGTGGATCAAGGATGTTGCGATGCCAGCGGCGCGCTGAGCGGAGATCGAGTGCCAGCAGTTGGGTCCAGCGGCGCGCCGCCAAACGGCAGCGACGCAGCTCATCGTGCTTTGACGTAGCACAAATGATTCCCCATTCGGCATGAACTTGCCGCTGCTGCTGCTGCAGGGTGCATGCGTTAATGGTTGTCGCCGCAGCTGGTGTGGCAGCAGCGGCGGCCGTGGCCTGGCAGCGGTTCAGCAGCAAGCGCAACAGCGCAGCAGCACAAGAGTATACCGGAATGGTGGGCCTGGTGCGCCCCGCACAGGTGGGTGGCATGGCATGCCAGAGAATGTTGTAGGCGAGCAGCCTTGTGTGCTTCGTTTGCAGTCCAGGGCTGCAATTGCTGCTTGTTTGCAGAGCGCGGCCACGTCGGAGCTGGATCCAGAGTACCGAATGGCGCTGGCACGCACACGGCAAGCCACCGCCATCCACCGAGCCATCGGCTTCTTAAACACAGGCTCGCGTGCACGGTGGGTGCGGCTGTTGCGAGGGGGGCACAGCCACTCTGCAGCCACATGTAACGCGCTGTTGCCGGAGTTGTGCAAGACAGGCAGGGCACTTCAATGGCGGGCCGCCCAGCGGGCTGCCCATCTGTTTTGCAGGGCGCATGTGGAAGTGCGGCGTGCGCTGCACCAAAACAGCTTGTGCCGGGCGCCGCTGCTCAGCACGCAGCATTCCAAGGCAGACTTGTGCGAGTTGTACCGGCTGCACCTGCAGCAAGCCGAGGTGCCAGCCGACTTTGGCACTCTGCTGCAGCTCAGAGCGCTGCTGGACATGGACTTTGAGGAGGCAGAGACGATCGAACGAGAGGTTGCCGAGCAAAACGCCTTCTCCATCTGAGCAGGCCTTGTGGCAACTCACACAACTGTCTGCATTCAGTTGAGTTATGCACTGTGTATATTACATTGCTTCTGAACCCATCCCATCCTACATCAAGTGGACCTGAGGCATGGGCAGCAGGTTCCTTGGCATACATGTAAATCGGGCGCCGCTGAGTTGGCGTCACGCCAATTGAATGTGCATGGGTGATGCTCTCAGACCTTTCCTGCTCAGATTGTGTACACAGCCGCCAGCACGGTTGCTGCCGCGCTGCCGCCCAGCAGCAGCTTGCTGCTGGCCTCGACTGCGGGGACCTCCAGCGGAGAGTCCTTGTCTGCCTGGTTGCCATACTTGGCATGGTCCCAGTAGAGGTGGCGCACACCAGCCAGGTAGTGATACACCTGCACAAGATGCCAGCGACTGGCAAACATCAGTCGACTGGCACACCATGCTCATGCTGCAGCGCAGCTGCTAGTACTGCAAATCTGGCCAAGAAGAGGCAGTGATGGTGCGCTTACCAGCGGGAAGGCCACGGCGGCCTTGGCAGGGAAGACTAGCAGGGGCGCGGCATCCTTGAATGCGGCAATGGCAGCGCCCAGGTCGCCCGTCAGTGCGATGTAGGCAGCAGCGCCAGTGCCTGCGCAGCAGTGGTGGCAAACGCAGCACCAGTGATGGTGCCCCCCGATCAAATTTCAGCAAAGGACAAGCCGGCAGCGCCACCCACCAACGGAAAGCATGCAGCCGGTGGCGCGGTTGGTGATAGAGGAGATGGCGCCCAGGGGGAACTTGTAGTGCGGCTGTCGGCCATCAATCTCAAACACGTGCGGTGACACAGGGCGCTTGGCGACAAGCTGAAGGCCACGGCAAACATGGCGAGGGTAGGGGAAGCTGACGTCACTCGGTGGGGGCAACCACAGTCGCACTCAACATGAAGCACACTGACAGCTTGTTGCACATCTTGGTGCAGGATCCTCTCAACCGGGGTGGGGGGTTGTGGGGGGTGGCACACCAGCCAGTAAAACCGCACACCCGCACCTCAAGGTGGTTGGGCGGCGTGCCTAGAAACTCGGTGCCGCCATGGTATGGGGAGTCGCGTCCCCAGTACTCTGGGACTCCTGATCCATGATGCCTGTTGTCATGGACCAGCATAGGTTCTGAAAAACTCAGCGACCTGAATGACGCCCAAAGCAAGGCAGCGGCGGTGGCGGGCTGCAGGAGGGCCCTCCGCAACGCGCGGCGCAGACCCAACCGGCATGCACGGTCGTAACAGGCACCATCTGAGCCCGGGAGCAGGCAGTCGGCTTGGGTTGGGGTCTCATGAGTACCTGCACTGCTGGAAGAGCGCCAGAGGGCCGCTGCGCTGCAGGGAGACCTCCGCCACGGAGGCCATGATCGCCAAGCCGCGGGCCTGCGCCATGCTGGACAGGCAGGAGAAGGGTGGGACAGAACCCGGCAGACCAAGGGCGTGGAAGGCCTCGAGACGTTGAGAGACCCGCTGTGTGCGACCCCCGGCTGCCAAGAAGAACGCAAAATAAGAAGAAGAAGATGTGACCAAACACGGGTGACTCAGGGGGAGAAACGGTGGCAATAATCAAGGGACCACAGGCCTTCCAAGCTCATCCATCAAGGGACCACAGATGCACATGTTGGCGGGCTTGGCTGGCGGCAGCTGGAGCCCCGTAACAAGATGCGGCCTCACTTGATGAACGTTGCGCTTGCTGGCATACTTGATATGCGTGCCTAAACTCCACATTGTCGAAAGCAGAGAGGCAAGGCATACCGACAGCTCAAGCTGCTCCTGGCCCCGACTTTAGAGGCTGCGTCTCGTCAGTGCCGCCACCAGTTGGCTGCGAGGCTGCCCTCGCTTTGATAGCGTGCAATTTGCAGTGGCTGTATGCTCCAAATCCGACGATGGCCAGAACGCAGCCGGTGACCATCTTGGGGGTGAACATGTCGCTCTCGCCCAGCAGCATGGCGGACAGCACCAGCAGGCAGATGATCTTGAACTCCTGCACAGCACAGTCATTTTAATCAGCACAATAGAGCGCGCCAGAACAGAAAAAAGCGCAAAATGTGTCGCAAGCAACGTACGCACCCCAATGACAGTAGTCGCCACCGCGCTGACTTTCTTTATCATGTAGGCATGGGCAATGTTGTAGCAGACGGCATTGCAGGATGAGACCAGCATGATGAGCGAGGCTCCTCTGCTGTTCAATGGCCAGTAGGCGAGAAACCGTTCCCGCTGAAAACAAAGAAAACATTTGGTTATTATTCAGTTTTTTGTTAACATTTTGCATGTTGGCTTACAAACCCACCTCAAACACCCAGAAGAACGGGGCCAGGAAAACCAAACTGACGGGTGCCACATAAAAGGTCAGCCGCACCACATCCAGCTTTTCACTGCAACAAGCATGGGAACAATTGCTTTCAGACCGTCCAGCAAACAATGTGCAATGAACGCCTTTCTCGACCTAATCACCTCATCAATTTACTCGCAAATGTCATCATCAAGCCGTTGCACACAGTAGCCCCAATAGAGAAAAATATGGCGTACGGCTCGCCAGTCACCGTGCCCTGCCAGACCGCCAGCATGACGCCCAGGCTGAGCACCACCAGTGACACCGCTTCTTGCCGCGTGGGATACTTGGATTCCACAAGGATGGCCAGGACGCAGGCCACCACGGGGATGGCCGACCTGTCGGTGTCAAACGATTTTTTTTTGGCTTACGTAAAGGAATGGCAGGCACGTCACTGCTGACACAGCCGACTGGCTGACCAGAAACAGCGGACTGGCTGACCAGACACAGCCAAACCAGGCAGGCACCTGATGATTTGGTTGAGGGACAGCGAGATGTCGAGCAGGCTGATGTTGTTGAGCGCGATGTTCAGGGCCATGAAGGCGCCAATACACAGGATACCGCGCCACTGCTTCTGCAGCGTGGCCTGGTGCACGGACCAGGGCTGCGCCAGGGCCACTGGCGCAAGCACCGTGAAGCTGAAGGCCATGTGGGCTGCAGCGCAAGGGAGGGGCACCCCCACACTGGTTTCATGAGGCAGAAGCGGGAACGGCCGGCACACTGCACAGCTTGCTTGCATGCCAACTCACATGACGTGAGGAGAAAAGGGAAGCGGAACCCGGCAAACCCCAGAGCCCACTTGTTCTGCAAGTTTTGGTGAGGGAAACAAAAGCTGGGGAGCGCAGAGAGTGCAGGACAGCGAGGTATTGGGGATCGGCACACAACAGCGGGGGCAGTGAGTTCACCAGGAGGTTTAGCGAGGAATTGAGACTGCGGGGCAAGGAAGGAGCAGCAGGAGCAGTGATCACACAGGAAGTTTGGCGAGGCCACTGCACGGAGTAACATTCTTGGAAGAACCACACCGAGGCGGCAGGCGGGCGGCCTGCAACCGCCTTGGCGCACTCACAAGAGGAAGGTGATGATGAGCCCCACATAGCCCGCCAGCTTTGTAGCGGAGAAGCCGGCTTGCTGGGCCTCCGGCTGAGCCGCGGCGGCCATCGCTGGGCTTGTAATGTTGGCCTGTGTCAGGCTGCCCAGGCCTTGATCTGGACTGGCTCCCAGGCCTGGGTGCAATCAAACGGGAAGGGAGGAGGCAGGGGGCTGTGAATACTTTTGCACGCCGAGCTGAGCTGGCCATGGGGCCGTGGTGCTTGCCATGGAAAGGATTGAATAGTTCTAGCTGGCCTCCGCACCACCGTTGTCCAACAGCCAACCACAACCCACAGGGCTAGCGGTGCCGTGGGGGTGGGACCCCAACCTCACTCTCCCCTCCTCTCAGTGACTGGGCGGCGCGCTCTGGGGGCATCCCCCACACCTCCACAGCAAAACCCAGACACAGGGTGCAGCTGCCTCCCTTCAAGTGCGGTTACACCGTTCTGCGTGAGGCGCTGCGTGCTTATTAGGGACGGGTTGTGCGCCCCACACGAGAAGCGTCCACGCTGCTGGCAAGCAGGAGGGCGAGCCGCTTGCCGCCGGTGGTGCCCCGACAGCGTCGGGTAGCGCTGAGGGGTGGCAGTGGTGCAGCAGCGCGGCGCGATTTTAGCCATGAAGCAGACAACCCGGGCTCTCAGGTGATTACCTGCCGGTGCATGTGCTGCCTACCGTGGCGGCACTCTTTTGCCTGCTCGTTGTATGCCGGCTGCACCGGCTGGTGCTGCAGTTAGGAGGGGGCAACGACAGGCGCACAAACACATGAATAGCCAGAGCATCAGCAATACCGAGGCTGCCGCCAGGCCGTCGCTTGCAGGGCACTGTCGCCCAAGCGGTCGCATCGCAACCCGCGCCCGGCTACCAGCGGCGATGACGACTCGGACACGGGCCCGGCCTCGTCGTCAGGTGCTGCACGAGGCAGCCCCCACAGCTTCATCTCGCTCACCGGTCGCATCAGCAGCCGCAGTAGGCAACGCCCGCGCCGGAGGCGCAGCTCGGCTGCCGCAGCCGCCGCCGAGCTGCCAGAGCTGGAGAAGAGCGAGGAGGACTTCAAACGGGAATGGGGCATCAGCCGCGAGCGTGAGGTGCGGCAGCATCCCTGTGGAAGCTTCGCAGCTCTTCGGCAGCAGCTGTCCCGTTGATGATGGGTTGGATGCCAGCCTAGACCACTGGTGCCTCTTCATTGCTTTTCTTGCCGCATTGAGCCTGCCACCCTTACTGTTTCCTCGATGATGCTTGGGTTGATGATGGCGCAGGAAATTTTGCTGGTGGAGTTTCGCAAGCAGTTGGAGGCAGCAGTAGGTGGCCTGCTCAAGCCCATTTTTGGTGCGCCATCGCTGCAAGCCTTTGCCCTGTTTGCTTCCACTTTTGCTTGTTTTCTTGCTGTTGCACCATTCCGACTTGAGAAACCCGCGCGCTGTTTGGAAGCCTGCCACTTCTGACCTTTGGGAACCGACCTGCAGATCGGTTCTACTTGCGCCGCTTCCTGCGCGCCCGCCAGCACGACTTGGCCAAAGCGAAAGCCATGTTCCTGGTAAGCCTTTATGCTAGTATCACGGGCAAGTGGTTCATTCTTTTCCTGTTGCTTGCTTGTTCTAGCCGCGGGGCTTGCAACCAGTGCAAAGCAGCATGCAGCTTGACGAAATGCTGCAAGTGGAGGCAAAGTAAACCTTTGGAGCTTTGCCAAATGCATCCCTCAGCATATCAGCGTGGCTTGCTGTAAACGACCGTTGTCTCTGTCCATCTGCAGGCACACCTGAAGTGGCGGGAAGAGAACAGCATTGATGACATCCTGACTAACTTTCAGTTCCAGGTGCGCATGTGGGTGGATAGTTCCAGGTGTGCATGTGGGTGGATGAGGGTGAGTTTTTGTTTACCTGATGATCGCCACTGGAGATCGGTGGCAACCTGCTCTGGCTACAGCTCAAATCAAATCACACACCCTAGCATCTCGTGCGTGCAGGAGCGGGATGCGTTCCTCTCTCTGTACCCACAGGGCTATCACAAAACAGACAAGCTGGTGTGTGCATGGTAGCAGCGCATTCTTCCACTTCTGGCCCTTCTGCATTCTGCGGTGCCTTGCATGTACAGAAGTGTTCAACGTGGGGCCTCAAGCTTCTTCGCTGCAAACACCTCAGAGCCGGCAGTTGGGCTTGCATGGTGCCGTTTGTTGCGCGCAGGGGCGGCCGGTATACATCCAGCACATTGGCGCCATTAAGATCAAGCAGCTGCAAGAGATCACCACTGAAGACCGCATGGTCCGCTTCCACATACAGGTGCATGAATGACAGCTGGCCACACTTGTTGTGCAAGCATTATTACTGGGTCTGAATCATTGCTCCGCCACATCCGCGCCAACACATCCTTCTGCAATACTAGCTTACGCGATGGTGGCTGCTGCTAATCCTGGCTGCAGGAGTACGAGCGCTGCCTGAAGTACATCTTTCCATCCTGCGGCAAGAAGGCAGGGCGCCACATTGACCAGACATTTGCCATAATGGACGTCAAGGGCGTGGGGCTGAAACACCTGACTGGCGACGTGAAGAGCATCCTGTCCCGCATTACCGAAACTGATCAGGTTGGTGCTTCCCAGTGATCTGTCCAGCGCATGCTAATCTTCCTAGCACGTGATGTCTGCTACCGGAAATGTCACACTGCAGAACAACTACCCAGAGACGCTTGGAAAGACAGTGATCATCAATGCACCCACAGGCACGGCTACCACAATGCCGCTCTCGCTTCTGTCCTTCTGGCTCAAATTGTTGATGCTATGTGTCAAAAAAAGTTGTTTGACATAAAGTTGTTTGAATTGTGATACATTGGTGGCACTCAGCTGTCTGGTGCCATGTTTCAAGCCAAGGAGCTATTGGTGCTGCTGTTGTGCAGTGTTCAAGATGATCTGGGCCATGGTCCGCCCCATGCTGGATGTGCGAACTCAGGCTAAGATCGAGGTACAGCATGCTGCTGGTGCAGTGCAGCCCTGCTTCAATGCACCTTGTTGCGGGCATGCCTGCAGCATACTGAAATTCGCTGCCCTGCAGGTGGCTCCTAGCGACTACATGAAGCTGCTCCTGCGGTATATTGATGTCGAGAACATCCCGGAGTACCTTGGTGGTGCGTGGGCCCTGCCACTGTTTCGTCTGTCAGTTGAGAAAGGACGTGGTGCTTCGCCCTCCACAACTGCCACTGATGCATGGATACCAAGCCAACAGCCTCTGCCGGTGCTGGTGTAGGCAAGAGCAAGGGCAGCCTGATTGATGACGTGGGACCCTGGAAGGATCCTGTCATTCTGGCCCAAGTGGAGGCAGGCAAGCCTTGGGGTAGGGTGGGGTAGAAGATGTTGCATGCCAAAGGTGGTTCGCCCCGTTGCCGTGACTCAAGTAGAACCATGCAGGATAAGGAGAGCTCATCGCCATGTTGCCAAGATCTCCGTGATCCCTCTTTGCTGTCTGCAGACATTGCCCGGCGGGACCGGGCCGCATCAAGCGTGCAGGAGGAGGTTGATGGAGGAATGCTGAGCGGTGACTCTTTGGACTTGGAGGCTGCTAGCAGCAACACTCCGCTGGCGCCGCCCAGCCCTTTGGCGCCACGCCAGCATGAGCTGGAAGGACAGCAGCAAGCGCCAGGGCCAGGTGAGTAGCCTGCCTCGGCTAGTGCTGTGCAGCAGCAAGAGTTCCGCTTGAGCATAATGCAGGTTGTGATGTAGTGCGCCGCCTCTGCATGTGCATGCTATCCTGCGGTGTCAAATCACATCTCCCCTGACTCCTCCCTTTCCTGCGCGGGCACTAACAATTGTGCTGCAGCGGCGGCGGCGGTGGGCACGGGAGCAACATTAAGGAGTACTGCGGCGAAGAGTCCCTTTGACGTGCATGCAAGCGTGTCGGAGTCGCAGCAGCAGCAGCACCCAAGCGGCCACACGTGAGCTGTTTTTCGGCACGGCTAACTTCAAGATCGCCTTGGTGCTGGATGTCCTGCACCGTTTGACATTGCCATCCCCTGAATAATGCGACCTTCTCCTGACGAACTGGCACCCAGTGGCGTGCCGCCTGCAGTGACAGCGAGTTGGAGGAGTTTCAGGATGCCCAAAGCCGGCGGTTGTCCATCTTAAGCACTAGCGGCAGCTCTGCATGTGAGCCCGCTGCACCCTGCCATCTCTTCTGGGAGCTGTGTGCCTTGCAAGGCGGGCACTTTTGGGCGCCCCACAAAAAAGATGACCGATACGGTCTGCTGTTGATCATGTCGCATTTAAAGTGTGCCAGCAATTGCACCCGCTGCACCCACAGACATGTCTGCTGGCGAGGATGACTCAGACTTCTTCACACCCAAGCATAGCGACTTGCCACCAGGTCAGTGTGTCTGCAGTTGGCGAGATCTGTGGTAGGTTACAATCATGCAAAATAAGGCCCAGCAGCGTTGCAGTTTCAAATCATTGTTTGCGCTTGTGCCCGACTCGTGATCACCCCGCAGTTGGCACCAGCGGGCTCAGCTTCCGGAGCGATCGTCCCCTGCTGACTGCCGGCTCCTCGTCTGGCACCAGTCCGGAGGGCAAATTGCAGCCGCCAGTAGCAGGGGTGGAGGCATGCCCACCCCACACCAAGCAGCAGCAGGGCAGCGGGCAGCAGGGTGCTGGCGGGGGCATGAGATATAGCGACCAGTATCTGCCCGACAGCCCAGAGCGGCACAATCGAGATGGGGCAGCAACCAGGCAAGATGCCATCCAAGCTGGTCGCCAGCAGCAGCAGCATCTGCCGGCGGTCGTCATTGCTGCAGCAAACAACAATACTGGCGATGGCGGGGATGGGCAGGAACGAAGCGGTGTCGGTGGGCCAGACCTGACCCTGAACGGCGACATTGCCATGCAGGTGTGGTTCTTGCAATGCATTCAGAAATTGCCCTGTTGTGCAAGGCTCATGCCCCGTGCTGACCTTCACTGCCCCTCCAACAGACGCAGCCGACTACATACACCACCCCTAGCAGCGGCGAGCAGTGGGGCCCCAGCAAGGGAGGGCCGCATGCAGCAGCATTGCCATCGCCGCATCTGCAGATCCCCATCCTAGGTGAGCCACCTGTTTTGGCTGTGCAGTCTGAGTCGGCGCTTTTGCGTGGTGGGCCGTGCTGTGTGCGCTACCACTACTGTCATTTTCGAGTTGCTTGTCCTCAGGGCTCCAGTCCAAGGTCCCAGGGCAAGGAAGGCTGCCCCATCCCGTCGAGGCCGGGTCAGCTCCAACCTGCGTGCCACATGTGCTTGGCCATGTCCCTGCAGCACGGGTGCGCGCCTTGGAGGAAAAACTGCCAGAAGCGGAGCGACACATTCGCCGCTACCTGTCGCCAGGCAGTGAGCTGCCCAGCAAGACTGTGGGGCAGGTGGGAGATCAGCTATCTGAATTTTTGTCCCGACCTTTTCTTGCCATGTAGGATTTGTGATTTGTGCCATCTCAAACTGGTGCCTTAGGCGCCATCCAGTGTTTTTTGCACTGCACGATCGTCTGTTACGATGCCCCCCACGGTGTGCTTGTTCCTGCAGGGAACGCTTCTGCACCGTGTTGAGGCTCTAGAGCGAGCAATGGATGCAGTACTGTGCGCGCAGGTACTGTTTAATGTTACCGCCGTGACGTAGTGCCTTGCCAGCTTATTCGTGCTGGCAGCCCATCTGCCACCTGGGTTGCTGAATGAAAGCTTGTTGTACTTGCTGCAGCACGCTGCATTGGACCAGCAGCGGCAGCAGCCCAACAGCACTGAGCTGGCTGGGAGTGGATGCAGCGGCTGTTGTTGCATCATGTGACATCTTGGGGACTCCACTACCAGGTCACAGCCAGAACCACTAACAGTACCACCTCCATCATCTGCCGCTTGTTGGTCGGCAGGCGCCCCATTCGCTTTCGTGTTTTAAAGAAGCACCCTCAAGGGATGCGAGGATGGGCACGAGAGAGATGCCATGCAGCGCTACTCAGGATTGCAAGCCGAAAATCGAAATGGCTGGCCTTGTGGCACGCGGGCACAAGGATTGTCGGCAGCTAGCCAGTCACAAACCAAAGCTTTTCCCCTGCTTGATGGCACTTGCGAAACGGGGTATTGATTCGAAACAGCAAAGAAGGAAAAGACAAACACAAAAGCAGTTGGTGCCTTCAGTGTACAAGCCCTGCTCTTAAGACGGGCCAGCCGACTCGTACAGCGGCTGCTGCAGCACCCCATGTCCAATGGTGACGCCCAGTCTGGGCTTCCAACATAGCACCGCAAGGGGCCGCCATGGCAGGGCCTTTTCAAGCCTGACAGCCTTGCGAACGGCAAGGATATGCAGGGCGACGTGGATGTCGCTTGGATGCAGTCTGCGCTGCTGAGGTGGGCGGTTCATCGCCGTCCAAATGGATAGACTGCAAGACAGGACACAACACGGCAGCTCAAGCTGTTGCACGCCTACAGCAAGCAGCAGCATGGGCAGGAGCAGACAAGCAACCGATTGTATGGCTGGAAGGCCTGGTGGCAACAACGCACATGAGTCGATGCCCGTGCACTTCGCCCGGGTGCAGGTCGCGCAACCAATGCCAAACCTGCAGCGCAGCAGCATAAGACCAACTTGTGAACATGCTGAGCTATAGCGCGTTCAGCACCCCGGGCACACAATGAGTGAGCGACAGTGTAGAATGGCCAATGGCTCCCCAGCACCAATCCGAATACTCACAATGTCTTGCAGTTGAGTGCGCAACTGCTACCGACGAATCCACGGGCGTAGACACACGTCTGGCAAGCGTTGGGGTTGTTCGCAAAGCACTGCACAGGTGAGGGGCGACATGAGCTGGTATGTGCAGCGGCGATGATGGGCAGGGCTCACAGGCAACCACGTGCCGCGACCTTGTGCCGACACCAGCCATCGTCTTGCCTTCAAAGCCCATGCATACAGCCACCTACCTTTGCACAATACTGGCGGTATGAAAGTCTCGGGTTGGTGCAGCGGCTGCCTTGAGCAGAGTTCATAGGGAAGCACTGCAGCAGTAGGGTGGGGCCACGCAATAGACCGCAATCAGTTGGACATGTGGGCTGTCAGGACAACGGAAAGGCAGGCGGCGGCGCCTCCCTGCATGCTTGAACTTACCGAGGAGGGCGTGGTGAGGGCATAGTTGTCCACACAGCGTGCGCACTGCATGTCTGCAGGGGAACAGGTGACCATGTTGAGTGCAGCAAGTCAAATGTTGAGTGCAGCAGATCAAATGCAGACAGGCTTTGCACTGGGTGTACTGGCCCCCTGCCTCCAGCACCCATGTGCCCGCCCTTCAGCTGCCGAATACATGACGGCCGCAGCTCACCCGTGCCCACTTCAGTGCAGTTGCCGGGCAGCGCTGGAGGGTTGTTGCCGCCGTTTACCTGCCTGGAGTACGTCGTCAGCTGGGCGGGAGTCACGCACTGCATGTAGGGCAGTGCACGAGCAGATCATGGTGCCCGGGTGTTGGGAAGCGTGATGGGGCCCAGTTGGGTGGCCTCAAATTCGCACACACAGTTGGGCCAAGGTGTGCAGGCTGCTGCCCAGCGTTGTGTCGATGCCGGCGTGGCTCACCATGGACTCGCCGTAGTTGCCGTTGGTGAAGATGGCATTCTTGGGCATCAGCAGCGTCTTCTGGCCGGGCACGGTCTTGCACTTTGTGCAGCTCTTGTCTGCAGGTGTGCCAGGCGGGGAAGGGCGGAACATGGGTCATTGGCGGAACATGGGGCGCCCCTGGTTGAGGACCCGGCACAAAACAATCTCACCTGGATTGCATTGGACGCAGTTTGAGTTGCCTGAGGTCTGCTGACAGTTGCCTGGCATGCACTGCAGCGGGAAGGTGACGAAAAGTGTGTTGATGCAGGCCAGAGTACCAGTACCAGGGGACGTTGTCCATTGTTGGCAGGAACATCTGTGTTTCATGCGTGCCATCTGAAATCGGGCCACCTGGGCTCACCTTTCCAAAGTTGGCCGAATTCACGTTCCAGTTGAAGTAGAAGCCCGACACGCACAGCGTGCACCACTTCCCATTCGTCCCCTTGGGCGACCACCAGGGGCCCGCCCCACTTTCCCAGCACTTGGCGCAGTTGTCGATACCCGTCAGCTGCTTGCACCTGGCCACGTCGGCAATGGTTGTCGGGCACTGCATGAGGCAGGAAGGCGGCGTGGATGGGCCAGTGTGCGCGGGGGGGGGGGAAGGGGCCGGGGCGGCGGCGGCGGCGGCGTGGGGCACCTTCCGTCGGCGGCAACTCAGTCAGGCAGGGACGAGGAAACTACTCACCGATCGAATGTAGGGTACACCGGCAGCAGTGTTGGGCATTTTGTCTGTGGACCAATTTTGGGCGCGGTCCTTAGTGCAGTAGAGGCAGCGGTGGGTTGCGCCAGCGGGGGACTGCGGGCCACGTCCCCGCTTGCACTCGATGCAGCCGGGGATCTTGGTCAGGCCTGCAGCGAGCATTGAGGCTTAAGGGGGGGGCTGGTGGGGGGCACACAGAGAATGCGCAGCTTCACGACCGAGGTCCTCCTGCGCACCACTCACTCTGGCAGGGGTCGGTGATCGTGTTTGGCTTCACGGGGAGCACCGCAGCATGCGCCGAGCCGCCAAACGTGAGGAGTATGAGCAGCAGCGCTGCGCGGGAAGGCTGCATGACTGCTGGTTCAAGCCCAGACAAGCACGATTTTCCTCTGTTCGCTGGCTCCCTGCGACTGCCAGGGGTCTGTCGGGCCGAAAGGGGACCAGGGGGGCAAAGGGGTTGTGCCAAAGGGTGAACACAGGGCTGCGCTGCACGAATGAAAGCCGCCTCGAGTCACCGCCTAGCGCTGATCAAAGGCAGCGGCAGGCTGAAGTTCGCGCCGGCAAGCTGGATAGCGTGGGGGATGGCCCTTGTTCGCTGCCCAGCTGCGGAGGAAAGATGAAGAAACGAAGACGTCGCGAGGGCTTCCCCCACAGGGAACTCTTTCGGCGATGGATTAGTACGCGGCTTGGCTTCCCTGCGGGGAGGGGGGGACGTCCCCCCTTGGGCGCGCGCAGGAGGTGATGAACTTTCTGTGTGCCTTCAATGCCGCCACTCCGAATATCTGCAGGGTTTCTAGCGTGCAAACCAGCTGTCTGTGAGGCCGTTGGACGGCCACCCCAATCCGGGCCATGTTGGACATGTTTGGAAATTCGTGCTTCGCTTCCCGCGGGGCCCGGCCTGGCTGGAAGCGATCGGAATTACCGATGCGGATTGTTGAGGGCAGCGGTTGCCAATGCCAGAAGCGCACATCAGGGACCGAGCGCACCACTCGCACAAACAGTCGTGTCTGCTCAATCCCCTGTGTCTGAACTTCATGTTTAAGTCACAGAAAGCCGTTGGAGCGGCCAGGGAGGGCAGCATGCTGGTCGCCACTGGCGGTGCCGCCGTTGCCGCCTCCGCGGCGGTGCTGCTGAGGGCTCTAGCCCTTGCTTTTCAGCCATCCTCAGGTATGTTCTTCAGGACAAAGGCGAGGCAAAGTGTTTGTCCAGTTTCCTGGCTGTGCCATGCTGACCGCTATCCGCAACTGGCGCCATCTGCCGGCAGCCCTTTCCCCCAGCCTGCACCTGAGTCCAACCTCAAATTACCCGATCAGAACGTCCCTTCTATGCAAGCAAATATGACATGTATTGACTGGGGGTTGATCAGGTGCTGAATGTGTGTTATGACATATCACAGTGCCCTGGTTTGATGCCAGGGATCTGCCTCGCAGCAATTACACAGCTTTGGCGCGCAAGGTCGCTGCCACCCGCCTGGCTACCCAGGCTCTGCAGGCTTGGTGGCCACAAACACCCATGCATTGTTTCCGAGGATGCCGTGCGCGCCATTGTGCAGGCGGTGTGCGGTCACATTGAACCCCAGCAAGCACATCTTGTCCACCATCTCCTGGCCAAAAATGGTGAATATCAAGTCCCCTTTTTGGTGGAGCGGGTCGCCCGCATAGATGGGCGGCTTCACGTGGTGCACCAGCCGACCGTCCTCTACGCTGGCCCGAACCTGGTCGTGCAGGTCGTCCTGCAAATAGAGACAACAGGACAGCAGGTCAGGCATGTGCTCAAGATGTAAACAGCCTCCAGAGAACATGCTAATGCTCAAGCATCACCCTAACAACTTATGTTCTCACCGGCGAGAAGGGGACGGTAAATACATGCGAGCCGCCGGGCTTCAAGATGCGGCGCACTTCATGATGCCCCTGGTATGGCCGAGGAATGTGGTCAAACACCTGCGGAACCAGCGGCCAGCACCAAAGACAGCTCTCAGGGACACCAATGTGCTGGTTGCAACACTGGCGAGGAAACCTACCGACCCAGCCCACCTCACTACTCAGTATCAAATCAAACGTGCTGGAGGGAAATGATGTATGCTGCAGATCCTCGTGCAATGTTGACCTAACAACAGTGCCGGCCAGGATCTCAGAGCTTATGAACTCGCTGCAGGCGTGGAGGTAGCAGGTATGTCAGCTTCGCACCAGCGGCAGCAGCTGCTGCTCTGCTGCTTCTCGGGCGCAAAGGCGGCGCACAACCCAGGTGACCTGCTGAACACATGCAGCAAGGAGATGCGTGTGCAGCGGGCACAAGTCCCCGCCGGCGGTGGCCAAACCGCCGTCGGCCATGGCGCCGCCGCCGCCACCCTGTGCCCCCCTGGCCCACCGGGCCAGCCACCCGGGGGTGCCACCCACCCCCGTGGCCCAGCCACCCAGGACGCACCCACCCACCCCGCCCACCCAGACTTGAAAGACCCGCCAGACACCCGCTGCGTATCCGAGGCACGTCGGCAGGGTGGGCGGTTGCTTGCAAGGTGCTCCCAGCGGCTCCCTGGNCCGTCGGCTCGGGTGGCGGGTGGTGCGGGTGCAGGCGAGGCGCAGGCGGGCGCGCAGCCGGCCAGCTACCCAGCCACCCAGCCCACCCACCCTGAGCCACCCCCGCCCAGCCAGCCCCTGCCACCCCCAAGCCACCACCCGCCTCACCTGCAGACGTACCCCGGTGCAGCCTGCAGCACATTGTGCAGAGGACCTGCACACTGCGTGTTGTAGATGGCCAAGTCCGACAGCGCCAATTCCTTAAAGCTCCCAAACTGCCGGCCGGTCATGCGCTGCACCTCTGGCAGTGCCGCCTCAGCAATCTGCCGCAAGCGGTTGAAGCTACCGCACGTCGGACACTTGCCCTCCTCCCTGCAGACAAGTGGGAACTCAGATGGGGACTTGAGTATGGGGTAGTCCCAATCCCCTGCCTGCAACTAGCTGATAGCTGTCCCTTGGCGCAGCTCATGACAGCAGCCGGCAGGTTTGTTGATGGTGCACACCTAAAGTTGGTTCCCTTGAAGCGAACCGTCTGCTGCTGCGAGCCACACACGGGGCAAGAAACACCCTCGATGTACTGCTTCTTGCTGACCAGCTGCTCATACTCGGTGGGGTATCCATTCTTTTCGACAGCCCAGTGGTAACTGGAGGGCTCCTGCGGGGTGGACACCGCAGCGACAGGATCCGGGGAGCAGCAATCGCAGGAGCACGTGCCGGTAGGCGAGGCTGCACCCACCCCTTCTCATGCCCCTCTGCTTACCAGGTATGCGCTTTGCCAATGACACAACTGATGGTGGTGTTTGGGGTGTATGCTGCCTACTGTCTGCTGCTGCTCCACAAGCTGCCTGCTGCTGCCGTTGGCGGCGGTGCCGCTGCTGCTGCCCAGCGCTGCCGCGTTCACGCTGCCCCCCGCACGCCTCGTGCGTCTTCCACGTCCGCTGGACCCACGCGAAGACCACGCTAGTAGCAAGCATACGGCCACCGCCGCAGCTGCTGGCCACTTTGTTGCAGTTGAGCTTCGCCGTGCCGCCATCCGCGCGCAGGCGCTTCTGTTGTGATCGACGAATACCAGGACACACTGCGCATTTCCGCAATAACACCTGAGGTTCGCCAGACAGACTTGCACTTCCAGCGAGGCGGGGGCGTACTGCCAGACTGTGCGGCCGCATGCGGCGGGAGCTGACTCAAGGCTCTCTGATCCTGGCAGGGATGCATCCAGGGCATGTTTGCATCTTTGAATGAGAAAAGAACAGAGTGAAGAGGGGGAGGAAGAAGACAATGTGCGGGATTTGGGGAACGCAGCTAGCCACACCCGCTGGTGCGCGCTAGAGTCAAGTCGGCTTGGTTGCCACAAACACCCATGCATTGTTTCCGATGATGCCGTGCGCCCCATTGTGTAGGTGGTGTGAGGTCACGTTAAACCCCAGCATGCACATCTTGTCCACCATCTCCTTGCCAAAAATGGTGTACAGCAGCACGCCATGCTTGTGCCGGGGGTCGCCCGCATAGATGGGCGGCTCGACGTGGTGGACCAGCCGGCCTTCCTCCACGCTCGCACGCACCTGGTCGTGCAGGTCGGTCTGCATGAGGGCAGGGGCAGGCACGGTGCAGCAGCGGTTTGTACCGGGTTTTAAGGAATCTTCCAACGCAATCCAGCAGGGGTTGTGCTGGGTGTTTGCCTACGCTTGGCCAGCGCTGCAAGACCTGGAGCTTGCTTACACGATGCCCACTGGATTTCCAGTGGCTGCCCACTCAACTCCACTCACCGGCGCAAAGGGCACAGTGAACACGTGCGAGCCGCCCGGCTTCAAGATGCGGCGCACCTCATGGTGCGCCTGGTAAGGGCTGGGGACATGGGAAAGCACCTGCAAAGCAGGATGTAGGAGACGGATTCACAAGCCATGCCCCACCTTCGGCTTGGCACCCAGTCGCAACCAGGCGCGCCCCGCCCCGCCCGTCCCACCTCGCCGCTGATTACAATGTCAAATGAGTTGTCTTCGAAAGACGTCCCCTGCAAGTCCTCGTGCCGTACACCTTGCGCAATGCTGCCAACGGGGACATCAGTGCTGATGAACTCGCTGCACCGCAGAGCAGGATCAAGGCAGCAGTTCACTGTGTGGTGGCCCCTCAACAGGCAGACATCCAAAAACATCAAGTGCGGACCGAGCCAGGCTGTCCAGGGTGTCGCATCCTGCGGTCAACATGCTGGGCCAGCAATGCGCACCTGCACACGTATCCAGGGGCCTCGTGGAGTAATTTGTGGAACACGCCGGCGCACTGTGTGTTGTAGATGGCCAGATCTGACTGCACCACCTCCCTCAAGCTGCTGAACCGCCGTCCCGAAATGCGCTGCACCTCTGGCAGCGCAGCCTCAGCAACCTGCCGCATGCGGTTGAAGCTGCCGCATAGGGAGCATTTGCCCTCCTCTCTGCAGCACGCAGCAGCGTGAGTTGAATACATGGGAGAGGGAGGCAGCCCTGCCAATGTGCAAGAAAGCATATTAACACAGGCAGGGTCGACGGCCAGCGCAGCAGCCATGGCTTGGACCAAACTGTGTGCCTGCATCCCATCAAAACTGCCTGTGCCTAGAGCCCACTCAGCCAGCCTGCCCACCTCAAATTTTGGTTTGGAAAGTGGATGACCTGGTCCCGTGCGCCGCAGACGGGGCAGAACACATGCTGCAGGGGGCGGCTCTCGCTGATCATGTGCTCGTAATGGGTGGGCCAGCCGTCCTTCTCCACAGCCCTGTCATACGTCACTGACTGCAGCGGCATGGGAATCGATGGGGGAGACCGCCAATCCCAGCGGTTGGTGGTGATGCAGGCAACCGCCTCGCGATGCAGATGGCGGCGGGGCCCGACGTTGCTCGGCGAGGCAGGCACGCAGGAGCAGGCAAACACTAGGGGAATGTTGCTCGCCTCAAGCGCAGTCTCCCAGCCACACATCTCGTTTGGGTGGAGTGGACGCCGGCTGCTGCCGCCAGCACCCGCCAGCCACAGCGCGCCGTAGGTGCCGCCTTCCTCGTCATCCTCAAAGCCTTCCAATCCCGCGCCGCTGTACAGTGTCGGTCTGGCCTCGCTGCTGCGGCTGGCCAAACAGTAGAATGAGAGAAGCAGGAGGCCAGCAACGACCGCAGTTTTGAGCAGGCGGGCCTGTCGCGGCGTTAGCGCGGCTCCATGCCGAGATGGTGGGCCATGCGTTGCGGCCATCTCAAATCAAATGACGGATGCGGTTTTGCGAATGGAGCTTTCGCCTTGAAGGTACAGAAAGGAGTACACAGCGTAAACATGTTGCGCGACGCTGTTTCGTTGTTTGATCTTACCAGCAACAAGTGCACACGCACCACATCCGTCAGCGAGCTCACCGACTCACAGATTGGTGGCATCTCTGCAGCGCGAACACTCTGGGGGCCCACAGGCTCGCTGCGGCGCAGTGTGCAGTGTAGGCGCAAGGAGGCGCAGCAGCACACGGGCGGTGAGCCTCCACTTGATTAGGGCGGCCCCTGTGCTTTTTAATTGGGCAGCGAGAGGGGGAAGTGTCATTGTTGAGTGATGAGCCAAACCCCATCTCTTGGGCGTGGCTGCGGCGGGGCGGGGCGGGGCGGGGCGGGTGGCGCGTGGACACCGTTACCACGGCTTCCCTTTCTGCACAATCAACTCCTTTCTGCACAATTCATGTTTGACCCCTGCAGCAAGTGCAGGTGGAGCAAACATAAGCCATGAGTTTCTTAGATGCACGAGAGCATGGTGCGTCTGTCAGCACATGGATTTGCCGCCGCAGCTGTGAATGGAACATTGACAGAGCAATGATGTAGAATACAATGGGCAATGCGGCTTTACCAGGGAGCAACAACCATGGCAGAAATCCGCAGCCGTTGGGGCAGTGTGAGAGCGGTTTGTACAGGTTGCTCCCGCCCACTACTCTCGATCTGCTGTGCCTCCCGCTCTGCCTGCAGGCTCCAAGCCAGGGAGTGGGTTCGTCTCCTCGCAGCAGGAGGTGAGCTGCCACATGCAATGAATTCAAGCACGAAAGGCCTGACTGCATGGCCTGCAGGCCACTTTCTGTGTGCTGGCTATGCTGGCAGGTGCCAACACCATGTGTCACCAGTGAGCCGCCAGTTTGGCCGACGCTACACGTCCATTGTTGCAGGCGATTGACCGTCGTGAGCGGCTGCGGCGACTGGCACTAGAGACGATAGACCTGTCCAAGGACCCTTACTTCATGCGCAACCACCTGGGGCAGGTCAGGATGCGGGGCCTGGTTGCCTCTGTGCAGGTCACCCTGTGCTCCACCCATGCGGCTTGAATTCGCTTGTAGCAGTCCAGCCTTAGCTGACCTGCCCTTGGCCGCCCGCCCGCAGTACGAGTGCCGCCTGTGTCTAACGCTGCACACCAACGAGGGCAACTATCTTGCGCACACCCAAGGTGCGGGGCAGGATGGCCGCTGAAGTGGCATGTCGCAGAACCAGGAGAAGCAGGAGAGGGCTGGCTGTAATGCAATACTAGCTAGCTTCATTATGCCTCTCCTTGTTGTCCTTACTGCACGCTGCCTTGACTCAACCGCCGTTTGTGACCCCCCTGATGACCGTGCCTGTGCAGGCAAGCGGCACCAGCAGAACCTGGCCAAGCGCGCAGCACGGGACGCGGCTGAAAAGCCGGTGGCGCCAGCACCGCAGCGACGCGTGGCTGTGAAGAAGACGGTGCGCATTGGGCGGCCGGGCTATCGCGTCACCAAGCAGTTCGACCCAGAGATGGGGGCGCGGGGGCTACTGTTCCAGGTGGGCCGTTGTGCCTTTGAGCCCAATGACGTGGTGACTGATGCTCAGCTTAGGATGTGTCCGTCGTCTTGGCATCAAACAACCACACCTGCTAGCAGATTCAGCAGCAGCAGCCCCCCTCGTCTTGCAGATTGAGTACCCAGAGATTGAGGAGGGCACCAAGCCGCGCCACCGCGTCATGTCCAGCTACGAGCAGCGCAAGGAGCCGTGGAGCAAGGAGTGGCAGTACCTGCTGTTTGCGGCGGAGCCGTATGTGAGCGCACGCTGGCCTGCAGCGGGGCCCACTGCTCCTGGTGGCGTACTGCCGCTGCTCGGCAAACTTGCAGACACATTTATGCCTGGCAATGCCTACATTATTTCACCGCGTCGCCCCAATGGCACGCGTCTGGGTGTGCAGGAGGTGATAGCCTTCAAAATCCCCAGTCTGGAGGTGGACAAGCACCCCGAGAAGCTGTTTACACACTGGTGAGCACAGCGACTGAGCTGCGCATCTAGAATTTGTGATCTGCTTGTTTATTGGTTGGCAAACCTTGCTGCCAGCTCATCGCCCTGCCTGCAGGGACCCAGACAACAGGGTTTATTCGCTGCAGCTGCCTTTCAAGGCACCTGCGGCCCCAGCTGGCCGGCCAGGTATGCAGCTGCCACCACAGCAGCTGCCACCACAGCAGCTGCCACCACCACCACAGCTTGCACCACCGCCGGCATTCAGGAACATGTAGCGAACTGATCCAAAAATCAGATCTCACGATCATTTCTTGTCTGGACTAGTTGGCCCCTTTCCCTCCAGTTCTTAACAAACAACTGTATGTGGTAATTTACAAGATGGATGCTCTCTGGTTGTGTGCAAGAGATGGCAGTTCTGTTGGAATGGTGTCAGACAACAACTGCAATGCGGAGACAGCACTGTGTCAATGGAGGTTCTGGGTTTCCAGCGGTAAAAGGACGCCTAAATTTGTGCGGCTGTCCATCGATGAGGATGTTGAAGGGACGGGGAGCACGTCGGCTCAACCCCTTAGCAGGCAGAGCGCAGGCCACGCCGCTGTGCAAAAGTGCTTCCTTGCTTTGCACCAGGTGCTGAGCCCTTCTGCTTCTTGCTGGCAGTGCCAGTTGGCAGCATGATGGTGCCTTGCCTCTTCGCCTGCCGACCTGCTGGCTGCCGGGGCTCTTGTGCCGCCGGCGTGGCTGATGGAGCGCGGCCGCGAGCTGAGCGCCGAGTGGTGGCGAGGGCCTTGGGCGGAGGGTCTGCATCTGGCTGCAGCAGTTGCTCCACCACCGCCGCCTGTTCCTGGCCCTGAGTGGGGGCTGCCACCGGCCCTGCATCAGTTGCCTTGCCGCAAGCTGCTGCAGCATCCTTGACTTCTTTCTTGAGCTCCGCTGCACCAAGGAATTGACAGGAAGTTGTGTGTTGAAACTTCAAGCAATCATGCAAGATGGTTCTAGCTACAACAAAAATGCAGACACACCTGCCAGCTCAGGTGGGCACATGCCACGCTCAAGCGCCACTGGCTTGGCGTCAGTGTGCAGGTTGTTGAGCACCAGGTAGTGCGCCACGGATGTGTACCCTGCAAAACATGTGACAGTGGCCCACGTCGGCCGCAGCAGCGCTCCCAGCCCGCAGCACACACATTGGGCTAGTGCATCATGTGGGCGGACACGTGTGCTGCCCTGCCCACATTGGGAACGCAGCACCCGTATTCTGTTTGCCTACCCTCTGCAATGGCATGGCGGTACAGCGTGCCAGTGGGTGCCCAGCCGCGCTTGGAGCGGTGGAAGGAGCAGTTGCAGATGTCGCGGCACAGCGGGCACAGCCAGTCTGCAGGCGGAATGGAGGAGCGAGATGCCAGCACGATGTGGCGTTAGCTACAACCTAACCCAATGCCAGTGCGGCATGCATGGTTTCAGACGAAGCTGGAAGATACACGCCAGACACATGCGGGATGTGCCGGACACCTCACCTGGGTTGGCATTGGCCTCATCCACATTCTCGCCATACCGCATGAAGAGGCAATCGCCACACAGCACACCCTGCACATAGGTTGGAAAGCGGGGCACCAGCAACACGGCAGTTTGAGCCCGACTGAGGCGCAGCCCGAGGGTGGCTCAGCACCTGCCCTTGGAGGGTGAGCCCAGTCAGGCAGGACAGGCCTACCTGCAGCGAGTGGCATCCGGAACAGGAGGTGCGCTTGCCCAGCGTCTTTTGCCGGCACTGGTGGCAGGTCAGGCCGTTGACCTTGTCGTAGATGCGGTTGCTAGATGCGTCATAGCCGTCCACAAACAGCTCCCTGCAGGCCGCCACAGGCGCCCAAGCGTCAGGCAGAGCCGTTGCAACCGCTGATGTGAGAAGCACATGGCGCATGAACAGCGCCAGCCGTCAGTGCCAAGAGCTGGCAATGTAGATGGAGGAGGGGGTTGTGAAGGAGAGCGCCGCCGGCTTACCACTCCTGCTTGTGGGAGCCCAGCGCATCAAGGTGTTCCACGTCGTACACCTCCTCTGCCACATTCTCTGCACAGCCGGCACAGACGAAGAGTTGGCAGGCAACAAGGCCAAAGTGTAGGCAGGCAAAGCCGCGGCAGGCTAGCAGGGCAGCTAGGGTTACATCGCCAGGTGTGAGCAAGTGATGCTGTTGTGCAGGCTACCTCAGCGAAGCCCGCCTAGGTGGCATGGTGAGAGGCAGGCGCGCACAGGCATGCAGATGTGCGACAGAGGCGCACCGCGCATCAGGCGCCGATCCCGACTGCCCGCCTCGCCGTCAGCCAGGGACAGCAGCCGTGTATTCTCGTTGTAGTTGGGGGCGTCAATGCCTGCCACCCGCTCCGACCTGCCCAAGCAGCAGCAACAGGCACAACAATTTCCTGGGTAATGATGGCATTAGGAGCAGACCCCACCGGCCACCATCACCCCTGTCACCAACAGTCACAATCTGCAGATGTCCCTGCAGCGGCTGCCTCTGCACGGCAGTGGGTTGGCACAATGCGCTCGGCAGCGAGGGTCACCTGCGCACGCGGCCCGGTGGAAGGGTGCCAGCCGCCCTGCGGGCCGCGCCGCTGGCCCGGGCGGCAGGAGCCTTGCGGTGGGTGCGGGCTGCTGCCACCTGGGCGGAAGCGATGCCCTGCACCGTATCCAGCAATCCAATCGACTGCAGCCTCGCTTGATTGGCTGCAATGCGAGCCTGCCGCTCCAGCTCGAGCTGGGACAGCGCCATGTTTGTTGGGGCGGCGGAGACAGGGGCCGAAGACAAGGCAGTCAGGATTCCAGTCCGAGTTATAGCACGCAGCGGAGTCGATGGCAGACTCACTGCCTCTCTAATTTGAATTTCGCCTCGGCAGTACATTGTATATACAAGCGGCCTCTGGCGATCAGGCAACGGAACACCGGCCACGAATCAAGAACCACCGATAGCAATGGTGTTTCCAGCGAGGTGGGTTGCAATGGGCAAGCCTGTAGCCTCGACCTTGCGCAGCAGCATTGCTTCGTTTCTCTTGAATCCTCCCCGCTACGATGTTCGTGTTCAATTCGGCCACCAAAGCTATTTGTGGCATCTCCCGGACAGCTTGCCTTGCGCCGCCGCCGCCGCCGCCGCCGGCGTACGCTGCCTACGCCAGTCTGGTCTCTTGTCTCAATTTTTTCCACCGGTGGTGCAGGCTGCTTGTGATCACTCACAGTGCTGGTGGCTATCACCGCTGTGCGCGGCTGTGTGTCACGGCCCAGACCGCATCTGGTGGCGACGGCGGCAGCAGCGCCAGCAGGCGGCGCTCGCAGCGCCTCGCTCGACAGGGCCGAACGCAGCAACGTGCACCAGACCTGCTACTCGAGGTGTGCCCATTGCCTCTCCAGATTCATGCACAGCAAGAAATCATCACGTGCTGGGCGGGCCCTGCTGAACAAGTTGCGCCTGCGTTGACCTCGTGCACCGCAGAGAGAGGCCCGAGTGGCCGAGCTGCAGCGCCTGCAGCAGCAGCAGCAGCAGCAGGGTGTGCCTGTCAGTTCTGCTGATGCAGTGTTGGATCCACAAGAAGACGCCACCCGGGGATTGGGGCAAGATCTGGAACCGGAGGGACGGCAGGTGGCCGACGAGCTGGCCGATGTGCCAGATGCAGGGATAGGACTGCCAGCCGCGGCAGAGAACATGCAGGACGGCATTGCTGGGGCAGCAGCGGCGAATTCTGTGGAAGCGGATTATGTGCTGGAGCCGCAGGGGCCGCAGCCGCCAGGCCTGCACCAGGATGGGCAGGAGGAGTTGGAGATCAGCAGGTGCGTCTGCTTGCGGCATCATTCACAGAGCTGTGCCCCGGAAGCCCTGGTGTTGTTGTTGCCACAGCAGCACGGTGCAGTCACATACCCACCCACCCTGCTGCGCTGTCACGCAGGCAGTCGGAAGCGCTGCTGGCCATTCTGCAGGCGGGGGAGCACGTGGAGGAAGTGATTGCACAGCACCGGGCCGACATTGATGACTCCATGCTGCAGGTCAGCCCCTTGCACACATCGCATTGCATGCTCTCGGAAGCACCCTGCTCCACTGCACACATGCGTTGTGCCCTGGGTTGTCGGCGTCACATGCGTTGTCCCTGGGTTGTCGGCATCACCCCATGGCAGCTCGCCCTTCATCTCATCGCAGCTGGGCCTTCCTGTCTCTGCTTTGTATGCAGCTGCTGGCACGGCGCATGAAGGCAGCTGAGCTGCTGGAGAAGCAGGAAGCAGTGCTGCAGGGCCTGCAGCTGTTGTATCGCAGGTTGGTGGGTCAGCAATGCAAGCTCTGAGCAGTCTGTAAAGGCTTCGCCCTGTTTGTGATGCTGAAATCAAGCCATTCCAAGGTGGCGAGACCCTCTCCTTTGAGCAACCTGGGCCCTGCTGGCACACAGGTTGAAGGCTGAGGTGGACCGGCAGCTTGCGTCACCCGGGCTGCGCCTGCTGGATGAGCTGATGTCCATCCTTGATTTGGGAGAAGGTAGGGCGGGGTCCTGTCAGTTGGATGAGCACACTCCTTGTGTATGAGCACACTCCGGTTCTTGTACTACGTTTGCAAATCCACCATCCAAATCCGCCCAATGAATCAGCGTGCATCCGCTCAGGAAGATTGCCAGCATTGTGAGTTTGTTTGCAGGGGATCTTGGATCACCGGCAGCGGCACGGGAGGAGCGGCGGGCGCAGGCGGCCGCGCACCTGCGAGCCGCCTTCAGCGGCAGCTTGGTCGGTGACGCCGACGTGCTGTCGCTGGCAGCTCAGCTCAGTGCCAGTGGCGGCAGCCAGCTCGCAGACCAGCTGGTGGCTGACCCGGTGGACCCCATGGTCTTCATGGCGGAGGCCACAGAGCTGCTGCGCCGGGTTGAGGAGCAACATACCCAATTGGAGGCGTATCTGCAGCAGCAGCGACAGGAGGAGGGCACGGGGCAAAGCCAGGAGGCAGTGCGCGCTTCTCTGGAGGTGGAGCAGCTCTTGGAGCAGCGGCAAGCTGCCGTGGCGCTGGTGCAGGAGTGCCTGCAGGTGGCGCAGGCGGTGATGCAGCAGCTGGGATGATCATGTAACAATTCCGTCATCACATCATCACAGCATCCCAGTCCAACCCGTTGGATCCAGGCACACGTGAGGCAGACGGGCGCGCCGCGCACGTCACGCCGCCAGCCTGTCGGCGCGCATTCATCTCACCCAGACAAGTCACCAGAGCGTGTCATACTTCCTTCTTCTTCTTCTTTTTCTTCTTCTTCTTCTTCTTCTTCTTCATGCAGTCTCCCTCTCATCCTCAATTTTCTTATGAAATGTGTGCGTGACAGGAGATAGAGTCATGGCTTCTGGGGCCATGCCTCCTGGCCGCATCGCGAGCAGCACAGCCACTCTGGCCGCAGCCTCACGGCTGGATGCGCTGCTGGCCGCCATTGCTCCGTCCCCATCGTCAGAGTTTCGCAGGCTCACCATCGCGTATTACATCTGCAGCCTGATCAAGCGCTGCTTCCAGCCGCACCAGGCAAGGCTGGGCTGGGTGCGGACGTGTGCTGCCGCCTCCGCCGCCGCTGACCAGCCCCGTTTCTGGGCCCGCAGGTGGAGGCCTTCATGTTTGGCTCTGTGCCGCTGCGAGCTGTGCTACCAGACGGCGACATTGACATCTCTTTCTTTGCCACGGCAGCCACCACACCCAGCAGCCCATCCGGCAACGGTGGCGAGCAGCCGGGGCACAGGGCAGGCGCCTCGCCGCCGGGCGACTTGCGTGACACGTGGGCGTCGCAGCTGTTGCGAGCGCTAGAGCGCGAGGCGGTGCGGCCTGACGCCCCCTTCAAGATTCGCGATGTGCAGATCATTCAGGCCGAGGTGCGGGATTGCGTAGCGGGTCTGGCGCGCCAGCACTGCAAGTATGGTGTCTACAGCTCCTGGCCATGCAGCCTGCAGCCGCTCCAGCACCCATGGCCAGCCTCTGCCACCGGAGTTGGGTGCATGCTGTCATTTGTACGCGCTTTCATGGCTATAGGGGGCGTCCTGGCGACATGCAGGGTTGGCCATTCCGCGGTTGGTGTGTGTGAGGACTGGTCGGCTGGTCTGGCCACATGACCTGCACTCTGGCAGCACCTGCGGTGCAGGTCAAGCTGGTCAAGTGCGTGGTGCATGATGTCGTGGTAGATGTGTCATTTGACACCGTGGGAGGGCTCTGCACCGTGGCCTTTCTGGAGGCGGCGGACCGCCGCATTGGGCGGCAGCACCTCTTCAAGCGTTCCATCCTGCTGGTGCGTGTGCTTGGCGATGCTTGCTGGCGGCCGGCCATTGCGCTTCAGCGCAGTGGTCCATCTGCCGATGCCGTCCGGCATTTGATGGGCAGCAGGCACATGCTTTGTGGGGCGTTTGGGCAGCTGCGGAGTTCCACCCCAGCCTCCCCCTGCATCTGCAGCTCAAGGCCTGGTGCTACTACGAGAGCCGGCTGCTGGGGGCGCACCATGGCCTCATCTCCTCCTATGCCCTGGAGGTGCTGGTGCTTTACATTTTCAATCTGCACCACGCCGAGCTTCATACCCCCCTGGATGTGAGCCTCACTTGCCATGTGCACGTCCACACGGAGCCTGGGCGGCTTCTCCCTCCTGCCTGCATGGGCAGCACCTTGCCTTCCAGGCTGGCTCTTCTGCAGTGGGTTCCACAGCCCTCCACTGCCTGTGCTTCGATGAGATTCAGTGCGGTGCGCCACGGCTGCACTGCAGGTTTTGCGGCGCTTCCTGGCTGTGCTTGGCTCTTTTGATTGGGAGCGGTATTGCCTGGCGCTGCAAGGCCCGCTGCCCATTGCGGACCTGCACAAGCTGCATGGTTAGTGAATGTGTGCATGAGCAGTGCGATGTGTGAAGGGATGCCAGGGCGTGCCAGAGGGCTTGTGGGTTGCCCGGTGCTTTTTCACTGCAGCCAGCATCAACTTTATCATCTTTGTGATGCGGTGTTGTGTGCAGTAGATCGCACTGCATTAGTTTCCAGCGGCACGGAGCCGCTTTTGGATGCGGATTTCATGCGGGGAGTCCTGCAACACTACTCTGTGCAGCACCTCTCTCAGCAGCAGCAGCAGGAGGCGGCAGGGATGCAACTCGTGGCGCCGCGCTTCCCCCTCAAGCACCTCAATATCGTGGATCCGCTTCTGCCCAGCAACAACCTGGGGCGCAGCGTCAGCAAGGCTTCATATGCCCGGGTAAAGAAGGCGCTGGCGCTGGGCAACCGCATGCTAGAAGAGGCGCTGCTCAAGGTGCGTCTCGATGGAAGTCATGGCACTCTCTCTCCCCAGGCGACATGATCAACTGACTCGGAGTTCCAAGTTTCATGCGTGGTATAGGATCCTCGTTCGGCGGTGGACTCGCTGGATAGCATGTTCAAACATACTTGGCGCTCCCCTGTGCGTATGGCAGCTGACAATCAGACATTCCTGGCCAGGCTGAGCAGCATCCAGCTGGCCCCAGCAGCCACCGAGGCGGTGGTGGCAGCGGCTGCAGCAGCGGGCTTCCCGCTGCATCTACCTGGCAGTGGCAGCCGCCCAGCAACCCCTCCAGTGGCAACGGCGCATCCTTCCGTCGCATTGCTCAGCAATGGCAGCGTTGAAACCCAACAGATCCAGCAGCGGCAGCAGCAGCAGCCTGCCGCACAGACCGCACAGATGGCAATGCTCCAGCTGCTGTTGAGTGATCCGCTGAGCATGCCAGCATGGCAGCAACAGCATGGCATGAATCCTGCTATGTTGCTTCAGCAGCAACAGCAGCAGGTGGCATTGCAGCAGCAACAGCAGCAGGCAGCCAATTTGGTAGCGGCAAGCATACCAATGCCTGCTGCCGCCACTGATTGTATAGAGGAGGCGGCCGCGGAGCGGAGTGCAGCTGACCACAATCGAGGCAGCAGCAGTCAACCAGCGGCTGGTCGGGCAATGCTGGAGGGTGAGCCCTCGCATGTAGTTGGCAAGGAGGGTGATGCACCCGGGCTCCAGCATGTAGCTGTAGCCACCGTCCCACACCTTGCCTTGAACTCTTGCTTGCATCTGCAGGTGGTGGTGGCTTTGCCAGCAGCAGCAGCACAGTAACGGCCAATGGAGCGGGCGCTGCAATCAGCTCCATGCCGACAGGTGCTGCTGCTGCAGCTCGCCCTGCAGCGAGCATGCTGTCTCTGCTGCCCGGCGCACAGGCAGCACAGCACGACTCACCGCATAGTTTCTTTGGTGGCAATCTGGAGGCGATGGAGCGCAACTTGATGGTGGCGCGGCGGCAGCGCCACCCTGAACCTGCGGCAGCGAGCGGAGCTGGACCCGGCGCCACCGCGGGTGCTGCAGCGGCCCAGTTGCAGCTGCCTTTGCCTGTCAGCCTTGCCGCATCGGGGGCGCAGCCTGCATGCGGTAGTCCAAGAGTTGCAGCAGGCGATGGCAATGGCATTCTTTCAGCGCAGCCAATGCCAGTCGGCTCTGCGGCAGCAGCGCATGAGACGCTGCATTGTGCTTCTGGCGGCAGCAAGCCTGCAGCAAAGGAAGTGGTGCCCCAAGCAACGGTGCTGCCATTACCGACCAGTGGAGCTGCAACCTCCCCTTCCCCAGCACCACAGTCAGCAGCAGATTCAGCCCCGTCAGCAGCAATAGTACTGCCGGCAGCGCTGCCACCTGCACCACTAGCAGCAGGGCCTGCAACAGCCAGTGCTACTCACGATTTGGCTGCCGCAATGGCAGTGCTGGCTGCTGTTCGGACACGCACCGGCCAGCCAGAGGCCTGTGCAGCAGCGCCTCTTGTACAGCCACCACCCCCGCGCTCCCCACTTCGCCCCCAGGCTCCACCACCACTGCCCATTGTGCCGCGCGCACCTGCGTCAGAAGGTACACGTTCGCCAAAGACATTTGCAGCCGCACTGCGTGCTAGCAGCAGGAGCAGCAGCAGCGCCAGCCTTGCCTCGCCAGCTACAGCAGGCATCGCGGCTGCCCATGCCAGCCTGGGATCCTCGCCTTCGCGGTCCAATCCAGCCAGCGGGAGCGGCACGCCCTCAGGCGCAGCAATTGCCAGCAGCGGCTTAGTCAGCAGACGGCCGGCCTGGGGCAGAGGGAGCAGTAGCAACCTGGCGGCAATGGGCAGCGCAGCGCCGGCGCCAGCAGCAGTGCCTGTGCCAGCCAACCAGCCACAGCCGCGCAGCTGGAGCGCAGTTGCAGCAGCAGGCACTGCGTCCAGCCGGCGGACGAGCTCTTCCAGCCTTCCACAAGGCAGCAAGGGTGGCTGAGGCTTTCACTTGCATACACAATGCTAAATGTTACATCCAGAACTCGCACAGAATTGTGCCGCACTTTTTTGGCATGCATCTCAGGTGAAGTAGAAAGTATGGACGTCCCCTTGCCCAAAACCGACTCCACAGCCAGGGCACTTGCGATGGCGCGAATCTGCAATTCAGGCAGCGGCAGGTGATGGGGTGGACTGAAGCCGAGGTGGGGCGTGATTTTGAATGACCGAGCGGAATGTGGCCCCTCCCTTTTTCAGGCACAAACAGCACTGCGCACCCAGGTTTCTGCGAATGCACTGCTGGCAGAACATGTGCCAGCACTTGGTAATGACCACATCCTTCTGCCGCTGGTGGCACACGTTGCAGTTGATCAGGGCCCGCAGCGCCGAGCACTCAGCCTACAGCCAAAGCCAGTGGCACAAACCGTTGAACAACCTGGCCACAAGTACCGACCGCAGTATTGCATGCAAATATAGATCACTGCATGCACCTGCAGCTCTCGATCCCCAGCCGCCGGCGAGGTCTGCTGCTGCCGCAGCCGCTCCAAGCGCTGCTGTGCATCCTGCAGTAGTACACCACAGTTTGTCTCCAGCATGGGGCTTACCAGGTGAACCGAGGGCACCATACCCACAGGCAGTGGTCAACTCGGCCAGCTCCCAGCCACTGGAAAGCTCAAGATGGCAATGGCAGCAGCAGGAGCAGGCAGTACCCAGTGCGCACCTGCAGCTGCTCCTCCAGCCGCTGTGTTCGCGTGATTTCCTTCTCTGCCCGTTCCATCTCGGCATCACGCTCGCTGACGTGGCGTGCTACCGCTTGCTGGGCTGCCTCAGCATCAGCCTGCACCAACGCAAAAATTGGTATTGCAAGAGGCTGAGTTGCCATCAACTGTGGACGCAGCTGATTGTACGACAGCTTACCCGTGCTGCTGCTAACAGCTGCTCGCAGGATTTGACGTCAGCATCCGCTGCATCGGCGCGGCCTGTGGCGGCACGTGCCTCGCTCTGCACCTTATCGAGCTCGTGCAGAAGGCTCTGCAGACGGGACAGCATGGCGATGCGTGTATGTCTGTGCCAGCGCCTGCAGTCCTTGCACGCAGGGTGTGCAAATGCGAGCTTGCCACCCACCTGCACCCGCGCCTCAAGCTCCAGAGAGCGCTGCTGAGCAAGAGCTGCAGCCTGCTGGCTACGCTTGGCTGCCGCTCCCGCATCAGCCCGCTCCTCCACAAGCTGCTGGCGCTCTTGTGCCGCTGCCGTTGCCTGCACAGATGGATTCGCAACAAACTCCATTGCACCACTGATCATTCAACACACCAGCGCTGTAGAGGCAGCATCAAACGCGGTAGGCAAACCTGTTGCAGCATCTTGGAAGCATCTTCATCGCGCTGCGCTAGCGATGTCAGCAGCCGCGCGTTCTGGGCCTGCGGCAATATACATGCAGTAGAGGAAGGAGCGATAATGTTGCTCTCTGCACATCCAACTCTGCTGAGGGCAAGATCGAAAAAGCTTGCCTGCGCATCCTCGTAAGCCTGCCCCACGCTCTCTATCTCCGCCATGTAAGCTTCGCTCTCATGCTGCACGTGTAAAGGGAGTCCACCACTTTAGGTCCAACAGCTTTGCACAATGTTCATTACCACCACAAACAGTTGTTCACAACACACGACCCCCTCCCACAGAACAAACTGCCAACGCTCACAAAATTGCCCCACCCTCCCATTCATTCACCTTGAGGTCAGCCACTTGCCCTTGCAGGGCATCCAGCTGGCGCTGCAGGCCGGCTGCCTCAGCTCGCAGCCGTGCAGCCTCCTCAACAGCTGCGCCCAGCTGCTGCTGTGCTTCGGCTGCATGCCGCTTAGCAGCCTCAGCAACCTGGTGCTGAGTGCTGCTCTGCAGCTGGGCTTGCAGGTGTGCCACCTGGGGGCAGCATGTAACAGCAGCTGGTGTGCAAAAGGGAGGGTGTACAACCCTTTGGGTAGACGCCCACCAGCAAGGCAGCTGAATATGCACGTCCAGCTGTTGTATCAAGCACCGGGATTGAGGCCCACCCACCTGCTCTTGAAGCTTAGCTTGGGCTACACGCGCATGGGTCACCTCGTGTGCACTGCTGCCAGCTGGGGGCAGGCACGTTTTGGTAGTGACTTCGACAAAAAGCCGCAGGTCCGCCTCACGCTCCTATGGAGAGCACAAAAACACGCCGATGACGCTTCAGATCCTGGCATTATACACAGCCAATTGATTTTACTGGATCGCCTTGATGCACGAGTTGCTACTTGCCTTCCACTGGTTCTCCTTGTCCTGCTGATGCGAGATCGCCTGCTTCTGCTTGTTGCAATGCTCGCGCAGGAGCTGTGCCTCTGTCTGCATCATTTCGGCTGCTCGCCGGTGCTCCTCGGAGGCTGCCTTGGCTGCAACAAAGAAGAACATCAGTTGGCCACAGACCAGCCATTCCATGGCCTCTTGAAACTCATAATTCATGATACAACTCAAAAAGGAATTTGCCGGAATTCCTGCTTGCCTGCTTCTAGCTCCGCTGGCAGGCCTTTGTGTTTGTCCAATGTGCCTTTGAGGGCAGCAACCTCAGTCTGCATTGTGACATAAACATGTCCCTCATCACAGCTCGCAGGCCAGATCGTCACCCAGGCTAGCAACGCATGGGTGTTGAGCTGGGCAGGCTGGAGAATGGACTGCAAAGCAGGTTGCCTTGCCTGAAGTGCCACAATCATCTCCTGCAGCTCCGCCGCTGTTTGCTTGCCACTCTTCTGGGCCCGCTCCCGCTGCAGTGTTGCCTCTGCCTCGCCACGCTGCTGTCGCAGCATCGCCAACTGCCGTTCCAGCTCCCTGCACATTCAAATTTCACGAAAATCGCGAATGTTGAGCAAATAACAATGAACTCGGCAGGCAGGCACACGTGCATGCATGCGGATGGACGCGCAGCAGAGTGCTCATTGTCACCTTATGCGTTCGTCGGCTGCTGGCAGCTGCCGCCGCAGATGCGCAGTTTGGTCCAGCTGTGGATCAGCAAGAAAGAACAGCGTCAGCAAGAGTGATGCCCTCAAGCACACAGACCCCCCCGAGCGGCAAGAACCACAAGTGTGGCGAGCGCCGGCCCAGGTGCTTGTCCCCGCACACCTGGAAACGCAGCTCGTGCAGCTGCACCAGCAGCTGGTCGCGGCCGCGCTGCAGCTCGCGCGCCCGCTCCTCCACCTTGAGCAACTCCACATTCAGGTGGCGGAACCGCTCCTGGTCAAACTGCTGCATGCGTGCCATCCGGTCGCGCTCCGACCCCAGCGCATCCTTCAGCCCTCGGATCTCTCTGCAGGCAGGCAGGCAGGCAGGAGAAGCACACTTGGGGCCTGGCTGACTTGCGGCCTGGCTGAGAATCCACGAATGGACTGGAAGCCAACAAAACAAATCAAATGGGTGGCAGTCGCCCAGGAGCAAACTTCAATCACAGCAGGCTAGGAGGGGTGGGAAGCACTGTCCACGGCGACTGGCTGTGCTGCTGCTGGGCAGCTTCCAGCCCGTGCTAGACAGCGGCTGGAGAGGCTGTTGTCCAAGGGATGGATGCAACGGCGGTAGTGATGGCAGCACGTGCTCTTGGTCGCGGGGAGAGCCTTGCCACTGGGAGAGTAGTGTCAAGAGATCAGGGTAGAGCGTTTCGGGGCATGTAAGGGCCCCGTGGCGGCTTGACTCTAACTCCCAATGTTCCCAGATATCAGAAAACAGCGCCAAAGAAAGGAAAAAACTGCCAGTCAGCCCTCCGCCCCAATTGTCGTGGACACAGCTCGGAGATGACAGAGGTAAGGCCCATTACGGAGGGTGCGACTGACTGACTGAGATTATTCGGAGGGTGCGCGCGTGGCAAGACGGTCAAGCGGAACATGCCGAGACTGGTCAAGCGGAAATTCCATCTGAGTTCACCCTGGCCGGAATGCCAATCAATCAATGGCCGCGTAGCTTAGCGGATAGAGCGACAGACTTCGAATCTGTAGGTCGCAGGTTCGATCCCTGCCGTGGTCGGCGAACTTTTTTCCTTCCCAAATGGTTGAAGCAGTGCTTCACTCATTGCCAGGTAATACATTGAGAGTAGGCAAAAGGTCCGCCTTCTTCCACACCCCTTTTTCGAGCACCCACTCCCCATCCTCAAAAACACCCCTAACCTGTCAGCCTTGATGAGCGCCTCCTCCCGCTCGTCCAGCTCCGCAGTCCGCTTCTGTAGCAGCTGCATCGCCTGCGCCGCATCATCTGCACCGCCACCCCCGCCGCCACCACCTGGCACCGGCGACCCGCTGCTGGCACCCGCGCCGCCCACCGCCGCCACAGGAATGCCGACCCCCTTGAGCTGAGTGATCTTGCGCTGCGCCACCAACAGCTCATCCTCACGGTCTGCAAGGGCCGGCAATCAAACACGTCGAGGGGCGGCAGCAGCAGTACGCCCACGAGCCCCCACCGCCCACGAGCGCCCACGAGCGCCCCAACCGCCCACACCGGCCACACCTGCCAGGCTGGACTGCAGCTGCTTGATCTTGGTCGCATCCTGCAACGCCTGGTCGCGCAGCCGATTGTTCTCTGCCTTGAGAAGGTTGTTCAGCGCTGCCAGCTGCGCATCCTTGGAGTTGCTGGCACTGCCGCCGCGGCGGCTGGGCGAGGGTGCGGCGCCCTCATCACCCCCCGCGCCGCCGCAAGCGCCTTCGCCCGCCGCCGCATCCTCCACCAGCTGCAACACCGCGCACGCCGCCTCCATTGTTGCCGCCATGCGCTGCCGCAGGTTCTGCTCCACCTCGGTGACATCATCAGCAAAATCCTCTGCACCCAGCCAGAGGGAAGTGAATGAAGAGAGGCCGTTGCAGCTGGTGGAGGATGCGGTGGCGGGCGGGGGTGGTGGCGGCGGCGAAGGGGGCGATGAGGATGCCGCATCATCTGCGCCACCACCCCGCCCCGCCCCCGCCGCCACCACCTGGCACCGGCGACCCGCTGCTGGCGCCCGCGCCGCCCGCCGCCGCCACGGGAATGCCACCCCCCTGGTGCATGACACAGACTGCAAATGTGCAGTTGCTGCAGCTTGTGCACCACACACTCCCAGCACGCACCCGCCATGCGCTCCGCCTCCTTGTCGCCTGTTAGGTGCGTGAGCAGCAGCTTGGACAGAAAGGGGTTGGCCTTGCGCAGCAGGTCAGCATCCGTGGCCTCCGTGTTCTCCTGCTGCGCCTCTGCCAGCCGCCCGCTGGCCCTGCGGCAGCACGGCGCAGCGGAGCAAAACAGGAACAGAAGCAAGCGCTGCGAGTTAGGCTGTCGCTGTGCTCAGATCAGGTGCAACAACAGACCAGACAACAGCGGCGGTAACAACCGCGCCAACTCCCACCTGTACTGGATAAAGCTGATTGATGCATTCAGCTCCTCCCACAGCCTGTTCACGCACAACAGCGTCTTCTGATGCGCCTCCTCGCGTGCCGTGTACTCCTCCAGCCTGCAGGGTGGGGCCGCAGGCCGCTTGCGTCCCGCCACTGCAGCCAAGACACACTCACCACTCCCCGCCACTCTGCAGTGCTTGCCTCTTCTCCAGATGGTTGATCTGCTTCCGCTGCACATCACACTGTGCCGACAGCTTTGCATTCTTGTCCACCAAGAGGTCAAGCCGCTGCGCTGACATGCCGGCGACACCGCCTGCAACCTGGTTGCGGCAGGCACTGCCAATCAACCTTCGGCCCGGTCCAAAAGCTCCGAAGGCATCGATGCATCCCGGCGAGGACTAACAAAGCGAGCGAGACAGTGTCGCTGGGCTTCGCAGGGACGTGAGCTGCAACAACTCACCCTCGCCTTTCAATTGCTCAGGGCTGGATGTCTCTCTACCAGGCTGCTGCTGCAGACGGCCGTCGTGGGCAGAGGTGTCGCAGCAGCAGTTCGGGTGCTATCCCCAGAGGTGGCAGTCCGGAAACTGGGAGAAGCAGATACGCAAGCAGGAGCAGCAGAAGGATAAGAATGCAGCGGTGATGCGCTGGCAGGCCGGCAGCGCGGCACAGCGCATGGCGGACAGGAACGCCAGGCCTGGATGTACTGGTGGGTGTTGCAGGTGTTGAACCAGATGAAGTTAATGCGACCCCAGCCCGGATAATGGAGTGGTGGTAAAAGGCTGATTTTGGCGGGTGTCGGGCTGGCACCGCCTGCCAATGCGCCACAGGCATGCACACGTTAGTGCGCTATGTAGTTACAAGAAGCGAAGCTATACAAGCAGATCCGTTAACGTCTTGAAAAAAAACTGTTCAAAACTGGCGCTATAACACTAAACACCCGTTAAAAGGCTCGCTCTCCGCTCTCCGCTGCTAATCGCTACTGGTCGGCAGCTGTCCCTGAGCTCCGTTGAAAACTTGGTATCAGCTGCTGGCCGCTACTGGTCGGCCGTTCGGCCCTAAAGCTTGGATGCTGCGCCTTTACCTGCCGACAGCTTGGTGCCCTGGCGTGCACAGCGCTCCAAATATGCAGACGGTTTGAAGAAGCCCTGCAGAGCTGTGCCGCTGAACTGCTTTGCCCAGCCGGCCAGCCGCTGGCAGATGTAGTCTGCACATGGGCAGGACAGAAGCGCGGCTTCAAGTGCATGCACTGGGCGGGGATGCAAGCCGTGCAGGGCACCCGAGGCGCGAAACACATGACAGTAGGGCAAAGGCAATAGCAGGACACGCCCGTCCTCAACGCACCTGCTCCGACCAGATCAGCCCAGAAGATGAGGCCACCACGGAAGGCGGGGAAGCCCATGCCCATCACCATTGCCACATCCAGGTCTGCCGGCTTGTCCACAATGCCTGAACAGCGTGCGATTGCAACAGGGAGGATGTAAAAGTCAGGACCGTTGCATTGGTGGAGACAACATGATGCTGCGCCACATCCAGAAGAAGCGACCACGCCTTGCTGGCCTGTGCATCCTCACCTTCATCAATGACGCGGCAACCCTCGTTCACCACAGGGAAGAAGATAAACTCCACAATGTCCTGGTCGTTCATCTTTGGAGGTGGCGCCCCATCCTGATACAGCCCAGCACCCTACAGTGCAAGCAGAACAGCAAGCACGCCAGAGGCGCAGTGGTGAGCACTTGGAGCAGAAGCCGAGATGCATGTATGCCCCCAAAGCGTGCCATGCCTGGCGTGGCCCCACCTTCCGCGACTGCTGCACCAGGGGCGCGAGGTCGGGATCGGGCGAGGCGCGCCGGCGGGCGTCATACTTGTAGAAGCCACGCCCGCTCTTCTCGCCCAAACGCTTGTTCTCGTTCAGCAGCTGGATGATGCGGGCAGGGTAGCAGCGCTTGGAGAACGACTCCAAGAAGTTCTTGCCCACGTGCAGCCCTATGTCGGCACCCACCAAATCGCTCAGCCTGTGTGTGGGACACGGCAGGCACGAGCAAATGGGTGCACAGGCAACAAGCACATCAACTTTGAAACCACTGCTCCCAACGTGCCCGCCAATCGCTGAATGCACGCGCTCCCCGCTGCTCTCGCTAGACCTGAAGGGACCCATGGGCATGCCAAAGCCGGCGATGATCTTGTCAATGCGGTAGGGGTCCAGCCCCATGTCTACCAGCATGCAGGCTGCCTGTAGTGGGCAGACGGGCCGACAAACAGATGTAGGCGGCTTGTTGTGTACAGGACACAGGCAAACCAAGCACTGTGCTGGGTACCTTTTCAAATCCAGGTGAGGCTGGGAAAACTGTCAGAACACATACACACGCCCACCTGAGTGTAGGGGAAGAACACGCGGTTAACGGCAAACCCCGTGCAGTTGCCCACCACGACGGGCGTTTTCTTGATCTTGGTGCTGAGCTCCAGGGTGTCCAGAATGACCTGAACGGAGATATACAAATTGAACGGAGATATGCAAAAACGATTCACCGACGTGGACGGTGGCGGCTTGGCACTGGTGTACATGGCTCTGCTGAAGAAGTGCTCCTCCCCAGAAGCATGCTCAAAAGATGCCACAGAGACCGGACATGCAGACCTGCTTGGATGTCTGATCAGTGCGCACGATCTCCAGCAGCGGCATCACGTGGGCTGGGCTGAAGAAGTGCGCGCCCAGAATGCGGTCTGCGCACACAGCAAACAAGTCGAGCATCAGAGCTGTTGAAAGGGGCTGCAGCATGTGCCGGTCATCATGGTCTGCCGTGCCCTGTAACATTTTGGTATGAAATGCCGTGCTGGAGCGGCTTGGGCTGTGAAAAACTGGCATATATGACATGGGGCCCAGTGTGCATGCCCCTCACCTGCGCAGGAGGTCTTGGCCCCGACCAGCTCAATATTGATGGTGGAGGTGTTGGTGGCAAGAATGGCGTCCTTGCGACAGCTGCGCTCCAGCTCTGCAAAGATCTCCTGCTTCAGGCCCACATCCTCGATGGCCGCCTCGATCACCATGTCCACGCTGCCAAAGCCGCTGTAGTCCAGCGCCCCCTGCACAGCAATCAGGTGGTCACCCCCATTGCAATTTCAGCATTGACTGTTTCATTGTAACCTTTCGCCGGCACACGCGACGAATGCCATGCGACAGCATGCACGCCCATGCACGCCCATGCACCACACCTGGACGCGGGACATGGCTGCCTGCGCCATCTGCTCGGTCATGCGACCCTTCTTGACCCGGCTGGCCAGGTTTGACTGGATGCGCCCCATGCCGGCCTGCAAAGGTATCACCAGTGCAGAATCAGTGCAATACCAGTGGGAGCAAGGGTGCTGGGGCTGGGGCTGTGGCCCAGGGCTGTGGCTCAATGCTATTCATCATGGAACTCTGACACGGCAAGCACCACTCACATCCAGGAACTTCTGGTTCACTTCCTTCAGCAGCACCTCGACCCCCGCGAGCACGCAAGCGGTGGCAATGCCACTGCCCATCAAGCCGCCGCCAAGGACGGCAACACGTTTGATGGGGCGGGGGCGCAGACCTGTGTCGGTCACGCCTGCAGCAAACACAACACACGCACAGAGAACATATGCACGCCCTCAAGCCGCCATATACTTAGGAATAATTTCTCAAAACACAGGCATCCAAAACGCTTCGTAACGTGCTTACCCCTGATCTTCTTGGTGGAGCGCTGTGCAAAGAAAATGTGAACGAGTGCCTTGTGTGTGTCCAGCGCCGCTGCTGCACCAAAGCACTCCCCCTCCTGCACGAGGCACTCAACCCAAACGTGTAACAGCACAGTGGAAGCAGGCGGGCGCATGCATATCGAGTGCCTACGCATGCATCCAAGTGCGTCTTAAAACACATGAACGGCATGGCAAGGCACCGTTACTTGATGAGGGATAAAAACATGGGGAGGCAGTGCCAATGGCAGCGCACACCTTCTGCAGGCCGGCACGGCCACCATGCTCGATACCGTACTGGATGGCATCCAGGCACAGCAGCGGATGCATCAGATGGCGTGCCCGCTTCGCGGCCTACACAGACCAAATAGTCACAGATGAGCAGCAGCCAGGCAGCCGCTGCACGGTGCCTACATTGCCACCATTTCGCAACCAACATTGCTCAGCAACTATACTGTTGTGCTGCGTGCCTGCGACCGCGCAAACTGCAAAATTGCCAGCGCCTCGCCCAGCGGTTCCAACTTGTCAGTGCGGTAGAGGGTCTGCACCCGGGCACGCTTGCCAGCTGCATGCACACAGCGGATGTTGGTTGAGCAGGACAATGATTTGCATGCCCAGGTGAATCAATAGCACTGTATCCCGTTTATTTGGCAATAATCCGCAGTCAATCAGGGACCAACGACCAAAGCGGGGCAGAAGTAAAACCGCATTTGACACCTGCCTGCGATGTCGAATGCCACCCGCTTCGCGACCTCCAGCAGCTGCCCTGGTGGCACCACCTCATCAGCCAGGCCCAGCTCACGAGCCGCGCGATCCTTGATGGGAGTGCTGGTCAGCATCATCTCCACCGCCTTCTGCAAGCCTACCGCGCGTGGCAGGCGCTGCGTGCCGCCAAAACCGGGGATGATTCCCAGCTGCAGCTCGGGCAGGCCAAACGAGGTGCCTGCCCACCACAAACAGGGGCGTGGCAGATTGTCAGCTGATGATGGCGGCATGAAGGCAGCAGCACTGCCACAGCAGCGCTGCCACACAATGACGACTCCAACGAGAATGGGGCCAACACACAACAAAGCGGCCCTCAGCAGCGCCCCACCGGGCCCACCTGGTGTACACACGCGTGCATTGCATGCCAAAGCTAGCTCACACCCGCCACCCAGCGCCATTGTCTGCACTGCTGCCACCGTGGGCTTGGGTCCTGACTCAATCAGGTCACAGAAGGCATCGTTGATATGGGCGTCGATCCCGCCGCCACCGCTCGACTGCACGAACTGGTTGATGTCAAAGCCGGCGCAAAAGCGGCCTGCATGGTGCAGCGCAGCGCAGCGCGGCCGTAAACTGTCACAGGAGTGCCTGGCACGCCCTGGGGGGACCAGAGGTGCGCCACGGAGAGCAAGCCCTATGTGGCAGACGGGCGGCAAGACAGCGGATGTCGCCGCACCATTGGCTCCGGTGATGACAATGGCCTTCACCTCCTGCCTTGCCTGCGCCTCCCTCAGGTGGTTGAACAAACTTTGCAGCACTGCATCCGGCAGACCGCGGGCGCAATCACGTCAGCGTTTGTAGCGGGTGTCGGGCGCCTCGTAGCGGGCCAGTAACAACCGTGTGTGGCATGCAGTCGGTGGGTTTGCTCACCAGTTGGGTGAAGGCTGTTCACAGGTGGGTTCACCAACGTCACGAGCGCAATGCCGTCTTCCGTGACGGCCAGAGTCGTGTGAGGGCCAGACATGGTTGGGAGCGCAGGTTGGAAGACATGCGCGGGTGTCGGGGGCCTGGCCCATGGAAAGGTGTCTTGCCGCCAAGTTGGCGGCGGCAGCACCCCTGCCACATCGTTGTTGGACGTTTCCTCTTGAATCATCAATGAACTAGCTAAGCTAAGCAGTTTAACAACAACTTTGAGAAAGCGACTGAGCTTCTTCTTGTTGCATTTCCTTGACCTCACCCTCCTGCTGTTAACATTAAGTCAACCACTTGGTCAGCAGCAAACTCTCGCGGGGTTTCTTTTGTATATGTCAAGGTAAGTTTAGTCTCAACAACAAAAGGGAAAGAGTAGCGGGCGCAATTCGCGCAGGCAAAGGAAGTAACAGCAGAAGCAAACATGCAGCTACATGCTTGGGCAGCACTCGGGCAGCACAATCGCAGGCGCCTTCTTCTTGACGCAGCTGCGCAGCGGCACACCCAGCGCTCCAGCACGCTCCTTGATCCTGGCAATGGTGCTTGCATCGCCCGACAGCAGCACGTCGGGCTCCACATACCACACCTGCTCGAAGGTTTGGAGCACCGGCAGCAGCATTGTGGGCACGCCAAATATCTGCAGGCCATCAAGAGACGGCAGCTCCTTCTCCAGCACGTCCAGGCATGCAAACAACAGGTCCTGCTGTGCGTCGTTGGCTGCAAGCTCGCGGGTCTTCTGGTTGGCAAAGGGCGCGCCCTTGTACGCCAGGAATGAGCGGTATGGCGTCAGGATGGCAACTGCTGGGCCGCCAGCGGGGGCGTGCGTCAAGCCGCTGAGGGTGTCCCGGAAAAAGGTGGTGTGGTTCACTCGGCTCAGCCAGTTCGTGAAGCCCATGCCATAGGCACCTGAGGCCGCCGTCAGCTCCATGGCCCGACGATGCAGCTCTGGGTCCTTAATCTCCTCAAATGCTCCCTCAAAGTAGATGGGCTTGTTGAAGGGCTTCATGGCGCTCAGAAGTAACTGCACAACCCGCACGTCGTTGGGCTGCCTCGAAACCGTCACAAAATTGGAGTCAATGATGATGTAGTCCAGCCAGGGGCTGGCAGCCAGCGTGAACACGCTGCCCGAGCCGTAGATGGCGTCGCCACTGGTGAAGACTTCTGGGAAATGCATGATGCAGCGGAAACCGTGCGCTGCAATCCGCTGACAGCAGCCCTCGTAAACCGAGTGTTGCTGAATTTGCCTGAAGTGCTGCCAGTCCCAGTAAAACAGGTCGGTCATGGTGGAATTGTAGTGCTCCCCATGCTGGTAAAACTTGGGCGGCACAACAGCTTCCCAGGCATTGAAGCCGGTGCCCCACCGCTTGTTCCAGTGCGCCAAGCCACCATGCACGTGCTTCACGTACTCGCGAAATGCCATTGCCGCTGCAGGACTGTAATCCTGGGGTGCATCCCGCTCCTGCACGCAAGCACAAACATCCCAGATGATGTGTGGAAAGATGGAAACAGTGGGAACGCAGGCGGCCAGCTGTCCACCCACCTGAGTGTATTTCGTTTCGTACTGGTTGTTGAATGTGGGCTGGATGGAGTGGATGCAGGAGGCGTCGTTGGCTGCCAGCCGGGCAAGCACCGCATCCTGCCAACTGTGAGCCAGCTCCAAAGCAAAGATATGATTGAAGGACGCTGTGCCACGGGTCAAGTTCAAAACATCTGTCATGACGCCGTCTGGGAACCGTTTCGCCACCCAGGGTGGCGTCGCATCGGTGTCCAGCACCACTGCCAACTTGAAGCCCTGGGCGCAAACGATTTTTTGGATGTAGTCCATGACACGGAAGTTGAAGCCCCCACGTGGAGTGGGCTGCTGCAATTTCCACATGAAAGAGACGAAAATGGTTTGCACTCCTTGCTCCTGCAGGCAGCAAGGAAACGTGCCAATGGCGCGGCTGGCGGGCCAGGGTACTCTGCCTTGGGAGCGAGGCAGTGTGATGGCCAGCGCTGAAAAAACAGCAGTCCCCACTGGCAAGTGCCGGCGGTGCTCACCTTGACGCTCAGCAGCAGCTTCTCAAAATCAAAAGGCGCTGTTGTATTTGGCAGGGGCCCATCGTTTGTCATGCCCAGCAGCATCGACTGCTCAATAGCCCACAAGGTGGCAAACACCTCCCGCACACCTTGTGGCTGCTGCGCTGCCCGTGCAGGCACCACGTGAGCATGGCTATCTCGGCTGATGCTGCTGTCCCTGCTGGGGTGAGAGCAAGTCACAAACATGTGATGGAAGCATATGACCAACAGCGTTGCTGCAGCGGCCTGAAGCCACAGCCAGCGCTGTCGGTAAGCGGGCTGCACTGCCACCATGGACCCCAGCAAGCGCCTGCAAGCACAAGGGGTTGAACACCAAAGCTCCAGCGCGCTGAGTGCCACTTTGCCACGCCGCCGCCGCCATCACCCATCACCGCAGCACTGGCTCGGGAAGTGCGTGGCCCGACGTGTGTAGAGGCAGGGAGTCTTCTGTTCCTGCTGCAGCGCTCGGTGCACAGAACAGTCTGCCAACCAACTCGGGCAGAGTCATAGACCAGCGGACCCGCACCTGATGACTTCTAGGGGCCCATGAAATTGCCGTCTTTGGGCAGAGACGCGAGAAAAACGGTCAAGCCCCAACTGCTGTGCCAACAAAGTGCTCAAGCCAATGTGCTGGTGATGTGTCTATGATAGGCTTCGCGGCAATAGGTTAATTCCCAGTCCTGTCCACCGAGCGGGCCCTGAGCTCTCGCAGTACGTACGGTAACATGGTGTTGGACGTTACTCACTCGCACGCATCTGCAGAGGCGGACGCATGCATTGTAGCGTCGCAGAAGCTCTCACCGTGGCCTCACGGCGATGCTGCTATCTGCTGGCCACCCTCGGCAGCTCGTGCAAGCTTTATGTTGATGAGAGGTCCAGGATGGCGCACCTCTGGATGTGATGAATGATGCGGTGCCAAATTGAATGCGGCAGTGAGGCCGTGCCACCGCCGCCGCCGCTGCCAGTGTTACCGCCGCCCCCGCCGCCGACGCCGCCGCCAGGTTACACCCCTGGGCTGTTCCCATCAAATCTGAGTTGTTACAAATAGCACTGCTGCAGCATGAAGGTGGCAAGCCCCAAGCGACATCACGCATCTCGGCGCGCGTATCTTCTGTTTCCCGCATGGAGCTTCTTGGGCGCCGCCCTGCTGCTGACAGCCTTGCACCAGCTCAAGTGGGGGATAATGCTGCACCCGACCAGCAGCAGCACGTTGAGCGATTGGAGCACGAGCTGGAGCAATGGGCATTTCAAGCGAAAGGCAGTTCGTACCTCCGCCCAGCCGGGCTTTCAAGAGGCGTTTGCCACGCTGTTCGCGCTGGAGATGCAAGACCTGCTCGGCATCAAGGAGGATGGGCCGCTGCCCCCCAAGGGCACCAGGCATGATTTGGGGGATGTGGTGCGGGGCCTCAAGGTGGGTGCGGCCTCCTGTTCAGATGGTATCATGGTCGATTGCAGGCATTACAGGCATTGGCGGTCTTGTTGAAAGCAACCTGTCCTCCATGCAGGAGCAAGGAGTGGGCATCTTGTTCACTTCGTTGAAGTGGTTCTTCCAGCAGCCCACCCCAGACACATTCTCCTTTCGGGTTTTAGATTACATCCAACAGACCGTTTGCAGCCTGGGGCTCAAGCTTGCAGTCGTGCTGGATGCCCAGGCCAATCCCCCTTGGGTGCTCGCCAAGTTACCCGGTGCAAAGAATGTGGATGCATGGGGCAACCACAGGGGCGCAGTGTCGTTTTCGCACCCAGGCGCGCTTGCGCTGGTGCATGCCTGGCAGGATGCGGTGCTTGGCCGGCTGGCAGCCAACAACGCCTCCTGTATCCACTCCATCCAGCCCACACGTTTAACAACGAGTATGAAACGAAGTACAGTCAGGTGGGTACACTACTGTGCGACGTTGCAGCAACACATGCTGCATGCTCACGGCGTCTTGTGTGTGCAGGAGGGTGATGGCGCCCAGGACTACAGCATCAGTGCCTTGAAGCTGTTCAACCATTACCTGCACAGTCTCCATAGCAAGATCAGCTACTGGAACCAGAGGTGGGCCACCAACTTTACCGACTGGGCAGCCGTACAGCCCACTCGATTTTTCCAGCACGGCGAGAACTGGGGCAACACTGCAACCGACCTACTTTACTGGGATTGGCAGCACTTCCGCCACCTTCGTCTTCACCGAGTCCATGAGTCTTGTTGTCAGCGGGTTGCGGCATATGGTTTCCACTGCATCATGCATTTCCCGGAAGTCCTGACTGGCAGCGACGCCATCTACGCTTCAGGCGCCGTTTTCACCCTGGCCGCCAGCCCCTGGCTGGACTACATCATCATAGACTCCAACTTCATGACCACCGCCATGCTGCCCACGCGCGACGTGCGGGTAGTGCAGCTGCTGCTCAGCGCCATGAAGCCCTATGGCAAGCAAGTCTTTTTTGAGGGGGCCTTTGAGAGGATCAGCGACCCTGAGATTCACCGTCGGGCAGTGATGCTGACTGCGACGTCCGGCGCGCACGGCATTGGCTTCACCAACTGGCTGGACCGTGTCGGGCCCACCTTCTTCAACGATACCCTGCAGGGACTGCCGCTCCCGCACAGCGACGCTCCGCCGGTGGCCGTCCTCACGCCATACCGCTCTTACCTGGCGTACAAGGGCACACCCAAGGATGCCAACGGCGTGCTCTTTCCCACAGACCCGCAGCAGGACCGGCTGTTTGCGTGCCTGGATGAGGTGGAGAAGGAGCTGCCGTCCCTTGATGGCCTGCAGATATTTGGCGTGCCCACCATGCTGCTGCCGGTGCTCCAAACCTTTGAGCAGGTGTGGTATGTGGAGCCCGACGTGCTGCTGTCGGGCGATGCAAGCACCATTGCCAGGATCAAGGAGCGTGCTGGAGCGCTGGGTGTGCCGCTGCGCAGCTGCATCAAGAAGAAGGCGCCAGCGATTGTGCTGCCCGAGTGCTGCCCAAGCATGTAAAGCTGTTGTTGTTTAGCATTCCAAATTGGAATAGAAATCAGCGTTGTAGGCCTAGTCATGCACAGCTGGCGGCGGCCCGTCATGGATGGCATTTCGTGGCCAAATTTGCTTTATCTACTCAGCTCAAACCCGCGGGTGGCAGCGCGGGATCCGGCATTTGCCGCTCCCCGCTCTGCTGCCTGGAATTTCGGTTTTCAACCGCCCCCACCGCGCTGCGCCGGCCGCGGACTGGGTCCCCCATCTGCTGTGCTTGTGAGTTTGCCAGTAAATTCGAACATGCAAACGGCGGTTGAAGCAACCATCTGGCTTTTTGCAGACTACAAAGCTCCTGCCTGCTCTGGCATAAAGGCATTTGGGTGTTGTGCGCAAAGAAAAACTGCCCAGGTTCTGGGCCCGCCTGGTTGCAGGTGTCATGGTGGTTGCTGCGCCCCGCGACCGCCGCCGGTGGCTGCCTGCCCAAGCTGCCGTAGCGATCTTCATTTTGGGAGTCTGCTTCCATCAGATTTTCTTGAAAAAGAACAGTCAGAATGCTCCGAACCACGCCATTGCCAACAGCGTCATTGGCGGCAGCATCATCAGTGGAGGCGGCAGCATCAGTATCAGCAGCAGTGTCGGTTGCAATACCTTCCCACGTGTGGTGCCTGCACGGGCAGCACAGCAGCCACAAGGTGTGCGGGAGGTGTTTGCCACCTTGTGGGCTATTGAGCAGTCGATGCTGCTGGGCATGACAAACGATGGGCCCCTGCCAACTACAACAGCGCCTTTTGATTTTGAGAAGCTGCTGCTGAGCGTCAAGGTGAGCACCGCCGGCACTTGCCAGTGGGGACTGCTGTTTTTTCAGCGCTGGCCATCACACTGCCTCGCTCCCAAGGCAGAGTACCTGGCCCCGCCCAGCCGCGCCATTGGCACGTTTCCTTGCTGCCTGCAGGAGCAAGGAGTGCAAACCATTTTCGTCTCTTTCATGTGGAAATTGCAGCAGCCCACTCCACGTGGGGGCTTCAACTTCCGTGTCATGGACTACATCCAAAAAATCGTTTGCGCCCAGGGCTTCAAGTTGGCAGTGGTGCTGGACACCGATGCGACGCCACCCTGGGTGGCGAAACGGTTCCCAGACGGCGTCATGACAGATGTTTTGAACTTGACCCGTGGCACAGCGTCCTTCAATCATATCTTTGCTTTGGAGCTGGCTCACAGTTGGCAGGATGCGGTGCTTGCCCGGCTGGCAGCCAACGACGCCTCCTGCATCCACTCCATCCAGCCCACATTCAACAACCAGTACGAAACGAAATACACTCAGGTGGGTGGACAGCTGGCCGCCTGCGTTCCCACTGTTTCCATCTTTCCACACATCATCTGGGATGTTTGTGCTTGCGTGCAGGAGCGGGATGCACCCCAGGATTACAGTCCTGCAGCGGCAATGGCATTTCGCGAGTACGTGAAGCACGTGCATGGTGGCTTGGCGCACTGGAACAAGCGGTGGGGCACCGGCTTCAATGCCTGGGAAGCTGTTGTGCCGCCCAAGTTTTACCAGCATGGGGAGCACTACAATTCCACCATGACCGACCTGTTTTACTGGGACTGGCAGCACTTCAGGCAAATTCAGCAACACTCGGTTTACGAGGGCTGCTGTCAGCGGATTGCAGCGCACGGTTTCCGCTGCATCATGCATTTCCCAGAAGTCTTCACCAGTGGCGACGCCATCTACGGCTCGGGCAGCGTGTTCACGCTGGCTGCCAGCCCCTGGCTGGACTACATCATCATTGACTCCAATTTTGTGACGGTTTCGAGGCAGCCCAACGACGTGCGGGTTGTGCAGTTACTTCTGAGCGCCATGAAGCCCTTCAACAAGCCCATCTACTTTGAGGGAGCATTTGAGGAGATTAAGGACCCAGAGCTGCATCGTCGGGCCATGGAGCTGACGGCGGCCTCAGGTGCCTATGGCATGGGCTTCACGAACTGGCTGAGCCGAGTGAACCACACCACCTTTTTCCGGGACACCCTCAGCGGCTTGACGCACGCCCCCGCTGGCGGCCCAGCAGTTGCCATCCTGACGCCATACCGCTCATTCCTGGCGTACAAGGGCGCGCCCTTTGCCAACCAGAAGACCCGCGAGCTTGCAGCCAACGACGCACAGCAGGACCTGTTGTTTGCATGCCTGGACGTGCTGGAGAAGGAGCTGCCGTCTCTTGATGGCCTGCAGATATTTGGCGTGCCCACAATGCTGCTGCCGGTGCTCCAAACCTTCGAGCAGGTGTGGTATGTGGAGCCCGACGTGCTGCTGTCGGGCGATGCAAGCACCATTGCCAGGATCAAGGAGCGTGCTGGAGCGCTGGGTGTGCCGCTGCGCAGCTGCATCAAGAAGAAGGCGCCTGCGATTGTGCTGCCCGAGTGCTGCCCAAGCATGTAGCTGCCTGTTCCTGGTGTATCCCCTTGCAATCATTTAATTGTCTGCGCAAACTGCGCCCTGATACCCTGTCTGTTTTTCATTCATCGAGGTGTGACATTGCATCACAGCAGGCAACTCATGATTGGCTACATTGCAAACATTGGTAAACTTCAACCGTAGACCTCCCTGATCTTGTCGGGGTTTGTGTGCACCGGCGCGGCGCGGTCCCTGAAGCAGCATCAATGGGAAATTGCAGCAGGTGGCAGGGTGACTTGGCAATAGTGAAAAGATAGCAGAGCATCGCAAACTCATGATGCGACACCACACCTGAACACATCTCGCGCGTCCCGACTGCTGCTACGCTGCCGCTCCCTGCACCCGCCAAACAGCAAAGAGATGGGGTAACACCAAGTGTGGAGGCCCGGCAGCACATGTTGGCCTCGCTGCTAGCATTGGAGTGGCGCACGTGATGGCTCATGTGCATGTCACTATACCAACTAGCCGCACAAACCTGCTCCTGCTGCGCCGCTTCTCGTACTTCCTGTCGTCCCGACGCCGCTCATAGTCCCGGCTCCTGCTGCGGCGCTGGTACTCCCTCTCCTGTCCATCCTGCCTGTAGGTTCTATCCCGACTCCGGCTGCGCTCCCGCCGGTAGTCCCGCTCCCGGCGCTCCTCCTTCCTCCCGTTGCGCTCCTTCTCATCCCGCCATCTGCAAGACATGGGGCAACAATAAACAACTGTCAACCAAACACAGCTTTAGCAGCAATCCAGTAACCATGGCGGCGCCACACGGCTGTATGAGGGCTGCAGCGCCTAGGCGACCCATTGCGCCACCTCGCCGCCAGAGGCCGCAGCCGGAGGCGTTGGGGAGGCGGTGGCGGCAGCTGGAGAGTAGCCGCGGGGTGCGCCTACCTGCCATCCCGCCGCTCCTTCCAATCGTTGCGGTTGGTGCGGCGGTCATCTCTGAAACAACAGGTGGATGAAAGAATCCCCGGTTTCGAACACAGTAAACAACTGGGTGGCGCACCGCCTGTTTGAGACCAGATGCAGTTGCGCACCTGTCTCGCTGGCACTCGTTGCGGGATGCCGGTCGTTCTTCGCGCTTGTATGGGGAGGGCGAACGATGAGCGCCGCTGCCCACTGCAGGGATTGCAGATGAATAGGCAGCTGCTATGAAACCAAGCTTGCTGCCTGGTAAAGGCAGCTCTCTGCTCAATGAAGGTGTAGCAACTCAAGAAAACAGCCCACCTTGCAGGTCGGCTCCCATGCCTCGGCCCTGCTCCCGTGCGCCGGCGCGATTCGGTGCACGCTGCCCAAACGCAACTGCAGGAGGGCAGAGCATGCTCTGGGTTGTTACCCTGGGTACTTGGACAGTGCACAGCTGTCCCAAAAGGTGCTGCCCCAGAGCAGCGGCAGAGCGACAGACTTCCTCACTGCTGAGGTTGACGAGAGCAGCCTCGTGTACTAACAATGTCGGGCAACTGCTGGGCATCTTTTCCCATCCATATGGCCAAAATCGCTATGTGCAGCAAATGTCACACCTGAAAGCGATGCCTTGACAGATGCAGGGCGGGCAGTGCCGTCATTCACGCCACGTCGGTCGGCACCACCTGTGCGGCAGCAGGGAGACACCACGGAGTGGCATTGATCAAAGAAACTGCGCATTGAAGGACGAAAAGGCTGCCCATCCAATGGCACACACCTTGCCCTGCATTTCCCACTGCCACCGTGGGTAGCCCCATTTCCTTCAGGTGGCCACAAATCTCATCATGCACTGCAACATAAAGGGAATTGCAAGGACACCTAAGCAAACAGACAAATGTAAGGCGAGCCGGGGCATGAAAACCAACAGATGCCCTCCAATCGCACCAGGCTTGGGCACACGCGGAAAGATGGTCTCAAAGTAGAACTGCAAAGAGGGTCAAAAGAGAGAACTGAAAGTGTCAGAGCTGTTAATTAAGACACCGAAGCCAACACAAGCATGCTTCAGCTTGAAAGAACAGAGAGACTTGAGCAGCCAAGGCACGCATATTGGCTGGCAGAGGAATGTACCCACTGCATGCAGGTCAGGTGATGGGCCTCTCAGGCCGCTGCAACAAAATGGGACCACACCTGCACACAGCAGGGAGGGCAGGAGCAAAGTGATGAGGTGCAACTGATGGCTGGCGTGATATTGCAGACCGAACAGCTTCCTGTAGTACCTTTCCCCTTTGTGAGATATAACCCGAGCCCGACAATGGGAACCCTACGGCCTGCAGTTTTCTGCATGCCTGATGTGTACCTCTACCGTCGCATTTAGCCACCGAGGGCTTGAGAGTTGCCGCCGCCAGTAGCCCGCAATAACTCGGCCAGATGCACCATTCACCCCCCCAGCTCCCTCCCCCGCCCCACCCTCTAAACCCCTGGAGGACATGGGTCGATGCATATAAGCCAAAACAAAAGGTATGGCACCCACCTGATCGAGCAGGATGTCGCGTGCAAACGCGCCGATGGTCACTGTGCGGCCCAGCCCCGGAGGCGATGGCTCAAACTCCTGTGTGAAGAGCAAGGAAAGGAGGCCCGCTTTGCAGATCTGCACAAGATGTGGTGCAGTACAGCAGCGGTGCATCTTGCCGGCCAAACGCTGCTTTCATCTCGCCCACCTCCTCGTCGCGCACGTAATTCCTGAACCAGTCCCACAGCTGGCGCGGGTCGCACACGTAGCGCAAGTAGAGCAGGCCAATCTGTGGCGACAAACGAAAACCCGGATTAGGGGCCACAGAAGCACGTCCACAGTGTAGCCTATGTGCGCAGCAGGAGCAGGCAAATCGTGCTCGACTCACCGCGCGGATGAAGGTCGAGTCGACATGGTCTAGCATCTGCCGCACCTGCCGCACATCCGGCTTCAGCTGCACAGCCCGTGTTGTGTGTGGGGGGATCAAAGCCAGAGGCTTGCACAGGCGGGGGGCAGGGATGGGACAGGCTGCAAGGTGCAAGCCTCGATCACCGTCAACACGCCGCACCTGACACAGGCGGTAGAGCAGGTTGAAGGCGGTGGAGGGCCCGCGCGCATTTCCGCTCATCCAGGGCTCTACATTGTCCACGCTGCAGCCAGCAACGGGTGGAGAGGGGGGGGGGTGAGTCGAAGGGAGGGGGCCTGGGCGGCGGTGGTCGTCGGCTGCCGCACCACTCCGCTCCTCAGGAGGCGGCCACCCCCCGCGCGCTCACGTCTCAAAGATCTCGTCCACCAGCTCCGACCAGTCAGCTATGTCCTTTGCCCGCTTCTCCCAGTATTGCGAGCGCTTGATGTTTTGCAGCAGCACGGATTCTAAGTTGAAGGTCGTCTGGTTGCCATACTGCTCCATTCTCCTGGCTCGCAGTCACCCACACCCCGTCCTCGCTGAAGCTGGAGAAGTTGGGTGCCACTGAGCACCACAGACCGCGTGCCTCTCCGTGCTCAGAGGTCGCCGCCAGAGATCACAGAAACGCGCCGGAGCACGCAAGACAATTACGGGCGCAGGCCTCTAGTACGGCCTTGTACTTCGGCAAACGCTGCGCTCTCTTGTTTTTTCCTCGTTCCAGCGTGCATGAAGTCCATCAGTAGCTCGTGTATCAACGCGTGCGCCTCTTTGACTGGAGACCCACTAGTGGCGGGCGGCGGAACCTCGTCTTCCTGCTCTCCCGCTCTCAGCCACCTAGCCGCTTTCTTTGGAATTGGCTGAAGCCAATTTGCGGCCTTGGAGGTCGCGGTGGCGTCGAGCAGGCACCCCAGATCAGCTTCCGAGTGGTGCGCCTGCCTTGTGGCCTGGCTGCTTGCCAGGGCACCCTGTGCACGCAACTGGGGCAACAGAAGAGGGAGGCAGAGGCTCAGGGGTGCGAGCCCTATCAGCGGGTCCAGAGCTGCAGAGGGCAGCAGCTCTGGCACTGGTGGCCAAAGCACTGGAGTGTGTTGGCTTTGTTTCTTCTGACAGCGGCAGGGGGCAGCCAGGCAAAGGTCGCCCTGCAGCACGCAGTGGATTGACAAACCCCCGCCTCAACCTGCCCTGCTTCGCCCAGTGCATGCAGAGAGGCTCAGAGGTGCACAGTAGCTGAAGCGCCCGCCGCCTAATCAGTGCCAGGGCAGGCAGCAATGTACTTGCAGCACGGGGCACCTACGGCTTACCAAAACACTTCTGACAACATGGGGAGGACTGGTATGAACGGCAGCGGCACCAGCGGGGCAACCCCTCGCTGCGAGCAGCAGCAGGCGCCGCCAGTGCTGAACCTGGCCAAGGTGCGATTTGATCGATCAACTTTGCTGATGCAGCAGCCAGCAGCAGGAGGGATTTCCATTGTGCTGGCTGCGCACTGTGGGACTGGAATCTCCCCCCACGAATGGGTCACACCCCAGCCATACAGACTGCAGGATGGGCAACTCTGGCACAAGTCTGCCCCCCACCGCACCAACACACTGCCTGCGCCTTGCCCGTTTGCAGGTTTCGCGAAACAATGAAAGCCAGACGACGCCACGGCGAGCCGCCGATGCTGCCCTGCTCGGCCACCACCAGCAGCAGCAGATGGGATCGGAGCAGGCATTTGCCGCATGCAGCCCACGCGTGGTGCCTGCCGGTGGCACAGCAGGTGGGTGCTAAACACAAAGGGCACACACGCAGATGTGATGCACTTTTAGTTGTCTGATAGCAAGCAGCTTGCAGCAGCGTTTGGTGTGTGTTGGGTGTGCGTGTCGTATCAGGTTGTATCAGCGAAGAGACCAAGAGTGCCTGCAAGCGCAGCTCACTTTGCCGCCAACCCTGGTCTCTCACCAGTTGTGTGTAAGCGTTGGTGCCTGTGTTGCAGAAGGCCTGGCTCTGGCGCAGCACCCCAGCTACTCTGGCTGTGGGGCCACTGGTGGCAGCTATCTGTCACCCGCGTCCGCAGCAGGGAGTGGTGCATCTATGGCAGCAACAATGCAGCCGTCTGCAGTGCAACGCCAACAGTACCAGCAGAAGGCACGGTACGTCGTGCCCCCTCCACAACATTGCACACAGGCCAGCCGTCCAACACCACGTGGAGCTTCCACAGCAGCCAAGGCCAACAGCAGCACCGCCGGGCTACCTGCTCACCAGGTACAGCAGCAGCCAGCCAGCCCTACACATGCAGCGCATCGTCCGCCCCAAGGTTTTAGTGGCACGGGGATGACTGGTCAAGCGCCTGCTTCTTCACGGGCCCCGCCAACACAGCAGCCCCCTGCCTCCGCACGAGCCCACACCACCACCAGGCAGCCCAGCAATCCATACTTGCAGGTGAGTGCAGTTGCTGCGAGTGCTGCATCCATACCCATGAAAGCATGCTGCAAGCCACATCTGTGTTGCCACGGCCTTAAGATTGCCATATGTATCTATGCTTGCGTCCCTTGTGGTTTCAATTGCTGACGCAGGCACTACCAGCCGCAACTGCCAGGCCACACTATACGTCACTTGCACCAGTGCAGGGTGCAAGCAGCAGCAGTGGCTACTGTCTGCCGCCATTGCAGCCGCCGCCACTCTCTGCACGTGGTCCGGCGGGTGTCGCAAGCACAGGGGTGCTGCCATGGCACAGGGGGCCACATGGTGGCCACTTGCCTGCAGTGCCAGACGGCGCCGACAGCCTTGACCGCAGCGTGCAAGTGGCACAGGTGCCACTGGTCAGCAGCAGGGGCAGGGGAGATGTGTATGCCCGCATGTCTCAAGGCCTGCCGTCCATTGAGACTGCCCGCTCGGCTCGCCTGCAGACATCTCGCCCGCAGGCGCAGCCACCACCAACAATGCAGCCCCAGCATCAGCAGCACCAGCAGCTGTACCCAGCCTCATCACAGCTTTTCACGGCTCGCAGCGGGCCAAAGCAGCCGGCCGACAACCTTGTAGGCAGCGACAGGGTTGGCAGCATTGGGCTTGCCCCTCACACTGGCAGCCTTGCAGCTGGCATGTCTTACAGTGCCCGTCCCGCTGCTTCTGCCATGGCTGGAGATCAGTGGCAGCGGCCACTGCAGCAGCAAGCACCCCTGCTTGGGGGCAAGGTGCCGGCAATCGCGCACCAGCACACAACTGGTTATTGGCCACAGCAGCAGCAGCCCAATCAACAGCAGACAGGAGCAGCCGGGCACGGCATCATTGATGCGGGACACCTACTTGCCGGACACACGAGCACCACAGATCTGGGTGCTGCGCAGCCTCATCAGCCCAAGGTGGGCATATTCTCTCCACCCACAGCTCAGCCTCGCCCGATGTTGCACCAGCACGAGCCCGAACACCATCATGCGCAGCTGTACAGCAGCGGCAGCATTACCAGCCAGTTTGCCAAGTTACAAAGCAGCAGTTCTTGTGACGCCTTCAGCCTCAACACAGCGGCTGCTGTTGGCGCAAGGGATGCAGCTGGTATCAAGAGAGAGGGCATCTGGCAGCCCGCATCAGGTGAACACAGCTTTTATACTTAATCTGATCCGGCCATTGCTGTGGCATGTGTATGTATCACTTTGCTTTTCGCTCATGTGTGCCAGGCTATTGCCCGCCTCCCCTCTTTTGCAGGCCCTCTTGAGGCAAGCTCTGTAGCCATCAAGGCAGTCAGGCCCAGGCAGAGCCAGCACAGATTGATGACAATGCCAGCCCAGCAGCCCCTGCCCCTCAGTTCTCGCAGTAGCTTTGACAGCTCCCACCAGCAAGTGCAGCAGCAGCACCACTCCCAGCAGGTGCCGCCGCTGCTGCTCCAGCAGCAGCTGACAGAACCTCTGTTGCCAGGTCTGCCTTTCATTGAGCAGCAGCTGCAGCAACCTGCGCAAGCATGTGCTTCATACACAGCGGCTGACATGCCCCCAGCAGCCCCTCCGCACTACTACCTCGGCATGTCGGCAATGCACTGCTCGCAGGCACTGCCGCAGATGCAGCAGCCACGCTCTCAGCAGCAGCCATGTGTGCAGCAGCTGGCGCTGCAGGATACTGTAATGCAAACGCAGCAGCAGGTACTGCAGCAGGGGTGTGATGTGGACCTTGCAGCGGCGGTGGCAGAGGAGGTGGCGGTGTATGACCTGCAGCGGCAGCAGGAACTAGAACACCAGCAGCAGGTGGCCGCAGTGGCGGAAGCAGCTCGCCGCGTCTCGCAGGTGGCCGGAGACGGCAGCTGCACCAACAGCCGAGGGACAGGCATCCTGGGTGCTGCAGCTTTGCTTGCAGGGCCTGCTGATGGCTCAGCGCGCCGCATTGCCTTTGCATCTCGGACCTATGCTGCGGCTGCTGGAGTTTCAGTGCCAGAAGAGGCTTCATTTTTGCCAGGAGACAGCAGCAGCAGCCGGCCAACATCCTCGGCAGCAGTCTGTCAGAACCAGCAGCAGCAGCAGCCTCTGTCCCCAGCCAGCGCAGTACGGCAGTGGGGCCATCTGCTAGCGCCTTTTGAGCAGTGCGAGATGCTATCATTCGAACAGGTCTGGTTTGTGGGCAAACCAAGTGCCCCCAAGATCAAAGGTGGGTACGCTGAGCAAGGAGAGCGAGTCGGAAAGCTTCCTGAGAAGGGCGGAAGAGACAGATCAGAGCAAAATACGTTTACTCTTCTTTGCCACAGGCATTTTAACTGCAAGTGCATGTTTTTCTGCCCAAACCTGTCTGCAGCGGAGACGGGTGGCGCAGAGCTCAACCATGGGTATGACGACAGTCGTGGAGATTACATCACAGTGGTGAACTGGATGCACCTGTTACTGTGCATGCTGACACATGCGCTGTGACCTCGATAGGTCCCATGCTCCTATCCTCGGCATGCCTTGCCTGCCTCTGTCTCTGTCTTTGCAGCCAGGAGATCACATTGCCTTCCGCTACGAGATTATTGGCGGGCTTGGACGCGGCTCATTTGGCCAGGCAAGCTTAGGCGTGCTCATTAGGGACTCCTTGGAAGGGTGCTATCAGTCGCTGATGCCAACTCTGAGTCTCGTGTTGCCCCCATTTCAATCTCGGTGGTTTCATGATGCAGGTTCTGCGCTGCCAGGATCATGCCATCGGGCAGGCGGTGGCACTAAAGATCATTCGGTGAGTCCCCTGGGTCACCTGCATTCCATCGTCATGATGGGTGCTGAGCTGTCCAGGCTTGTGGTGTTTCACCCGACACTTCTTGACCCTCTGACATCTAGGAATAAGAAGCGCTTCCAAAAGCAGGCGGCTGTTGAGGCCTCGATCCTGGCAGTGCTGAGGGAACAGGTGGGCAGAGCACTGCATTTCGCAGCTCGGGGACTGCGGGAAGCGCACCAGGCTTGTATGGTCCATCCGTCCAGGCAGTCCATATTGGACCCCCTCACAACCAGGCCTTCAACCACTCTTTACAGGATCCTGACGATTCAGTGAACATAGTCAGAACCTACAGCTCTTTCACCTTCAGGCAAGCGAAGCTGTTCATGGTCCAATGGCATGATGCTCCCTCCCGGCTGCTTCACCTACCCAAGCATGCCCGCATCGCAGGGGCCACCTGTGCATCACCTTTGAGTTGCTGTCCATCAACTTGTATGAGTACATCAAAGCTTGCAACTTCCAGGGCAGCAGCCTGGTGATGATCCGCCGCGTGGCGCAGCAGGTGGTGGCCACCCTTCGCTTCCTGTTCAGGTGCGTGCCTGGCTGCGTTCTTTTAATGCTGTGAGCGAATCTACATTGAACACTCCATGTGGTGTGCAGGCTGAACATAGTGCACTGTGACCTCAAGCCTGAGAATATTCTGCTGCGTGAACGTGGCAAAACAACTGTCAAGGTGGGCACGGCACTTGTAGCGCCAACTGCCTCGCGTTTCTCACTGCCTTCCCCCCACGCCTTCAGGTTATTGACTTTGGCAGCAGCTGCTATGTGGACCAGCGGTGAGCAACTTTGGGCCACAGACAGGCTCGCCACAGCAATTCTTGCCTGCTGTGCCACTTGCAACTCGTTCTGGCCTTGCAAGTGGCACCTGCCTGGTGCCACGCCTGCTGGCTGATTGATTGCATGTGCTGACGACCTCCATGTTCGCTGTTTGGCTGCCCTGCAGCATGTATACCTACATCCAGTCCCGCTTCTACCGCTCTCCTGAGGCACATGCCGCTGCCTGATTTCCTTCTTGGCTCGTGTGCCTCCTCTGCCACTCTGGCCACCCGCGCCTCATTTGTAACCTGTGCTGCTGCTGCTGCCCAATCAAGTCTGTGGCTCCGGTCCCGTCCAATGCAGGTCATCCTGGGGCTGCCGTACGGGCCGCCCATTGACATGTGGAGCCTCGGATGCATCCTGGCTGAGCTGCTCACAGGGCAGCCCATTTTTCCAGGTTGTTGTCGTTGTGCCGTATTCTTAGCAAGGTGCCACTGGCACATTTATGCGCTAGGTCACTTGCCATCTTTTTCAGATCCTGTGTTCTTTTCAATTCTTCTCAAAGCAGGAGAAGATGAAAAGGAGCAGCTGGCCTGCATCATGGAGCTGCTGGGCCCGCCTCCGCGCTCGCTGCTGGAGACGGCGCCCCGTGCCAACCTTTTCTTCGATTCAGGTTGCCGTCTATTTTGACATGCTGCTGACAAACGGGCTCACTGTGTCCCACTGCCTGCATTTGTATTAATAGACCTTTGCAACTGGGTTCCCACAGGGACATGGGCGCCGCTGGCCTGCCCGCCCAACAGCCGTGGCAAAACGCACCGACCGTCATGTGAGTGATGCAACACCAGCACCAATGTGTCAGGCCTGGCCCTGAAATGATGGACCGTTGCATTGCATCCCACGCGCAACCCCTGCAGCTCGGACCTTTGAGCGGGCACTGGGCGGCTGTGACGATGCATCCTTCATACATTTCCTACAGGCATGGGCCAGTGGCATCAGCCCTACTTCCAGTTGCTTCACAGGGTCCACATTCTTCGCCTACTGTTCAATCATGCTTCGGTGCATGAGCCTGAGCCCGTCTCTCCTACCCACCCACCTTCCTGCAGCGATGCCTGCACTGGGAGCCCCAGCAACGCATGACGCCTGAAGAGGCGCTGCAGCATCCTTGGATTGCAGGGCCCACGCCACCACAACTAAGCAGCGGCAACCGCGAGGGCTGGCAATCACGGTGATGCGGGTACGGCACGTGCTTTAGCCAATGCTTCCCTCCCAGCGATTGAGTCTGTGGTGACCCCTCTTGTTGTCTGTGTAAATGGGCAAACGACAGACTGGCAGCATACCGCTGTTGTTTTTGTCGGTGTGTTGGTCACGTGAGTGGGATGCGCGGTAGCTGGCGTGCCTTGCATCTCGGCCGCGCCCGCGCCCGTCATGCTGTGTGCTGCTCTCCTGTGCTGCTCTACTGCTTCCTCTCCTGCTTCCAATGCAACTGTTGCTGCTGTTGCAACGGCAAAGCTATCAGCAGTCATCAGCATGTTGGGAAGGTGCGCCAGTGTTGCACAATCTGGGCTCGCTGTCGAGCAGGGTGCAAGGCTTCCGACTGCAATTTGCTGCTTGAAGAGCCGTTGGCGATGGCAGACTCCCCGGTGCAGATGGCGGTGTGATTGACACTTATGGGTTTGGCCTCAGATGCAACAGATTCGGCACCACCGAGACAAACGAAAGACACCACAAGGCAAAATTGGCTCAAGACCGCACATCTGTTTGCGGGTTGCCACAGACAGACAGGCACACACACAAGCATATACAGGTAGGCAGCAAGCAACAGTTACTTGAGCGGAGGTCGAGGCCGCGGGCGGGGGCGTGGCGGTGGCTTGGGGGATGGTGGGCGAGGGCGTGGCGGGGATGGGGGGCGAGGGCGTGGTGGCTTGGGGGATGGGGGGCGGGGGCGTGGCGGGGGCTTGGGGGATGGCGGTCTGCATGTATTGAATTGTGTTCTATTTGTTAACATGCAATCACACATTCCTCCAATTAAAAAGTAGCAACCTGCCCAGGAAACAGGCCCAGCTGCCCAGGCCCACTTGCATGCCACCACCATCCACAGCCATTGCATTGTCCACAGGCATGCATGCGGGGCTTGGCTTCCCTCAACTCACGTGCTGGCGAGTGACGGCGGTGCGGGGCAGCAGGCGGCTGCACAGAGCCACGGGGTGAGGAGGGCGGCAGAGGGCGGCGGTGGGCGGTCAGGCACGTGGCAAGGCACAGGCAGCGGGGTGCAGCAGCCATGTGGGCACATGACAGGCGGCCAGCGCTGGCTAGCCGCCCTTCCAGCCACCCGCGCCTGCTGCCAGCAGCCCTTTGCTAGCGCACAAGCGGCGCTGCGGCTCACCCGTGCCGCACAGTGCAGAGAGGAAAAAGTTGCTGGTGCCGCCGGCAGCCGTGCAGAAGCATGCGCGGGACTGAGTGGGGTCCCAGCTCCACAAGGTGCCATATGAGGAGGCGCTGGCGGAACAGAGGGCGCAGCATTCCGCGGGGGTTGCGGTGGATTGCATGGCGCTAACGTTGCCGACCCAAACGCAGTTCTGGTTTGTGGGGCCGTCGCAGGGGGCATAGGGCGGGCTGCAGGCAGGAAGGGGTGGAGGGGCAGGGAGGGAGGTGGCGGGTGAGGGCTGGAGGAGCGAAGCACAGGGAGGGTTTGTCTGGTTCATGTGTGCAGCCTGCCCAGAGCTGGGCCCAGAGCAGGCGGGCGGGCAATGCGGGGGGGGGCAATTCGGCAGTTTGGTAAGAGCGGACACCTTGGGGGCCGCGGCCTGCAGGCGCGATGGGGCAGCATAAGCATGGCTGAGTGGTAACGTGTGCATTAGGGCTGCACATTGCATTGCCCACACCCCAGCATGCATGCGTGCATTGTCTGTTGGCCTGCGGACGGGGCTTTGCCGGTCTAAACTCACGGGCTGGGGGGTGGCGGCGGTGCGTTGCAGCAGCCGCCTGCGGGCAAGGAGTGAGGGGGGCGGCAGACGGCGGCAGTGGGCGGCCAGGCGAGTGGCGAGGCAGGCCAGCGGGAGGCAGGCAGCCCTGGGTAGAGCACCTTGAGGCGGCGCTGCCGCTCACCCGTGCCGCACAGCATATATGGCATACTCCTCGTGGTGCTGCCAGCAGGCGAGCAGAAACATTTGGATCCGTCCCACGACCAAAAGGGGCCATCGGAGGAGGCGCTGGTGGCGCAGGCAGCGCAGCATTCTGCGGGGGTGGCGGCATCGCCTTGAGAGGAGTGATCCAGGAAGTCAGTCCACACGCAATCCTGGTTTGTGGAGCCATCGCAGGGGGGAGACGGTGGGCTGCAGGCAGGCAGGAGGCGGAGGGGCAGGGAGGGAGGTGGCGGGTGAGGGCTGGAGGAGCGAAGCACAGGGAGGGTTTGTCTGGCATTTTATCATGTGTGCAGCCTGCCAAGAGCTGGGCCCAGAGCAGGTGGGCGGGCAATGCGGCAGTTTGGTCCAAGCGGACACCTTGGGGACGGCGGCAGTGGGCTGGGAGGAGGCGGGCTGGGTGGCGGGCTTGGCCTGCAGGCGTGATCGGGCAGCAAAAAAGGCAACAAAAAGGCATGGCTGAGTGGCAACCTGTGAGTCAGGGCTGCACATTGCCCACACTCCAGCATGCATGCAGTGCTTGTGAGCCTAACAGCCGGGGTTTAGCGGGCCCAAACTCACGGGGGGGTGGGGGGTGACGGTGGTGCGGGGCAGCAGCCGGCTGCGGGCAAGGAGTGAGGGGGGCGGCAGACGGCGGCAGTGGACGGCCAGGTGAGTGGCCAGGCAGGCCAGCGGGATGCAGACAGCCATGTGTGCGCATGCCATGCAGCCACACATCCTGCCCACACATCCAGCCAGCCAGGCCTGCGGCCAGCCGCTCTGGGCAGAGCACAACTCGAAGCGGCGCTGCCGCTCACCCGTGTCGCACATATAATTGTACTCATCATAATAGGAGCTAAGAGCAGGCGAGCAGAAACAATAGCCCGTTGTTTTCCCCCACGTCCACAAGGGGCCATCGGAGGAGGCGGAACAGAGGGCGCAGCATTCCCCGGGGGTGGCGACGTTTTGAGTCTGGACAGAGAAAGACCACTTGCAGGCCTGGATTGTGGGGCCAGCGCAGGGGTCAGGGGGCGGGCTGCAGGCAGGCAGGGGGGGGGCGGAGCGGCCAGCTAAAAGTTGGCGGGCGAGGGCTGGAGGAGCGAAGCACAGGGAGGGTTTGTCTGGCATTGGTTCATGTGTGCAGCCTGCCAAGAGCTGGGCCCAGAGCAGGTGGGCGGGCAATGCGGATGTTGGGTAAGAGCGGACACCTTGGGGACGGCGGCAGTGGCGGCAGGCTGGGTGGCGGCGGGCTTGGACTGCAGGCACGATGGGGCAGCATAGGCATGGCTGAGTGGTAACGTGTGCATTAGGGCTGCACATTGCATTGCCCACACCCCAGCATGCATGCGTGCATTGTCTATTGGCCTGCGGACGGGGCTTTGCGGGCCCAAACTCACGGGCTGGGGGGTGGCGGCGGTGCGGGGCAGCAGCCGCCTGCGGGCAAGGAGTGAGGGGGGCGGCAGACGGCGACAGTGGGCGCCCAGGCAAATGGCGAGGCAGGCCAGCGGGATGCAGGCAGGCATGTGGGCGCATGCCATGCAGCCACACATCCAGCACACACATCCAGCCAGCCAGGCCAGCGGCCAGCCGCTCTGGGGCAGAGCACAACTCGAAGCGGCGCTGCCGCTCACCCGTGCCGCACAGCATATTGTCCCCAAAAGCGTTGAAGCTGCCAGCAGGCGAGCAGAAGCACGCGCCAGACTGCGATGGGTCCCACGACCAAAAGGGGCCGGCTGAGGAGGCGCTGGTGGCGCAGGCAGCGCAGCATGCCGCGGCGGTGGCGGTGAGTTGCAGGAGGTTAAAGTTAGACCACACGCAAGCCTGGTTTGCGGGGCCAGTGCAGGGGGCAGGGGGTGTGCTGCAGGCAGGGAGCAGAAGGGCCAGGGAGAAGGTGGCGGGCGAAGGTTGGAGAAGTGATGCGAAAGGGAGAGCTTGTTCGACCTTTCTGGGTGTCTGCAGCCCGCCTAGAGCTGGGCAGGTGGCCAGGCAGCTCACAAAGTCTGTACGAGTGCGCAGGAATGCGCCTGAGTGCGCAGGCATGTTTATTGTGTTTGTGGCAGCGGCGGCACGCGCACCCGGCGGACGTGCCCATGGGGGGCAGGCAGGCGAGCAGGGAGGCAAGCAGGGCCAGGGTGCCGGCCAGGGCTGGGCGGCGTCTGTACATCCTCATAGATGCCTGTAGGGAGCCAGCACAGGACCACAACAACGTTAGCGCAGCACGCAGACGAGGCGGCTGGAGGGAGGCAGGGCAGTGGGTGGTGTCTGGCGCGGCGGCGGCAGCAGCTGCCCACAAACGCCCATTGCTTGCAGCCGGCGCACACTGCACAACCATGCGGGTTGTCAACACTAGGCGCGGGCAAAACCCATGGCCGCCTCCCAATTGCCATCCTCCCGCGGCCCGCCCTCCCCGTGTGGCCCTTCCCCAGCTGCTGCTGCTGCTGCCCGCACCCACCATGTAGATAACACCATGTGGATAACACCAGCGCTGGGCACCTCAGCCCTTGGCAGGCGTCTGGTAGCACCCGCTACAGTGGGAGTCTCTGCCGGAGTCAAACACGTTTCTACTCAGCTTCTGTGCGGTGTCTATGCGAGGATGTGCTGAACCCGGATGTAAACGCAAACCTGCTCGAACCCGTACGGAAATTAAGCTCAGGGGTCCCCAAAAATCCTGATAAATCCCGAGGAACCCGCGCGTCATGCCACGGACATTCCGAGGTCCTTTAAATGCTCTGGGGCCACGCATGGCACCTTCCTAAGGCCTCGTGGTGGCCCAACGTCGAACCCGAACGGTTCCGAGGCCAGAGCAGCTTTCGGAATAACGCACCACCATCACCTGCTGCCGCCTTCGCCGCCGGCCGCCACCACAGGCAAGCCGCTCCCTCCGCTCTGCCAGTCGCACCACCATGACCCATCCCTCCCTCCCCCCCACCACCAGTTTGTATTCAGCTACAGCCTTTTCCCAGTTCTACATCACAGGTTGCATCCAGTTTGCCAGCCTTCAGTGCTGCGATGTTGAGTATGAAGAGCAAACTGCCGCTTCAACTCACCCCCCAGTGCTCGCAACACCAACCCCACTCGCCTTTCGACATCAAATGCCAGCGCCAGCCTCTCCAAACCATCGCGCACAGCTGGAGAAAGGCCAGGGTACTCAATGCCGCCTGGATCTCCTCGTAGGATGGTGCCGTCATGTCCTGCATTGAAGAAAGCCGAGCATGGAATTGGACGACACCAAAGCAGCGAACAGCAGCGGCGGCATAGGTCATAGCGCGGAGGCATGAAGCTACTGGAACAAGAGCGTGGGATGCCAGTCATCATCCATTTGGAACCAAGTGTCGGCAAATGCGATGCTGTTTAGCACCGCAGCCATGCCGACCAGGGCCAGAGATGCCAGGCCAGCGCTGCCCCTACCCCTTCCGGCGACTCCGCAACTGTATCAGCTTCATCCACTTGTGCTTTGATGGCATTAGCTGCTCGCCGCAGTGCGAACTTGACGCCAACTTTGTTCACATGCGACAAACGCTCGGCTGCCGGTTTTAACGTCGCCTGCTTCTTATACCCCTGCGGCACCAAGCAACACTCACATCGACAGATCTAGACAGACACTCACACCAGTTCCATCTTGATTTCTGAGCTTCCGAGCAACTCAAGCTCACCGATGTCGAGCCTTCCACAACCAGGCGGGTCCAGGCAGGCCAGCAATGACCCTGTCACGCTGGGACGAGCTGCAACGCAAAGAACAACCAGGGCATGCCAGACGTGTGAGCGGGCGAACGGCGGCAGGCGGTGGCTTGGCCGTGTGCGCCTTCAGAGACATCCCCGCGACCAGCTTCCGCGATCAGCCTGGCACCACATTGTGCCTCACGCCCGCAGCCTCGCACCGGAAGACGTGGCCGCCAGGCAGGCTTCCGGACATGGCATTTTCTATGCACGGCGATTTGCAGCGAGCGTACTAAGCTGGGCGTGATACCTACAGGCGCGCGCAACTCGGAAAACTCAAGGCCTTGCAAGGCAAATGAATGCAGAGGTACGGCGGTACCATTTATGTGGCGCGAAAAAAACTGGTGCTGAAACTACGAAAATTCTGCCTGAGCGCGCGTGAGCCGGTCTCGAGAGGCGCCCATGTCGGGGACGGACAAGCTTGTTCAACGGGGACGGACAAGGCTTCCCGTTCGCGGATTGTTGGCACTAGGTAGAACGAGCGTGCGCGCAATGCCGGCGCGACTTCTGGCGGACCTGTCACTTTGCTCCCTGCCGTGCTGCGCACCTCTTCCCAGGACTTTTACTGCTGGGAGTGTACAGATTGGGGTTCAGGGCACCCCGTGGATGCCAACGGGCGCCCGACGTGCAGGCACTAGACCGGGTGAGGCGGCGGTTGTGGCGCGGTTGCAGGCGGTTGCGGAACACGTGCAAAGGAGTTGTGCTGGCGCTGCTGCTGGTCATGAAGGTCCAGTTAATGGCAGATCCAGCGATTGACAAACTGTGGATTTCAAGCCAGTTTGAAAGGACAGAGTACAGCAGCCCCCGCTCTGCCCCGCATGCAGCAGCATCTTGGGCCACCCCCCTGGCAGACGACGCGCGACTGCAAAGTCTACATTTTGGACGTTTCGGAGACAGTAGCGCCTGCCGCAGGCCTGCCGCAGTGCGATATCAACGACCCAAAGGTGGGGGAGGACCTGGCGAGCTGGGTTGCTTAATCCCACATCTCACAATACACGCCTGCTCTGGGTCCGCTGGCCCTGCCACCGTGACCTGGTTTTTTGGCGCTGGCGTCATGTGCCTAGCTCCCCAGTGCATTAAATTGCGTATTCTCTGCAGGTTTGGCCTCTTGCCGAGCCGGGGGAGCTGCCCTGGGACCTGCAGCGCATGGAGTCGATGCCGCACATGAACTATGTGCATGCTGGGCAGTACTGGCTGACCCAGGCACTGCGCAATGCCAGCGGCGTCCTCACTGACAATATCGATGAAGCGTGCCTAGTTTGGGTGGACATGTACTGCTACAACCAGGCAAGTTCCTCAGTTTGTAACGTACATTGCTGGAACGTGCAGAGCACTGTGTGCTGCTGCGTATTGTTTGTATGACCAGGTTTCGGCGCTGCGCTCGCCAACCTGCTTGCCTCCATTCTGCAGTGGTTCCTGGTGTATCGGGCCATCACGAGACGTAAAGGAATGGAGCTTTTTGCAGGATACTCGGCAGGGGACAGGAACATTGAAAAAGTCCTGCTTCAGGCGTGGGAGCACATCATCGCTTCCCCGCGCTTCAAGGCAAGTGTCCACAAATGCATGGGGGTTGTTTCTACAGGTCAAATCATTTTTGTAGGTTGAATGCCGCGGGGATCTCGTTTCCCATGCAATGTGCAGAAACGCCAAGGACGCGACTATGTGATCCACGTGCCATTGCCCAACCCTGGCAGGGCATTTACCCGCCTGATGTGCACAGACCTGCTGTACGCGCACACGCTCATCAAGGAACGGGCACTCAGCTGCGCCAATAAAGGCCGGCCAAAGGTGCTGTTGAGGGAGGCGCAACTGGTGCCCTACAATGCAGGCAAGGCTTCATCAGTTTCGCCATCACAGATGGCAATGTCAACCCTGCACCTAGTCCTATCATTCCGCCTCTGCAGTTGCCGATGTCGACCTGTCATCCCCGGTTGTCGGATCCCGCCGCCCAACATTTGTGTACATGAAGGCCACTTGTGGTGCACAAGAAACTGCTTTTTGCGGAAAAGTGATGCGTCAGGCTGTCGTATCCGCGTTTGGCGGCAAGGCTTCAGACATCGAGGTAGTTTGTGGCTTCAGCATTGGCCCGAGTCCTTGCACCTAAACTGCTGGACCCGGTCGCTGCCGCAACCTGCATGCACGCACTGTTATCACAGGCAGCTGCCAAAGATTCTCGTCTGAGCCTTTGGTGCAGGTGGCGTGCGCCGGTGGCCCTGATGTCGATCGCACAGAGTCTGCATCACACGCGGGCACTCAACGGGAAATGCGGCGTTCGGTGTTTTGCATAATGACACCTGGCGACCTGCCAAGCACTGGCCGTCTGACAGAAGTGCTTTTGGCTGGCTGTATTCCAGTGGTAGGCGCTGGATATCTTGCGTTGAAAGCTGGCCACCCATCTGGCATCAGCTGGCCATTGGCATTTACGGAGTTTACCCTGAAATGCTGTGCTGCAGTTTGTTGGCGCTCCTTGGCATGAGTTGCCCTTTAACCATGGCGAGGTTGACTGGGCCTCATTTTCCATTTTCCTGGCAATCAAGGAAGCCGTTTGGTTGGACCCAAACATCACTATTTGCAAGGCGCCGCTGATACAGTGGGATCAGTCTGCTGATGTGAAGTGGGCAACCGTGTCAGTAGCCAGTATGGAGGCGGCATTGGCCTACTTGCGGTAGGGTTGCTGGGCACAATGAGCGAATGCCATTGCGGATGTCAGATTGTCATATTTTTGTCAGCCTGGGACCCACCTGCATTTTTGTGGACGGCCTGCAGGGGCATGCCCAACGAGGCAATTGAGAGGCGGCAGGCAGCACTAGAGCACGCCCGAAGATCATTTTACTATCCTGCAGCCCCAGGCATGCAGACTTCTGCTGCTGCCGACATTATCTTTTCCAACCTGATCAGGTACGGGCAGAGACTAAAAGCACAAGAGTTTGTGCCCTGATGCAAGAAAACAGTTGAAAGCTTTCTCTTCCGGTTGCACAAACGTTAAAAAAAAGGAACAAGCCAGCCTGGTGACAAGAGACCAGGAGGGAGCGTGGCTCAATCTTGTAGAGAGTTTCAAGTTGGGTTTCAAGTTGGGCTTCAAGACGTTGCAGAATCATTGACATAAAACACACGCCAAAAAAAAGTCATTCCACATAACAGCACACATTGGACAATTCCATAATAGCTAATCATCTTCTCAGAGCATCAAGGTACATGGTTCATGGTTTGTCTTCAGCCGGTGCAGCTGGCACTCATCACCAGCATGGGCGCCGAAGGGCCCTGCGACCCCCTAATCGTGATTTGGTCATTGGCGCCAAGACGGAAGCGGGGCATGACGACCGCCAGGCGCATCAGGCCCTTGGTGGGACCCACAAACTTCTTCACATACGTGGCTGAAAGCCTGATCTTAAGGAACGACAAGGCGTTTTTGGCAACGAGGGTACTACTGCCAACCTGCAACCAGAGCCATAGCACACAGGCCCAGGTTTCTCGCTCATTTTCAAGCGCAACATCGATGCTGCGGTAGCTGCTCCTAGAACACAGGCAGTGAAACAGCCCAGCGAGGCAGCAGCGCCTTGCTCACCAGAGTCCCGTCACAGCCGGGCTTTGCGCAGGGGATGTCTGGGCTGATTGTGCCTGGCGGGCATTGGAAGCAGGTGCCAGTGCTCCTTGGCGGGCAATCGGGGGTGCAGAAATCCTTCAGCTTCCGACTGCCGTCGTAGACCTCCAGTGGAATGGGCTTGGTGTAGGTCAGGGTGGTGGGGGACAAACTGGAAAGCCACAAGTGCAGGTCGACGCTGGCAAACGTGGTCGCCGCGGACAAGAAGGAGAGGTCAAACGACAGGTCTATCCAGTTCAATGAGGCGGAAGGGACCGAGTGGTCAAGCTTGTGAACATCATCCCCCCCAAAATTCGGCGCCTTGTAGCCATTGGCAACAGTCAAGCTCAGTTTCCCAAGCCCATCCTGTATGGCCGAAGCAGGATGCAACGTGCAGTGAGCAGCAGAGCCAGGAGCAGGAAAGGCGGCAGCGCCTGCCCACGGCAAGGTGGCACCCCCGGGCTGCTGTGATGTGGGATTGAGCGCAGCTGAGGGGTTGCCTACCTCGGTAACATGCGTGAAGAAGGGCACCGAGGTGGTCTTGGGACACGAGGGCGCCACCTCAATGTACGTGCTCAGGGAGGCTGCAGCAGGAGCAGAGGGGGCGGCCATCAGGAATTGCAGCAGCAGTCAGGCAAGCTGCTCCTGATCTTGGTCTTGGGGCAGCAAATGCGTGCAGACAAACACAGAGGTTGCTCGTATGAACACTGGCTCAAAGTGGATCATCATCCAGGGATTGGGAAGCAACTTGCCTGTCTGCACGCCACCCAAGACGGTGTCGGTTGCTTTGCCTTGGACTGTCATCTTGTGCCAGCCAGGCCCCACATCTTTGTTCATGTTGATCATCACCGGCTCGTCATACAGGAAGCCGGTCTTGTTGCGCCATACTTTGCCGGGCTTGTCCTGCAGCGAATGCAATTGTCTTGTTGAAGTTTTGAAGCGTTCTCCGCTGCTGCCTGTGTGCCAAGGTTGCCACTCTGGCATTTGACGACAGGTCGTTGGCTGGGCAAAGTAGTTTCCCACCCGCCCATGCCATCTCACCACGTCAAAATCGTCGTCAAAGGTGATGATGTGGCGGGCTACAGGGTAGCCGGGATACTCAGCATCTGCCTTTGGCGGCTCAGTGATGCGGGAGGCCTTGATTTGCATGCGGTAGACACCGCCAACGGGGATGAGGAAGATGGGCCACACGTTCACCACCTGCAACCGGAACCAAACCGGCCTTCATCACCAGGCGCAACAATGACACCGCAGTAGCTGGTAGTCGACAGGGACTCCCCGCCCAGCAAAGCAGCAGCGCTTTGCTCACCGTGAACTGCGTGTCATCTGTCCACCCCTTCATCTCAAGCCTGTGACTGGTGGGGTCGTTCCACCCACAGAAAGGGGCGACGCAGGGGTAGCCGGAAATGTCGGGCAGGGCAAAGGGCAGAGTGCCCAGAATCTGCATGGTGCGCCGCTCGATCCTCTCTGGATTGGTGCCACGCTGCACCACGGAGTCTGGGTAAAAATAAGAGTTGGTCATGATCTCGAACATTACGTTGCCGGACCCCGGCACACCCTTGGTGGTGTCGTACGGGATGCTGTCGCTCCAGCCGCAGTTGATGCGCGATGCGGCATCGTCGTTGGTCGACAGGCTGAACACCTTGGCGACTTTGCCGCCCGTCTGTGTGCAGCTGCAGCAGCGGGCACAGTGAGACACGAGTGTGTGGGACAGTGCAGATGGCAAGTGTCGCCTGCTGGTGGAAGGCAGCTCTCGCCCAGCCCAGCCGAGGGAAGCAAGCAGCAGCAGCCACAGCAACTCGCTGAGAGGAGAGGCTCCTTACAGAAGCGGGGTCAGGGCTGAGCGCCATACGCGGTACTTGCATCCGACGGGGCCATATGGGATGCTCACGCCGTCCATTCTGTAAGGCACAGGCAGATTGACTGAGTGGCAGCAGTGCCGGCAATAAGACCACAGCTGTGCCAACCAGTCACGAACGACTGCAGATGACATACTCACAATGAGGCGTCATTGCACTCAGGGAGTGGTTTGATTACGTCCGTCTCTGATTTCTTGACAAACTTAAAGCCTGGGCGCCACAGTCGGAGTTGCAGGTCCCGCAATATGCCGGGGTTTTGATACTGCATGTTTCAAGGGCAGGTGGGCAGTGGTGGATGGGCAGGGTTGTTGTGCAGGCCCCAGGATGGGAACAGGCACGGTCTCTGGCTGCTTGCACACTTTGCCCTGTTCCCATCCCCGAGTTACCTTCAAGCTGTCCAGTTTGAAGGTGCCCTTGCGTGGAAGTTGCTGGTTGTACGGCATGCACCCACGCTGCGCGCTGTGGCCCAGAGGCTGCACTCTGGAGCTGGACAGGTCGTTGTCCCACCACCACTCATAGCTGCATGCATGTGGGGCACACGCATGGGGCTCTGGTTTGTGTGTGTGTGTGTGTATGGTGGTGGTGGTGGGGCGCGGTCGGCGGCGGGGCGGTGACGGGGCGGGGAGCTGGGGGGGGCGAATAACAGCAACCGGGGTCCCCGTTGGCTGTCCCAGGCACTGCCATACTTGTTTCTCTTCCCCAAAAGGGCAGCGCGCACGCGGCACGCGGGGGGGCCGCGTGCCCGCCCCTTAGAGGAAGCCCACCTGACCCACAGCGGCCTCCCGCTCGTAAACGTACCACCACACTTGGGATGCCTGGTGAAGGTCTTGGGCACCAGGAACGACGGGTATGCCGGCAACGCAGCGAGGGCCATTGGCAGCGGCCCCAGCAGCGCGAGCAGCGCCATCAGCGCGCTCGTACCGACGACCATGGCTCACGCACACGCGGCCGACACTGGATAAACACACGGCTTTTGTTCACTACAGCGCACTGGGGACTCGCGTATGTGGCGCTTCGCGCTGGTGCAAGGGAGATGCGAAAGGAGCAGAGCAAAGCAGTGACGAGGAGGTTGAAGGGGAGCCTCCTCGAGCGGCATGGCAATACTGCTGCTGCAGTACACGCGGGCTCGTTCGATTCACTCTGAAAAAAAAACGTTGGCGAGAACAACTTCTCGCTAGGACGATTGGCAACGCAGTGGTCAGCCGTGAAAGAGGCTCTACAAAAAATGCCAGCTTTGCCACTCTCACGCAGCCTGGCAGCCGCGCTGCTGCGCAAATAGGTGACGAGCAGCATGCGCTTGCCCGGTCCAAATCATCATATCGCGCGCCTGCCGCCCTCACCCCCGCCCACCGCCGCCTGCCGCCCGCGTCTGTGCTGTTGCAGGGTGCCGCAGGCATTTGGGGTTGCATGACACTGGTTGGGGGCGACATACATTTCCATGAGGCCCCAGGTGCCGCCGCGAGCGCGGCGGCGCACGACCTCAGCGGGCGCGTTCCTGCTGGCCATCCTGCTGGCCATGTCTGTCGTTCACATGCACCGCTCTTGGCGGCACATTCCCGACGATTGCGGGGGTGGCAGCAGCGATTGGGCTTCCGCGTCCCGTCGCAGGCTTGTCGCCATTGCACCAGCCAGGGGTTTCAAGGAGGTACGAGGGCGCCGGCATAGGGAAGCGAGCATTTCCGTTTGTTCAGCATTCCTTCCCTCCTGGCATCCTGCAGGTGTTTGCTACGTTGTTTGCGCTGGAGATGCAAAACCTGCTCGGCATCAAGGATAATGGGCCGCTGCCGCCCGAGGGCACCAGTCATGACTTGGGGGAAGTGGTGCGGGGCGTGAAGGTGGGTGTGGCCTGCTTGAATGAATGATCTCAGTTGCAAGCATTCCAGCCAGTTGGCAGAAATTGTGCAGTATATTCATGTTGACAGCAAACTGTCCTCCATGCAGGAGCAAGGGGTGGGCATCTTGTTCACTTCGTTGAAGTGGTTCTTCCAGCAACCCACCCCAGACACATTCAACTTTCGGGTTTTAGACTACCTTGTGCAGACTGCGTGCAGCCAGGGCCTGCAGCTGTCCGTGGTCCTGGATGCCCAGGCCAACCCGCCGTGGGTGTTTGACGTGGTGCCAGATGCGGGCGTGGTGGACTCCAAGTACATCGGCCACAGGTCAATCTCGTTCAACCACCCGGCCGTGATGCAGCTAGTGCATGCCTGGTATGATGCGGTCCTGGCACGGATGGCGGAGCTGAATGCCACCTGCATCCACTCCGTCCAGCCGTGCTTCAACAACGAGTACGAGACGAAGTACATTCAGGTGACAGCACGCTCTCTGTGCTGTGGGCGGCAAGCAGTCGCCCATGCCCAGATCTCAGTGGCATGTGGAGTTTTGTGGCGTAACCCCGAGCACGGCTCTGCTTAGCCTTGTGCCTGCACATTCTTTATTACATCTACTATTTCTGCATCTCGCTCCCAACTTACCTCGCCTCTTTCACCACGCCCGCAGGAGGCCGATGGTGCTCAAGACTACAGCGCGCAGGCCATCACACTGTTTCGCCAGTACCTGCGCAACATACATGGCGAGATCAGCTTTTGGAACGAGCGGTGGGGCACCTCCTTTTCGCACTGGGCAGCTTTCAAGCCGCCCAAATTTTTCCAGCACGGCCAGCATTGGGGTGACACTGCCACCAACGTATTCTACTGGGACTGGCAGCACTTCCGCCACCAGCGCATCCATGAGGTGCACGAGAGTGGCTGCATGCACATTGCGGCATATGGCTTCCGCTGCATCCAACACTTCGCAGAATTCATGACTGGCAGCGATGCCATCTATGCTGCGGGCTCGGTGTTCACCCTGGCCGCCAGCCCTTGGCTGGACTACATTGTGGTGGACTCCAACTTCATGACCACCGCCATGCTGCCCACGCGCGACGTGCGGGTAGTGCAGCTGCTGCTCAGCGCCATGAAGCCCTTTGGCAAGCCAGTATTTTTCGAGGGGGCCTTTGAGAGGATCAGCGACCCTGCAGTTCACCGACGGGCAGTGATGCTGACGGCGACATCCGGCGCGCACGGCATTGGCTTCACCAACTGGCTGGACCGTGTCGGGCCCACCTTCTTCAACGATACCCTGCAGGGACTGCCGCTCCCGCACAGCGACGCTCCGCCGGTGGCCGTCCTCTCGCCGTACCGCTCCTATTGGGCCTTCAAGGGCACACCCAAGGATGCCAACGGCGTGCTCTTTCCCACAGACCCGCAGCAGGACCGGCTGTTTGCATGCCTGGATGAGGTGGAGAAGGCTGTGCCATCGGTGGATGGCCTGCAGATATTTGGCGTGCCCACCATGCTCCTGGCGGTGGTTGAAGACTTTCAGCGCATCTGGTATGTCGAACCAGAGGTGCTGCTGTCCGGGGATGCAGAGACCATAGTCAGGATCAAGCAACGGGCGGCGGAGCTGGGCGTGCCCTGGAAAAAGTGCGCACTACGGAAACGGCAAGGCAAGAGGGGGGCGCCACCCGTATTGGTCATTCCAGAGGTGTATTGAATTTTGTGATCTTGTTTCATTGCATCTGTAACAATTCTCTTGGCCACAAGAGATGGCCAGAATCCAGCGCTGCACCGCCGCTGCGCCGCAATTGTACCACTGGCCGGTCAGGTGCATCGATCAATGCGTCCTGGTTCTTGTGTGCTGCATCAATTGTGTGCTGGTGCCAGATTTGCATCATCTTTCAAACAAACAACGACCTATTGCTGCGGTTGCGCTGACTGAGGTGAGGCCGGCAACTGACAGTGGCCACAGCATTTCAAACCATTCGCCTTGTTGGCAGGCAAACGCGGGTTGGGCCCGCGTGACCAGCTCTCTCCCAACCAGCCCTTCCAACCAACCTCTCCCTGGCAGCCCGCTCGCTCAAAACACATTTTCGCGGTTGTGGGGACGCTTGATTGCAGCCGTTCCAACGCCCTGGCCGCTCACTCGCCCTGGCGGCGGCGCACGCCGTGAGATGGCGCCGCGGCAGCGACACAGGGCAGGGCGCCGCCGCCTGGCGCCGTCCATCCTCCTCCTGGCATTGGCGTTGTCAACCATTTACTATGCCAGACACGTAGGCGGGCGTGTTGATGCTGCCACCGAGCATGCATTGCGGACTGGGGGCACCGCCAAGCCGGACGCCACCACGCCGGCTCGCGTGCACGGTCGGATGACCAAGAGCGGGGTGCTCGCCGTGGTGTCGATGCTGGCCGAGGGCCACAAGTGGAACGACCTGCTGTTCCCGCCCGATTGGGTGAAGCGGCGGTTGGCAGGCGAGAAGCCGGAGCCGCCGTCCAAGTACTGCAACCCCATGTTCAATGATAAGTGAGCGTGCATGCAATGCTCAGCATCGTCCAGATGTGCTTGAGCCGCCCCGTCTGTTGACCCTGGATGATGAGGCCTGCGCAGGAGATTGACTAGCTTGCATGATGAGCTGGGTGCCTGGGTAACTGCAGCGCACCATGCTGCACGACCCCTTGACAAGCACTGCTTCCCAACCCTCTGTTTTGGTCCCATGCTGCAATGCAGGTACAAACTCATCTACTTGAAGTGCCCCAAGAATGGCGGCACCACGGTGATGGATGGCTACTTCTCGCATTGCGACCTCCCTTTTCATTATGACTACTGCCTCCACATGGCCGACTACACCAACACCACTGAAGTCGCCCACCTGAACAAGGTGTGGGGCGAGTACTTTGTGTTTGGCTTCTCCCGCAACGTGCTGCGGCGGGCACTCAGCCAGTACAAGTACCTGGCCACTTTTCTCAAGGAGGAGTGCCACATGGCGTGGGGCGAGTACTGCCAGGACCCCTACCTCATCGGCGACGTCTGTGCCAGGAACGATTCCACGGGGGCGTCGTGCTGCACCCAGGTGCCGCCGGAGCACCAGTACCTGCACGTCTCGCCGCAGGCCAACTGCCTCACCACCACCACGGGCCAGTACGCGCTGGACTGGCTGGGGCGGCTGGAGAACTTTTACGAGGACTTTGCGGAGCTGCTGTCCATTCTGAATGCTCGGCCGGGTGTGCCCAAGATCCCATCGGAGCTCCCCGGCCAGCTGAATAACGTCGACCCCTGCCTGAACCGCACGCTGATGGGGACGAAGAAGGGACGAGCCAAGGCGCGGCTGCTGAAGTGCGACAAGCTGGACTTCTACACTGGGGCGAATGAACACTGTTATGACAGCATACGGCAGTTTTATGCGGAGGACAGTGCTCTGTTGGGTCTTTGATGCTGTAAGCTGCAACACTGTGCCAAACGGTTTACACGAGCAGCTGCAGGCAGCCAACCGGACCGAAGCTCAGGGCGGCGTACATAACGGCAGGTAGTGGAGGAGCCAACATGCTGCTGGGTGGTATGGAAGTGAAGGCGACAAAGATGAAACACCAGGGCAACTTCCAACCTTGCCCGTTTGAAATGTGCGCCAGCGCCAGCGGAACGGCGCCGCCTCAATGACTTGCCTGGTAAAGCTACAATTGCGAGTGGACATCCCTGGCAAGACTCTTATTATTGAGTCTGACGCCCTGCATCAATTTTGTTGTTTGTGTTTTGATGAGTGCCAGCTAGGCTTGCAACGTCACACCCTCACCTCTCAACAGCAACAGACGGTTACAGGCTGCTTGATCGTCCGCACCTTTTGTGTCTCTCTTTCTGTCGCTACCCGGGCGCAGGCAACCCCACCTGCTTCACAACCACCCGCCTCGCTGGTCAGCATGGACCGGCAAAGCCAGTAACTCTCAATGGTTCAGCAGCCCGGCAAGACCGGCCAAGCTGAGCAGCACTCGGCGAATGGGCTGGTGCACGCGGGTCGTTCCTTGGAGCTCACAGGTGCGCTTTGTTTGCTGCTGCAGTTGGGGACCGGGCCCAGGCCGCGAGATTTCAGCATTGGGTCCAGAAGCAGCCTCTGGCCGCCACCCCCAACCACCCGCCCGCGCTCCGCCGACGTGGCGCAGGCCTGGAACGGTTGACAGGGGGCCTGCCGGCTGCCATGAGCGCTGCTTTGTACCCCAAAGGCTCCCTTCTGGACCTCTTCTGGACGGTCTTCCTGGTGGGCGTCTGGTACTTTAGCAACTTCCAGTTCGGCTTTGGGCTCAAGCGCACCAGCAACCGGTTCCAGAACCTGGAGCTGTGCGTGTTCCTGCTCTGGGTGCTGTTCACCGTGGGGTGGGCGGTGTCATGGGCTGTCCGCCTCGCCTACACTCATGTCTTCACCAAAAAGGCAGAGTGTGACGGCATGGGCAGCCCTCGACGAGATGAGGAGGCCGCCATCAAGCACCACAACGACCACCAGCTGGATGCGGAGCAAGCTGCGGTGGCTAGCAACCATCTGACGACAGTAGCCGTGCACACCCTGGGCATGAGCTTTACCTGCCTGGCGTTCATCGCCGGCAGCGTGCCGGTCGTCCAGGTGAGCAGGCTTACACCTCTGCCTGGATGCATCTTTGGAATGATTGTGCAGGCTCATCGCGCTTGGTTGCTGATGGCCGCCGCTTGGTGCCTGTTCCTGGCCACGTGCTCAGTTGCTGGCTACCTGCGTTGCTGGGTTCAGGTGTTCAAGAGCCTGGCGCCCATTTTCACAACAATCTTCTCCATGTGCTACCTGAGCGCCGTATTCCCCTACTCGGCAGTGGCTGCGGTGCGTTGGGCGGGGGCTCAGCTTGCTGTTAGCATCGCTTGGCCAGGGGAGTCCATGGTCTGGTCATGTGCACCCACGGATTAACGCGGCTGGCAATGCACAAGCAAGAGCTTGGCTCCGCTGCCTGCAGGTGATGCTGCTTGTCGGTAGTGCAACCCTGTCCAGCTGGAACACGCCTGGATTCAAGTGAGGGCAAAGTAGCTGATCCATGAGGGCATGCTTGTTGTGCGTCTTTGCGCATTTGCAGTGCCCACCACCTTTTGTACAGGTGGCTTTTCTGGGCCCCTCCCCTCCGTCGCGCCACACACTACATGCTTATTTTCCCCGCCCCCCCCCCCCCCCCCCCCCCCCTCACAGCTTGACAGCCGTGCTGATGTGCATGGTGACCAACCTGTCGCTGCCACTACGGAACGTCATGGTCAAACAGCACACTGTGCTGCGGCAGACCCAACTGGCAGCGGTGGGCAAGGCGGGGCCCAACTCGGTGCGCCTGGCGCTGGACACAGCGGTGGACCTCAACTTTGGGGGCATGGTCATCCTGACCCCACTCTGCCTCATCTTCATGAGCTCGCTGGAGGTGCCGGCCGAGGACGTCGCCATCGCGCTGCGGTTGGGCATGCACCGCATCATTTATGAGATTGCCTCGCTGATGGTGCTGACCCGCATAGATGCCGTCATGCACGGCTCGCTGGACGTGCTCAAGCGCGCGGCAATGACGCGTGAGTTGCCGATGGGTTTGGGTGTGTGTATATGTGGTGCATCCATGCCTGAGAAGAAGGAACTGAACACATGGATGCTGCCAATTTGCTTCTCCCCATTGCGGCAGCCACACCCCACTGATCTCTGAAGTTGCCGCACCCTGCTGCTGCAGTGATAGCCCTTTCAAGCTTCGAGGCCGTTCACCCCCTCAACCTGGCTGGATCGCTGTTTGCGTTTGCCACCCTGCTCTGGTACAAGCTGTCGGTGTCCAAGCAGGCGTCGGCAGGCGCCTCGGGGCGGGCATTCTACCTGCCAGACAGGTGGCGAGGGAAAGTGGCAGGGCTGCTAAAGCTCACGCTGTGCTGTGTTGCGACATTTGCCTTGAGATTGTTCATCCAGGCCCGCACCAAGCAGCAGGGCGAGCGGTAACGGTACCACGGTTCATTGAGCCACTTTGTGCCTTCCCTGAGCTATCTTGCTGTTGGTTTCTTCAGTTATTAGTAGTAAATTTTCATTGAGGCTGATTGCTCAATCAAAGAAGGCGACTGCATGGCGGGCGCCAGCGGGGCAAAGCTCTGGACAGTTGTGTAGGCTCCGGCGGACCCATCAGAAACACAAAGCAATCAGGGGCCCACTTCCTCTGCAAGCTGCAAGAGGACAATAGGCGCCGGGCATTTGTCGCCGGGAAACGGTGCCTCGAGCCCAACCTGAGCCGTTTCAGCTAGATGAGCTGCCCAGTGACAAGCGGCACCAGAATGGGGCTGCAGCAGCAGCCCCTCAGGTGGACGCACCTCACACCTAGGGTAAGCCCTAACATGCATGTCGCCCGTGGCGAGTTGTCAGCATTGTCAACAGCATGGCAACTGTGTTGCCTGTGTGCAGGCTGTTACCGCCGGCAGGAGGCGGCCCGTGGCAATGGTGAGTTGGCCGCTGCCGCCGCAGCTGCTAGGTGCCCCGGGTGCCTTGCTCATCAAACTGCAGCGTGGGGGACGTCTCCTTGACCTCTTCCCCTGGCTTTGACGATTATGACTGCACAGGCATCGGCCGCGCCAGAAACCGCCGCACCGCCCGCTGCCGGCGAGCAGAAGAAGCTGTGGGGCGGGCGCTTCACGGGCAAGACAGACCCCCTGATGGAGAAGTTCAACGAGTCGCTGCCTTTTGACAAACGCATGTGGGCGGAGGACATTCGGGTAGGCTCTTGCTCAGCCTACCCGCACCAATTCGGGTGCCAGTTTAAGGTGCCAAAACCCCCTAGTAACCACCATGTCACCCAAGCTGAGTTTTCAGGCACAAACAATCATGCAATGCAGGGCAGCCAGGCATATGCCAAGGCACTCGCCAAGGCCGGCGTCCTCACAGAGGAGGAGGCTGCGACAATTGTGGATGGCCTGTCCAAGTATGCAGCCCCCCTGCTGTGCTTTTTGGAGCATCAACTCTTGCCTCGCATCCAGCAAGCATAGATGTTATGGCCTGGATCTCCTGCCCCAGTGCATCCCTCAGGATGACTTGTGCTGCGTGCTGCTCCGCGCAGGGTGGCTGGCGAGTGGCAGGCAGGCGCGTTTGAGATAAAGAGTGGCGATGAGGACATCCACACTGCCAATGAACGCCGCCTGAGCGAGCTGATTGGTTCCACGGGTGGCAAGCTGCACACAGGGCGCAGCCGCAATGACCAGGTCGCCACCGACACCCGGCTGTGGCTGTACGGGCAGCTGCAGCTCATTCGCGCTGCACTGCGTGAGCTGATTGCGGCGGCGGCAGATCGCGCAGAGGCAGAGGTGGACGTGCTCATGCCAGGCTTCACCCACCTGCAGCCAGCACAGGTGCGCACAGTGTGGGCGCCCACACCAGCGCCACGAGTGCGGTACATTCCCTTTTCTGCCATCTTGTGCCGCTGACCGTCTCATTTCCGCTTGCTCCTGCGCCGCAGACTGTGCGGTGGGGCCACTGGCTGCTGAGCCACGCTGCTTCGTGGCAGCGTGATGACATGCGGCTGCGGGATTTGATGCCACGTGTTGGCACGCTGCCCCTGGGCTCAGGTACAGGGGAAATTTTTCTCGTTTTCACAGAGGCATGACGTAGCCTGCACGCCACAGCATGAGAGGTTCCACGCGGCCGGCAGTTCACAACGTAATGCTGGCATTCATGGCCACCCATACATGGGTGTTCAAGCAACCTCCCAGCCCTTCGCCATGCAGGCGCCCTGGCGGGCAACCCCTTTGGCGTCGACCGGCGCTTCCTGTCCCAGGAGCTGGGCTTTGAGGGCCGGGTGTGCCCCAACTCCATGGATGCAGGTGGGTGTGCTGCTGCCAGCAGCGTGCTTGACTGCAACTGGCGGGTGTTTGGTAGCTGCCCTGCCTTGCTTCCACCTGCCGCTGCCCCCACCCTGCAGTGAGCGACCGTGACTTCGTGGCCGAGTTCCTGTTTGCCTCCTCATTGCACCTGGTGCACCTGAGCCGCTGGGCTGAGGACCTTATTATCTACTCTTCTGGCCAGTTCAAGTTTGTTCAGTGCAGCGATGCATACGCCACAGGTGTGCGCCTCGCTGCGACCTTGCTGTGTGCCATGGGGGAGGTTCCTTGTTCAGCAGCAACCGGAGGCGGAGGGAGTTCACGCGTTCCATAGCTGCCCTGAGCCCATAGCTGTCGTCCTGCCTGCCTCATGTGCCCGCCCGTCAGGCTCCAGCCTGATGCCCCAGAAGAAGAACCCAGATGCGCTGGAGCTGATCCGCGGCAAGGGCGGCAAGATGATTGGCAACCTGACGGGCATGATGGCGGTGATCAAGGGCACGCCCACCACCTACAACAAGGTGCGCCCGCCTCTCCGCCTCTGCGCTACATCCATGCTGTGGCCGGTGCATGGGGCTGTCAGCCGGCGCCCACCTGCCCTTGCCTTTGCTTGCCTGTCTGCAGGACTTCCAGGAGTCGTGGGAGCTGATGTTTGACACGGTGGACACCACGTACGACTGCGTGCGCATCGCCACGGGCGTGCTGTCCACGCTGCGCATCAACCCCGACAAGATGCTGGCGGGGCTGTCGGGTGACATGCTGGCCACCGACCTAGCCGAGTACCTGGTCCGCAAGGGTGAGGCTTGGCCAGGGTGGGGGAGGGTGGGGGGCTGCCAACAGTGGTGAACCTTGCTGTCAGTTTCATAAATCACGCTTGGCAAATGCGGGCACACAGTTCATCCATCTCTCCACATTTTTGCCCAGCGACCCCGCCCACCCTGCCCCCACCCAGGTGTGCCATTCCGCGAGACACACCACATCAGCGGCGCGGCTGTGAAGCTGGCGGAGGACCGCGGCTGCGAGCTGTCTGCCCTGACGGTGGCCGACCTGCAGGGCATCCACCCGCTGTTTGCGGAGGATGTGGTGGAGGTGTGGGACTTCAACCGCTCCGCGGAGATGCGCGACACCGAGGGCGGGGCTAGCAAGCGGAGCGTCCTGGAGCAGGTGCAGAAGCTGCGGGCCTACCTGGCAGACAGCTGCTGACCGCCCTCTCAATTCGTCGCACAGGTGGTAAGTTGATGAAATGTGCAGGGCATCTGAAGGTGCCCGAACTAAATGATTATTCAGAACATCCGTGCAATGATGTTGGCAACTGCCTTGTCGAGAGACGTTGGTTATGTCGCCTAGCACCACCTTTGCGAAAGCTGGCAGCAGTATGCATTGCCACAATTCGCATATGGTGGGATTTCAAGTGTGGCATGGTGCTGCAAGTTGATGGTTTCACGTGGCGTGTTCTGCCGATGCGGGAACGGCCGCGCCGGTGCCGCCAGCCTGTCGTGCTGTCAATGGTATTCGCACGGATCCAGGGGACCGGGGGCTCCTTCAGTAAAGCTTTGCAGGTCCCAGCTCCCTCTCTTGCCATACCTGGCTCCCAGTCACTGTGGTTCACTTCACCTGGGCCACGATCAAACCGTGCAGGGGCCAGCCGAACCAGTCCTCACCTGCATGTGCTTTCGCGACCGTGCGCGTGAGTGTGTTTCAGCCCTGGTTGTACACCTTGACTCGGGCCAGTGTCGGCCGGCTCCTGCTTTTGGAGGGCGACGCTGGTCTGGTGCTTATTTGATGGTCAGCAGCGCCCCAGCTACACCTGCCCCGCCCGGGCGCCCCACCCTCCTGCCCGCCCGCCCGCCCGCCCACAAGTGCAGAGCGCCGCCGCCGACAGCAGCAGATCAGGTCCAACTCATTACATTTCCTGGCTCCGTTCATCCGCCCTGTATACTGAGCTTTGGAGAACTGCAGTCAAACTGAACAAGTGATGGCAGATGCCGAGGAGTTTTGGGGAGAGGAGGAGGTTGCTGGCCGTGAGCAGGCACAGGGGGAGGAAGACGACGAGACTGGCGAGAGGCCGCATCCCAGGCGATTTTCATTTGGAATACTGGGAAAGAGGATGGCCCTAGTGGCTCAAGGCGTCGGTGATTCGTTAGCCAGAACCGCAGCTGCGGTTGGGGAAGTCATCGTCGACTCCGACCTGCGGAGCAAGTCGGCCGCGCTGCTGGCCGAGAGCGTCGGCAAGGCGGCGGCGGGCGTCGGCAAAGGTGCGGCGGGCTCTTGTCATAGATGACTTTGGCGACAACATATGTGCGGCATGCTCCGCTTCACAGTTGTCTGCTTTTGTGCAGGCCTGCAGCAGGGGGCGGGGCGCATCGCCGCCGGCCCACGCACCGTGCAGGGCATCCTGCAGAAGCTGCAGCATCGAATTGAGGAGCAGCGGATGCACTCGCTGCTGCAGGAGCAGCAGGACACGCCCGTGGATGTGCAGGCACGGAAGAGCATGTGCATTTGTGACGCACGCATGCACGTGTAACGGTGCACTGCCGACATCTCCACGATTGTGTGGCACGCAGGTGGCGTTCCAGCTGTACGAGGATGCGCCGCAGGAGCTGCGCTCGCGCCTCTGGATGGCGGTGCTGGAGCACCCCGAGCTCTGCAAGGAGTACCAGGCAGGTTTGGCGAGACACTGCTGGCGAGGCGCCCGCTGTCGACGTCCACTTCGCTACTCAAGTGGTTGTATTCCCTTGCTTGCATTTTGCAGACGCTGGCAGCAGCACTGCAGCATCAGAGGTATCAGGTGGATGGCAGCACAACGGGGGGTGATGGCAGCGTTGCAACACCAGCAGCAAAACAGGCAGCAGGAGCAGCAGGGATACCAGCAGTGCAGCAAGGGCAGCTAGAAGCGGGACCAGCAGGGGCAGCAGGAGGGGCAGAATGTTCTGATGTGTCAGCTGTGGCAGAACCTGCACAAGCCCACGCAAGCAGCAGTGGGCCTGGCGCAAGCGGACTGCAAGGACAACAGGTGCAGCCAATAAGCGACGAGGGACAGGGGCGAGCGGACGCGGCAGATTTGGCAGCACCAATGCCGCAAGAGGGTGCCGGCGACCCCGCCCACGACCCTGCCCACCTATCCAGCAGCTACTCGGCTCCCTGGGCGACACACCACATCCATGCTGGCCCCAGTATGAGCGGGGCCTCCTCCAGCCCACACATCCAGCCAACAGAACAGCGGCAGGATGATGATGGCTGGCAGCTGGTGAATGATCAGGCTGCAGCATGCAGGCTTCAGGGCCAAGCGCTGCTGGCAGGGGCTGGGGAGCATCCGCCGTACTGCAGGGAGCGTGAAGGGTTCAGAAACATTCTGATGACTGCGATGATGAGCATCCCCTGGCCGCTGCCCAGCGAGTACCCGCCAGAATGCAGATATTCAACGCTGCTGCAGATCAGGTGCAGTATGTGTACTCATGCTAGGCCAGCAGCGATTATTAGAGTACAGGGCCCGCAGTGTGCATGCGTCTTTGGTTGTTCATGGATCGGATGCTCGTCAACATCTGCATTTGCCTCCCACGCTGCCTTTTCTTCAGCGTGGGCCAGGAGGACATTGATGAGGTGATCAGCCGCGATATCCACCGCACCTTTCCAGAGTATCCGCTCTTCGCCTTTGAGCAGGTAATATATGGATGGTTCTTGATGCCCAGCATTAGTAATGTTTACCTTTGTTACTGGCTTGTTTCTAGAAAATGAAGTGGGACGCTGTGATGCAGGGACAGCAATCGCTGTACAACGTTTTAAAGGCAAGGATAGCATGATTTGGGCACCTGCACTTTTAATGTTTCCATCATGTGTTGCGCGCACTAACCTTCTTGTTATGATCTGCCTGTTGGCTCATGCAGGCGTACGCATTGCACGATATGGAGGTGAGGAAGCAACCCTGCATGTGTCTTGTAACGTCTTCCCCATGATCCCACCTTGCCACATGAACTTGTCCACTGGCCATGGTTTCATGCTGCAGGCGGCTTACTGCCAGGGCATGGCATTTGTGGCGGGGCTGTTGCTCTTCTATGTGCCGGAGGAGCCCGCATTTCAGCTCTTCTGCCGCCTGCTGAGGTATGGCGTGCCACAACACCTGGCCATGTTTTGCCGCACTTGCCCCTTGTTGATAGCTGCACCTCCACCGCCGCTTCCCCACCGGCTGGCTGCAGCACCAGCGGGCCCAACCTGCGTCGTCTGTATCTGCCAGGGCTGGAGGGCTTGAAAGCAGAGCTCAGGAAGCTCGAATTTTTAGCAGAGCGCTTCCTACCCAATCTGACTGCTCACCTGAATGTGAGAATCCATGCCGTGCCTGCGCAGTAGTGTGGCACTCGTGTTGATTGAGCATGGTTGTGGCCTGTAGCTCATGTTGCCCCACTCCATGTGCCCGCTGCTCCTGGTGCAGGCGGCTGGGGTGGTACCCGTGCTGTTTGCCTCCCAGTGGCTGCTCACCTGCTACTCCTGCCCCTTCCCAGTGGGCTTCGCTTGCCGCCTGATTGACGTGATGCTTCAGGCGAGCAGCGCAGGCTTTGGGTGTGCTGGTTATGTACAAGCAGCTGGTGTTTCCTAACAAGACCGAGATGGCTGATTGGTGTGGGATTTGAGAACACACCAATCAATTTCTGCTGCACTATTTTCATTTATTGCAGGAGAACAGCGATGCAATTTTGCTAAAGGCAGCTATAACGATCTTGGCAGAGTGTGAGGGCGATCTGCTCATGCAGGAGGTGGGGCTATTTTGGCATGTACTAATATGATTGCTCTGTCCAGGGTAATCTATAGCTTGCCGGGCATGCTGTGTGTGTTCACGGCTGCCCTATTGCTGTTCCGTAGGACTTTGAGGCACTGCTGACCTACCTCAAGGTGGAGCCAGTGCAATGGTCGCCCCAGCGGCTGCGTCGCGTTCTCAATGCCGCCATCTCCAGCCCAATAACAGCGCAGGCGAGTGGCGAACGCCCTCTTTCTCGTCCCAGTTTGCCTACCCTGTGCACTTGACTGTGGGATGCCCAGGACCAGCTGAGCGACCGCAGCATAGACCTCATGCATTGCCGCTGCAGGACCTTGCGGATGCCGACGCGGCGCTACACTTGGGCTTCACGGGCTCGCTGTCGCGGGTCGCCACCTTCTCGGCGGAGCCGGAGGTGTCTGCACCCGAGGGGGAGGCTGGGGCCGGCCCACCAGAGGCAGCAGGCGCCGCGTCTCCTTGGAGGGCACGTCACAGCCGCAATGCATCGCTCGCCTCCCAGCCATCTACCACCGCTTCGCTACCGAGCGGCATGCCAGCGGGAGAGGCTGGAGACGACACTGTGGCGGCTGAGCTGGCCGCTGCGCAGCAGCAGATTGATGATGAGGTGGGTGGGGGTGTATCCCAGGTTCTTGTGGCAGCACAATATCTTCCAGCAACCGGGCACTAGGAGCTAACCCAATCTCACCCGCACACCCTGGCACACCTTTGTGCAGCTGATGAACATGGTGCTGCGATTGGACATGGATTGGAACGCGCCAGGCGATGAGGATGCCGAGGAAAGTTATTCCAACACGTTACACAGCGTCGTCCAGACGGGCAGTGGCGGCCACAGCAACCCGCTCGGATAGGGGATGTGGCGGTGTTCTTTTGGTAGCAAGGGTCGATTCAGAGGGCAGGCACAGTGCACATTCCTCCCTGTGTCTTTTTACACTGCGATTGTAAAACACCAGCGGAGACTCCGAGGGGCGTCAGAGCCAAAGACAAGCATACGACTGGCAGGTGCAGTGCCGGCCTGGTTTCAAATGCTGGCGACCACCTTTCACTCCTTCTTGTCCTCCTCCTCTGGCGCCTGCTGTGCCTCTGCTAGGGACATCTGCAGTGCCAGTGCCAGCTCCGGATCGTCAACCAAGTCCGGCATCGCAGCATCCTCGCCGCTGCCAGGCGCAGGCGTTGCGTCTGCCTCGGCGCTGCTGCCCGCCTCGGCCGCCGCTTTGCTGGGCGCCGCAGGAGTGGCAGCAGGGGCTGCACCAGGGGCCATGTGCATGCATGCAGTTGGCGGGGGTTGATGTCATATGAAATGGATGCTGGATCCAGTGCCCTCCCCACCCCACCACCAGGGAGCAAGCCACGGTTTGTTTCAGCACAAACTTGTCGCGGCTAATTTACCTGCAGCGGGTGCCGGGGTGGCCTGGTCCACCTGCATCGACAGCGCCAGTGCCTGCTGCAGCAGGGCATCCTCATCCATGGCATCAATGGCCATGCCCTCCGCGCCCTCTCCACCTCCATCTGCGCCACCTGCTTCACGGTAGGCCAGCCACACGGCCGGAAACGCAGCAAAGGGATTAGACAACTGCCGTGCGCATGCACAACCGCTTCCAAACACGAGAAAAGGCGAACATGCAGAGCTGCCATTGCCTAGCATCACGAGCAGTGTAGTACGCACCGGGTGCCGCCTCTGCTGCTGCGCCCTCTGCTGCAGGCGCGGCCTCGCCACCCGCCTGCTGTGCCGCGGCTGAAGCAGCTGCCTGCCGGGCACGCTCCTCCTCCATGGAAACCCGCAGCGCCAGCGCCTACACAGCGGCACCAGGCCGCCCGCAAAGTTGGTGGCTTGGCCAACACGCGCTCGCCATTGCCTGCACTATACCACCAGCAAAGCAAGCGAGCTTGACCCTGCCAACTCTCTGGTCTCACCAGCTCTGGATCCAGGGTGGGGTCCACACCCAGCTCGCCATAGTCAAAGCCGTCGACCACATTGCCTGCAGAAGAGAGCAGCAGTGAAGAGCAGCGGGTGAACTTGCGCATCCCGGCCCGCTTTGCCCTTCATGCCCATGGCGCAGCACTGCCTGCCACTGTCTGGCCAGGCACGAGCACCCCGCACCCTCATGCCAGGCGAGCAGGGCTGGCACTCACTCCGAGGCGCCGGGGCGGCGCCCTCCTCGCCGCCGCCGCCGCCGCCGCCGCCCGCGCCCTCCTCCATGAAGATGGGCGTGCCAAACAGCATGTCGGACAGGATGGTGCCGGGCGGCACGGTGACCAGGTGGCTGTTGTCGTTGCTGTTGACGGCGGCGTGGAATGCCTCCAGCTTCTCGCCGTTGGCCTCCTCCGACCCGAAGCTCACCACGTCCACCGCCACGTTGTTCTTCTTCAGCTTCTTGGCAATCTTGACCAACGCATCCTGCGGCGGGGCGCGGCGCAGGTGGCGGCGGCTGGGCTGTGGGCTTTGCTGAGGAAGGGCAGAGCCAGGCACGGCAGTGCAGCAGAGCGCTCGCCCAGCCACGTTCCCAGGCAACCATGCTGCTCCAGCGGGGATGCCCGGCCCATGTCCTGCAGCCCGGACAGCTCACCTTGTCCTCTGCGATGGGGCTGCCCACGAAGATGACGATGCGCTGCCGCTGGTTCTTGTTCTGGCGGTGCTTCAGCGCCAGCTGCGCAATCTGCACCGATGTGGCCAGGTTGACGTCGCCCTCAATCTTCATCTCCTGCATCGCGTTGAGCACCTTGCCCAGATCGGGGGTGGGCGTGACCAGCACCTGCGCTCCACGAGTAGGGGCAGCAGCTCTGAGTGAGAAGGGGGTTGAGTGAAGCAGCAGGTGCCAATCCAGGTCCAGAACCTGCGTTTCCCAGCGGTGCGAGCCGGGCTGGCCGCTGCTGCAGGCGTTGCCCGAGCTGCACCTGTGGCGTCTTGCCCGCCATGGTCAGCACCCCCACGGTGTTCTCCGGGTGGTGCTGCGTCTTGGCGCCCGCCAGCAGGTTGACTGCATCAGCCTGCGCCTGGAAGCGGGTGGGCGCGTAGTCGCCGTTCCGTGTGAACTCGCTGTTGTCCACGCACACCACGGTGGCCTCCTACGTGTGGTGTCAAGGGGCGGCGGCGGGCAGCAGCGGTTCAGCGGGCGGCGGGGCGGCCGTGGGAGTGGCCAGGCCCGGGCTTCAGCGCTCCGCGCCGGGGCACTTCACGGTACTCCGAGCTGCCAGCCCGTAAGCAGCTGTTTGTCGTAGAGGCAGGAAGCACGGCAGTGCCGGACTGATCGCGTGCGTGCCTGCTCCCTGGGGTTCTCACCATGGTAGGTGGTTGTCAAGAGTCTCGGCTAGGCGCAACGCCGGCTTCCCTGCCACGGAGATCGCCTCTCGGGCTCAGAACACGCGGTGCTGGACAGCGCTGCCCACCGGAGCTGCCAGGCACTATTGCAGGAACTCAGAGGGATTGCGACTAGCAGCCGGCCCCTTCTGCAGCCGTGGAGTACTACGCAATGTACCTTCCTCGATTTCTCGGCGCACTCAGGCGCTGTTCCATTCTTCTCATCCTTCCAGCAGTCTTTGGCCGCTCAGGGAGCGCGCCGATCGGTGCCTAGCCCACCGCCTGGGCTGTTGGTTGCCCCTTGGCTTGTTAGCACCCCTCGCCCGCATCAGAAATGGAGCGTATGGAGGTGGAAAAGCTGTTTCAGCAGCGCCCTATCGCTGCTGTGCGCGAGGTAAGACTCATCGTTGCGTTTGTAGCACCGGGACCTGCTGTCGAACCTCGATCCTCCACCTTCCACACGAGAGCTGTGGAGCTGTGCCCATACGCTGTGCAGCCAGCATACAGTGCGGCGGTGAACGGCCGCCGCCCTGCACTCGTCGCTCGCCGCCGCCACACGTATTTGCGAGCCTGATTCACCGGGAACTTGTGTATCCTTCGCAGTTTGAGCTGACGATGCAGGCGTCTTTGGCCGAGAAAAAGAAGCAGCTGCGCGAAACCGTTGGCGAGAGCTACCGGTACGTGAGGAGGAGAGAGAAGCGCAGCGCTCCACCTCGTTCTGCTTCTTCTGCCCCAGCTGCTGCACCTCGCCTGCGTCCCGGAGGCCCCAAGCCACCGTGCATGCCGCGCTGGCATCAACCCACTGCAGGGACCTCATCTCCAGCGCCGACACCATCATCGACATCTCCCGCTCCTGCCACCGCCTGGTGGACCTGACGGGGGCGCTGCAGCGGGGCCTGGGCGAGCTGGCGAGCGGCATCGCAGCGGGTGGCGCTGCCGCACCCCCGACCACCTCCTCCTACGATCGCCTCTACTCCCTGGGCAGCCGCATCAAGTACCTCCTGGACACCCCGGAAACGATCTACGGCTGCCTAGATGGCGGCGAGTTCCTGGCGGCCTCGCGCCGCTACGTGCGCGCCGCCGAGGTGCACCGCCTGCTCACCGCGGGGCAGGCCAAGCAGGTGGCGCAGCGCTTCCCGCTGCTGCAGCACCAGTGGCCGCTGGTCAAGAAGTTCCGGTCGCAGGTGTACACTGCGGCGGGGGCGTGGCTGGGGTCGCACGGCGAGCTGACAGCCACGCAGGCGGCCTCCACGCTGGCGGCGCAGGCGCTGCTCAAGCCAGCGGATGGCGCCGAGGTGCGACCGGCAGTCTCTCAGACGGCCCTGTGGAGGCCACGCGGCATGTTGGCCGTCCCTGCAGATCATCTCTGTTGATGGCTGCAGACCCTGCCGTCATGCTCCTTGTTGCGCTGTTGCAGGTGCTCAAGGCCTTCCTCACCGCACGCCAGGCCTACATCATGCAGTGCCTCTCCGCAGCCACCAGCGCGGGCGCCGACACCGACCTGGACAGCCTAGCGTTCATCCTTGCTGACGTGGCTACAATGGTGAGCCCAGCAGGCCTGCCAGCGCTTGCCCTGCCGCGAGTAGCAGCAACCAGTGCGCATTCGATGGCAGGCGGTGCCTGCACGTGTGCACAGTCCCCTGACCACACTGCTGGCGGCGCATGGCGTGCAGGTGTGCGCCACCCTGGCCCAGTGCGGCGAGCTGTTCCTGCAGCTTCCAGGCGTTACTGCCACACCCCTGCTGGCACAAGCGCTGTCTAAGGGTGACAGCAGCAGCGCCGACCTCCTGTTTGACACTGGCAAGGAGGCAGATGCCTGGAAGGTGCGAAATACAGATACATCGGTCAAGTTGGCAGTCCCGCTGCAGTGCAGCCAGTGCAAATTAGCATGATGTTGAGCTCTTATCTTGCTCTGCAACTGCATCTGAGACGCAGGCTCACGTGGAGGCAACCAGGAATCGGCTGGCGGAGCTGAGCGCCGCGGGGCTGGCGCTGGAGTGCAGCGGGTGGCTGGACCAGCTGTCGCTGCAGCTGCGCCAGCTGGGCGGCCGGCTGTTGGGGCCATGTTCGAGTGGGCAGGGGCTGCTACAGGTGGAGGCGGCAGTGAAGGCTGCCCTGGAGGAATGGCAATACCAGCTGCAAGCCAGCAGGTGTGGTGTGGTGGGGGGCTGCGCCTCTCCTTGTTGCCAGGCAGACAGGCGGGTTATGGCGTGCTTGCTGTCATTAGATGCCTGCTGGCACTGCAGCCCAGCCTGCCTACCGCCTGGGCCTGTGTTCCATGTGCCGCAGGCCGGATGCCGCAGCGGCAGCAGATGCTGGGGGCGATGTGGCGGCCATGTCCTGGGGTGACATCTGCCAGTGGGTGCTGGGCCGTCCGTCGCCTCTGTGGCCGCTGATGTTTGAGCAGCCGCTGCTGGAGCGTGCCAAGCAGCTGGTGTCCCGCGACTTCTCTGCGGTGGTGGACGAGGTGGCAGATCTGCTGGGCACCGCTCTGCAGGCAAGCGACGTGTTTTTCCGTGCCGCGCCCAGGCCAAGGGTCTTTCAACAGTTTACGTGTCTCATGCTGCCGTCTCATTGCTTCCCCTCCAATGGGTGTTTGCCCGCAGGAGGCAGCCAATCTGCCCCCCTCAGCTCCCGGCACCTTCCAGGCAGCCAGTTGGTTTGAGGCTGTAGAGCTGCAGCCGGCCACGCCTGATGGTGCCAGCAACGGGTCTGTTGGGGCCAGCAAGCGCCGGCGGCTGGCTGGGCAGCCCAAGCAGGGCTCAGCTCAGGCGGGCGCCGCGCAGGACCTGCTTTTGCAACGGTGGCTGGGACAAGCAGGCCACGTTGTGCAACGGTTTGACCAGCAGCTCAGCAAGGCACTGGTGGCCGCACTGGACGCATGTGGCAGCCTGGCTCAGCCCGTCGCTGGTGGGACGGTGCCCGACGTGCGGCGGCCATCCGGGCCCACTGAGGCAGCGGCCAGCAGGGCGCTGGTGCTGGAGCCATTTGTACAAGACAGGTGTGCCATGGGCAGGACTCAATACCTTGGGTTGCAGTTTGCCTGCATCGCCTGTTTGCAATTTGCTGCTATAGCCGGCCCGGTGGCCTTAAAAATCCCAACACTTCGTGGCAGCGCAGGTGTGCAGAGGCGGCGGAAGGCATCGCTGCGTCTCTGGACGCCCGCCTGCTGGCGCTGCCCCACCCAGAGGCAGCGGGATGCGGGGATGCACGCTACTCGCCCATCGCCACCCAAGCCCTCCTGCTGGGCCGCGTGGCGCTTGGGTTGGCTAGCCGCAGCAGCATGCTGCCCGTGGTGCTGGGGCCACCAGATCAGTGGCGTGCATCAGTGATCGGCGGCGCCGATGCTGAGGCGGCCGGCAGGCGGCCGCTGCTGGGGCCTCGGCTGCCTGCCGGAGCCCCGGCAGCCCCAGCTCCCAGCGCACGCTACGAGCGCCTCCAGCAGCGGCTGCACAGCGTCGGGCTGCAGGGCTACGGCAAGTGGGCAAGCTGGGCATCAGTGGGCCTTGCATCGGCCCTGGTGGCAGGCCTGTCGGCAGACCACACCTTGGCTGCCGACGTGCCGCTGCGGTCGTGGGACGAAACCGTCATTGGCGGTGCCGGCAAGGATGAGCTGGCACTGGAGGCCGAGCCGGCCGGCTCCGGCCTGGAAATGCGCTTCCAGCTGCCCGCTGCCCCCTCGCCTGCCGCCGTGCTGCTGGCTCTTGCCGCCTGCCAGGAGGTCGACCGCGCAGGTAGCCGACTCCCTTCGCCGCCTGCCCAATGTGGCTTGATTGCTGGCAATCTGCAGCATCTCGACTTGGGTGAATGGGAGGTTGCTGGAGTGGTGCTTCTCCTGATGCACACCCGTTGTTTAACTTGTTTTGCTCCTGCTGCTTTGCAGGCGGGCATCTGCTGGAGGAGGAGCCTCTGCAGCTGTTCAAGTGGCGCCTGTGCGGCAGTTTGCTAGCTGCGCTGAGCGCTGCACTGGGGGAGGCAGAGGCCAACGGCGACGGCGGCGGCTTGGGCACTGTAGAGACGGCTGCGGTTGGCAGCGGCCACAGCGCGGTGCTGGCCGGCAAGGTGTCGGAGAAGGGCGTGCTGCAGCTGCTGTTTGATGTGCGCTTCCTGCTGGATCTGCTCAGCGGCGGGCGCCCCATCAGCACAAGGTGATGGCCCCCTGCATAGGATTGCCTGGCTATGTGCTTTCCTGACCCTTGCAAACAAGCATTGAGCAATTTTGGAATGCAACTCCCAGCGCCATACCTGGCATACCTGCCATGTGCTCACCAACTTGCAACCCCCTGTCCCCTCGCTATCATCCCTGCTCTCTGCAGCGCCTCAGATGCCGCTGGCAGCGCCGCTGCTGTGGCTGGGCGGCGGCGGGAGGCCATGCAGCTGGAGGCGCAGCTCAGCGGCCGGCTGGACCCCATTGATTGGGCCACCTACGAGCCCTACCTGTATGCCAACAAGGATCGGGCAGCAATCCGGCGCCAGGTCGGTCCTGATGTTGGGTCGGGGCTCTTGTTTTGGTCACGTTCCGCGAGCAAGGCAGCTTGCTTCATGCCAGGGCATTCATTGCCCACCCAATTGCTCATAGCTTGCCCCACGACGCTCCGTGCTGCGCTGTATGCAGGTGCTCTTCGGCGTGCTGCTGCGCGGCAACCAACGCACGGCACAGCAGGCTGGATCAGGGGCAGCGGAGGGTGGCAGCAGCATGTCTGCGGACAGCAACACGCTGCGTATGGCAGCGGTGGGGCCTCGCTTCTCCTACCTGCCCGTCACCACTCCGGCGGCGCTGCTGCGGCAGACCTCCATGCACCAGCTGCAGAATGCGGGCAGCTCCTCGCGGCTGGCCTCTGGCTTGCCTGTGCTGGCTGGCGCCACTGACGTGGCTGCCACACCTGCTGCGCCTGCGGGGGAGTCCGCTGCAGCCTACAGCTTTGCTATGTTGCTCAGCAACAAGCCGCGGCATGCGGGAGAGGAGGACGAGGGGCCCATTGCCAGCTCAGCCAGCTCAGCAGCCATGGGCACAGGCGTGTCAGCTGCCGCCAACAAGCTGGTGGGCCTGCTGGGCGACTCCGGCCTGCTCTCCTCCTTTGCCCGCGGTTTCAACAATTAGTGTGGAACAATGACTGGCGTGTGCCATGTGGGTCGCAGTGTGGCAGCAAAAAAATACATGGAAAAACAGAGAGACTCAATGGAGAGATGTTCAAGTCGGCAGGCGCCCGTTGCTGCGCCAGCCTTGGCCCGAAAACTTGGCAGCCACCAGCTGCGGCAGGGTGTGTCTGGAGAGTCCCGTGGGCGGCTACCTTGTGAAAGCCGTAAACAGCCAGTTCAGTATGCAGGAGCCAATCGCCAGCAGCATGGTCTGCACTTGCAGGGGTGAGGCAAACACCGGAGGGTGAGGAAGTGGATACGGGACCGGGGTCGGAGGCCTTCTCTCGGTAAAAAACTAACTAAAAAAATGTACTCTCGTTCTCAATAAGGCCCAGGGCGGCGGCTGGTGGGGTGGGGTGAGCGGACGTGCCTGCCCCTCGTAGAAGGCGGCGGGCATCACGCGGCCCATCGAGGCGGCGATGGCGTCGGGCAGCGTGTAGAAGAGCAGGCAGCCGCTGAAGGTGGCCATGAAGGCCAGCAGGAAGCCGCGCATGATGTTCTTGCCGCCTGCGGAATGGCAGCACGCAAGGGGGCGAGGGCAAACCCGCTCGCCCATCAGGCCTCGCCCAACCCAATCTCAGAGTGCGTGGTGCTGCACTGCCGGCAGCCCAGGGCGCACCCTGCTTCTTCTCATCAGGCGGGCTGTCCGGGCCTCCCTTGGGCACCGGGTACAGGCGGTTCTGCTTGATGATGTTGCCCACGGCGCCGGCAATGGCGGCTGCAGGCAGCGACGTGCAGGCGGGGGCGCTCAGCAGCACTATCCAGCACACACCAGCCAGCTTGGCCGCTCACGCACTCCGCGCTGCGTAGAGCAGCAATTGGCAGCAGCCCCCCACCCGGCAGCAGACCACTCACACCAGATGACGGGCTGCGTGCCGGCGGTGAGCGGCGACAGCAGCGCCCAGGCCAGCATCAGCGCCTGTGCCAGCGCGCTGTACAGCAGGATGTCGTAGGCGGCCATCCACAGCCGGGGGCGCCAGGGGAAGTACTTGGCGCGGTCGGCGTAGAGCACATCCTTCTCCACAGACACGTTTCCCTGCCGCGACAGAGGCAGGAGCGGAGCAAGCGCAGCGGTTGGGTGGTGGTTTGAAGGGGAAGAGGCTGCGTTCCTGCTGTGCATGGCGCTGCCACGGACCGCCCACCTTGAGCCGCGACGTGAGCTGGGCCATCATGATGGCCGAGTGCGCCGCTTCGATCTGCTGCAGCGCCGCCTCATCCCGCCCCTTGACTTCGCTCACCCTCTTCTTGTAAGCCCGCTGGATGGCATTGTAATCGGCATTCGAGGGGATGCCCAACACCTGCAACGCAGGGCGAGCAGCCGAGTTGGGAGACGGGGGCGGGCAGCGGCGGGCGCCACCAGTGTGGCAGCAGCATCGGGCCCTGGCACATTGCTGCCGAGTGCCCCCACCAGCACGTTGGGCTGCAATCTGAAGCGGTCCCTGCTCCATTCACCTCATACGGGTCCTGCCCAGCTCCAGCCATGGCTGCTCGCACTGCCACACCCCGTTGCGGCTTGGGCATCCTCTGCGGGCCTCGTGGCCGCAACTGCAGCGGCACCGCCGCAGCAGGCATCCTTAGCACGCGTGTCGAGACTTGCATGTCGCGCAAGCTTGCTCTCGTGCTGCTGTTTCGTTGCAATTTCGAGTGCTTAACAACCCAGCAGAATGCACTCTTGATGAGCCTGCGATGCATGCTATGTTATCCATTGCCGCCACCGCCGCCAGCCGCCGCATCGTGAATTCAGGCGTGTGAATTCATGTACATGAACTCTCCGTTACATGTACATTACAACCTGGCATTCTATTCCTTCGTATTGACATCTGCATGCTGCTCCACACTCTGCTGCGGACCGTCACCCCCGTTGCCAGCCATCTGCTGCATCGCCGCCTGCAGTGCAGCCACCACTTCGTCATCCGAGTCCACATCCTCAGCCGGTTCGGCCCCCGCTCGCGTAGCACCCTGCTCTGCCTGTACCGACTGCTGCTGCTGCTGCGGTGCCTGCGGGTCCAGTGGGAAGACTGCTGCGTCGCTGTCCTCGGGTGGAAACAGCCGCCAGTAGCATTTCCTGGCAGCCTCAACTGCCGATGCAAAGGTGGCGGTGCTATCGGGGCCAGGGCACAGAGTGACGTTGGCCGGACACCTGCTGCCGATGTCAGCGCTGGTGCTGCTGCCTCCCAGCGCCAAGTGCTTGCTGGTCTGGGAGTAGAAACCCGCCCAGAGCACAGAAGGCTTGCTGGCTTCACTGCTTGAGCCAGCCGATCCTGCGTGTGCAGTCAGCGCCTCTACATCGACGCTTCGCTCAACTGCTGCTGTGCCATCAGCAGCCGTGCTGGAGTCCTTGCTGCTGCAACTGCTAGAGGAGGTCAGAGGCTGCAGCTTGGTTACATCGGCCAGGGCTGCCAGCGCGGGCAGCAGCATGTGTGCTGCTGGCTGCGGCTGGCAACTGCCACCAATGCTACCAACGTTGCTGCTGCTGCTGATGATGCCGCCGGTGACAGTGCTGCTGTTTCGGCTGGCTTGCGTCCACAAATACAGCAGGTGTGTCCCAGGGGGACACACAGCGGTGCTGCTGCTGAGTGCCAGCGCTCGCACCACTGCCTGATGACTGCGCCCTGCTACCTGCCCCATGGGTGGCAGCAGCGCCACCAGGGTCTGCTGCTCCCTGGACACCAGCGGGCCATCAAGCACGGCACAGCAGCGGTGCGTGATCTCCACAGAAGTTGCCGGCTGAAAGGCAGCCAACCATTCCTGGTGAGCCGCTTCGCCCGCCGCCAGAAGTGTGCAACAGATGGTCTGCGGCGTCAGTGGCAGAAGAGTGGACTAGGTCGGGGAGCCGTTGAGCAACATGTGCCGCCTGGTACACAAGAACAAGCCTTACGATCCATGTGGTGATGACACACCTGCCCATTCGACAGCTTGACGCCAGAGCAGCTGACGGTATGTTCATCAAACACCAAGGTCTCGATGCCGCACCTCAACACTTGCACTGCCCCTGCCACTGCTGCAACACGGCAAACAGCTTGAGGCAACTCGCCACACCCGTACAATGGAGTCAAGAATGGGCCTGCAAGCAGCGAACAAACAAGCGCTTAAGAATGGCAAATGATGCATGAGGTTGCAAGTAAGGAAGTGCGGCATGTTGTTAATGCTGCACGTGCCTGTGTCTGGTCCATATCTGCCGACAGAATGCACATACACGCGCAGCCGCTCCAGAGCTTCTGCTGCCGTCAGCTGAAGTAGCTGTGGTGTGAGCGCCATGCTTGCGCCCTGATCCCCACACGGTATGTGATCGAACAGCAGCACGCCATGCAGCACCGACTGCTGCAGCTGCAGATCTAGACCTTGCTGCTCCAGAAGGTCCTGAATGGGCTGTTGCCCGAATGCATCCTGCAGGCAGTCAGGTGCTCTGGTCAGAGTAAATGAACAGCGGCAAGGCCTGGACGAATGTTGTTGTCAATGGTAACGTTGAATTCTTCAGAGTGTGCACCCCCCGGAACTTCTTGCCCACCATTCTCACTTTCAGAGGCCCCTGCCCGTCCAGTGCCTCGGCCGCAGCCTTCAGAAAGCGCATGACGCTGCGCTTCTGCAGGAACGCAAGGGGTGGCCCGTACCAAACCATCAGCCAGAGCCAGCCAACCATGCCACCGCTGCCGACATTGCATAACTTGTGTGGGTTACTGCTGCGCGCAAACCAGATCTCAGGCAACAATAATCACCTGCAGGGGTGTCAGCTGGCGGTCCTTGAACACCTCTGATCTGCTGCTGGGCACACTGCGAAGGCCTGTGTGGCTGCCGCTGCTGTCAAGCTGCAACAGGTAACTGCAGCAAAAGGGCGAGAATGGAAATGGCCATGCGCGTTTCCTCCCTGCCTATCTTGCCACCCTCATGGCAACATACGATGTCATGTTTTCAACAAGCAACCAAAACCCACCGCACCTGCCCTGTACCAGCTTGAACTCCAGGTAGTTGTGTGCCCCGCTGCCCAGCAGCAGCTGGATCAGGGTGCCCGCGCCATAGGCCACCTGCAACTCGAGACACAAAACAAAACAACCATAACGACCACACCACGTTGAAGCAAGCGCTGCGCAAGACGATCCACCCCACCTTGGGCGCGAGGTCAATGTTGAATTGGTTGTCAGGGCCCGGCTCTGTCCCAGGCTGCTGCCACACTTCAGCCCCAGAGATGCCGGCTGTCGGCTGGTGCTTGTGGTGCTGCATGTGGCTTGCGCTCGAAGCGTCATTGTTGCCTGCCTGCTCTGGCTGCTGCGGCTGCTCATCTGGCAGCAGGAGTACCTTCAGCTCGCTGAGGCGCATGCTGGCCCAGCTGCCGCCATAATGTGCCGACGGGTCCAGCTGCAGGACGCTCTTCCCCGCCTTTGCTGCAGCTCTGCAAGGGGCAGCAGTATGCAACATCGACTGATCACCCCACAGCATGGATTGCAATCCAAACCAAGGGGAGCAGGGGGTGCTGAGGGTGGGTGCCCGCCTCGGAAGCGACGCCGCTACAATGGCGCCGGCACAGTCGGGGTCCCATAGGGGCGCTCGTGCCACCGCTTAGGGGTTGTGCTGCCGCATCAAGGATTGCAGCGTGGAGTTGGACTCCGAACGGCCCCAAAGACATGTGGTTGCGACTCACGCCGCCACGATCGACTCGGTGAGGCCCGTGCCAAGCACCACCACATCGAACTGGGACGGCTCAATTGCCTCCATCCCCTCCGCTTCAGCCCTTCTCTACCGCTGCCAGAGTTCGAGTCGAGAGGTTACTCATTCTCGTCTCGTACACAGTGCATCAGAATATGGCTGATTGATAGAAGAAGAAGACCGTTTCACGGGTGAGTTTCATTGCCATTCGTAGTACAGGTACTGCAGGTCAGCGCCGCCGTGACCGCTTGTTACAGTATTGTCATGTGTCGGGCAGTTCTGCAATGGCTTCCACACCCGGGTGCAGCGGCAGTTTCATGCGCTGAAACTCGGCGCTATACACCTTGGCCGCCTTTCGCCGCCGGGCATCAAACCGCTGCCCGTCAAAGCCCTTCACCGCCGCAAGAAAGTCAAACAAGTCAAAGGTGTCGGGGTCGAGCCGGCCCGCCGAAGTCTCCATGGTGGCCGGGTCAAACATGTCGACGGTGGGCAGGGCCATGGCCTCCGCCAGCTCCCTGATGCGGAAGTCGCGGGCGATGACGATGCCGGGCACCTCAGCCGCCACGCCCGCCATGGTGCCGTGGATGCGGAAGCCCCAGACGAGGTCGCAGCAGGACTTGAGGCCGGCAATCCACGACTCCACGTCGTAGAAGTAGCGTATCCGGCTGGGGCGCAGGTACAGGCCAAAATGCGAGTGCATGGCGTCCAAGGTGTCCTCGTCGCGCGAGGTCTGCAGCACCACCACGCTGTTGGGGTAGGCCTCCAGCACGCGCCGCGCCAGCAGGCTGACCAGGCCCAGCGGGTAGGGTTGGTCGCCAGGGATGGCAGGCAGCGTCACAGCCAGGCGCAGGTTGGGGTCTCGCCGCCGGAGGACCGCGTCCCACTTCCGCTGCAGCACCGCCCCCAGCCGCGGGTTGTGGTTGATGAAAACGCTGGGGCAGCCCAGCGGTAGTGGCGGCGGCAGGCCGTTGCCCTCGATGATCGCTGCCGTGAACTTGCCGCGCGTGGTGATGATGCCGCCAGATGCCTCAACCTGCTTCAGGAAGGCCACCTGCTGTGGGTGCAGCTGGACGGCGCTAGCAGCAGCGGCGCTCATGTCGGCTCCCTCTTCTAACAAGGGTGCGTCATCAAACCGCACTTGGCTGCCGATGCCGATAACCGCAATTGGAGCCTTCACGGCGCGAGACACCTTCAGCACAAAGCTGGTGTAGCCCCTGACCATGTCATAGTTGCTGATGTTCATCAGCAGGTTGGCTTGGGGCAGCAGGAATGCGTCAATGTGCTCCGTGTAGGGAGGCACAAGTGCAACGGGCTCTGTTGTGTTGGGATCCAGAAGGCATCGGGCACCATATGCCCACACCAGGTTGCCCGAGTTGTCGGTGGCAATCGGCTTGGCCTCGCTTAGAGTCAGGCCGATGGTGGATGGTTTTGCGTCGAAAACATGCCCGATCCAGCCGACCTTGACCTTTGGGCTGCCTTCGTCAAAGGCGCGTGTGTCTGCAGAGGCTGGCCGCTCACCCATCAGCACCCATGCCACCACCATGGTGCACAGGGCCAGCGCTGTGGCGGCCAGCCGCAGCTGGCGGGCAAAGCTGCCGGATGCACGGCTGCCTGCCACGGCTGCGACCATGTAGGAGGCAAAATGTGCGCCCTTCAAACCCGTCTGTTCTGCAGAACAACCGCAGTTGCAGAGCGTGTGACAAGTATGACCACTAGGCAATCGTCTTAAACCTGAACGGTAGTGCAGCACAGCCATCACCTGGCCCTCCGGCGTCAACTCGCCAGGAACTGGCTTAAGAGGCAGGAACTGGAAGCAGAGTGCTGGATGGGACCACAGCCACCTGCATTGATGCAACAGGATCAAATCAGTCATGTGCACACCCAGCTCCAACTACGAGGAAAAACACAAGACAGCGTCAGCGGGTGGTGGCGGGAGCGGGTGGCGGCGTGGCTTCACGGGCACTGGGCATGTCCATGTTTTTTGTCCGCAGCCCTCCAGCGCTGGCTTTCCTTTACCGCACAACGCACCCTCTGACTCAAGCGCGGGTGCTGGTCGGGAGTTTTGCATTCAAAAACTCCACAACATGGTCATAACGGTCAGGCTGACGCCGTGTTGGCGGCAATGGGGCACCCGGCCGCAGGCAGGCTAGCCGGCGAGCCAAGCGAGCAGCGGCAGGTCTGTACCGCGGCCTGTACCGCCGCCTGGCGGGGGCGCGCCTTTACTCACTCAAACAAACGGATATGCAGCTTCGTTCTATGTTGATACAATTGGAACGTGTGTACTTAATGAATTGATAGCACGATCAATTGGGAAAGAAATGCCTGAGATATGTTTGGGAACTGAAAAGTAGCTGGGGAAGAGGTTTGGGGCTACTGCCGGAGCTCATCTGCCTCACGGGACAGCTGGTGGCAGTTGATGGCTGGCGAGGAGGGAAAATGACGACAGCTCAGGACGCTCCTCACCCTCCTATTTGCACACCGAAATAAAAAGGTGTTCCAGCTGGGATGATCTTCCTGCTGAGGTTGATTACCCTGCATGAGATTCAACATGAAAAAAAAATTGTGTTCATGCCGAATCACACATGGATACCCTGAACTTGAACACATGGATACCCTGGACGGAACACATGGATACCCTGGACTTGCTTCCAGGACCCATTCCAGGCAAGGCAGCCAAACACCCGCAGACCCAGCTTGCTGAGGCTGCACAACCGACTGGGCAGGGAACGCACTTGACAGCGACGCGGTGGCGCTCGTTACGAAGGGGCGCGGCGGCTACAGACACGCAGTACATGCCAGGATTGGCTTTTTGGTAGGCAACACATCTCATCTGCGACAACAGGTGGGTGACAACGGGGATACGTTGGCTTGCAACCACGGCCAGGCGCAGTGCAGGTAAAGGCGCGTGGCAACCTGTGCCTGTAGAGGCAACAGGTGTGCGAAGGTGCGCAGGGCACCTTGGCAGTTCTGGTGGCTGGGTCAGAAAAGTAGGAGTGCAGGTAGTAGGTGCGCTGCACTCCCGGGCGCCAGGCAAGGTGAGCCCCAAACTTGACGTAAAAAACCTGCAAACCATTGGCAATCATGAGCAGATGAAGCGAAATTGGTGGATAATTGCCACCCAATCCATTTGACAAGAGCGGCAGAATGATTATCAACTGGGGTGTTGGTGCCCTAGCTTGCCTGGTGCCTGCTGGCGCTTGCATACTGCAGCGGCCAAGGCTGCGGAGGGCTTCTGGGGTTGGCAGCGATGAACTGTCTCAACGTGCCTGGGAAACGTACCATTACCCAAAACGAAGAGGCTGCAGCAGCAACATGACGGCGGGCCACTCACTCATCAAACATGCCTTGCAGTGTAGCAGCCAGGCCAACTCAGCGCAGTCTTGCCCCTGCTATAACAAAAGGCAGCCACACCAGCGGCCCCGCCTGGAAAACGCACGTGCAGCCATCTCGTTTTTGGAGAGCCAGTTCGATGCGCTGCCGGACTTGAAGTTGAAGACGTCGCCGCCGACTCCGTCTGAGAAGTGGAACTGAAAGCGTGAGTTCCTGAAGCTGCCAGCCAGCTGTGTCCCCGGCCGCCGGTAACCACCATTCCAGCAGTCGGAGCGGAAGGCAAAGTTGCTAACCGGCGTCCGCGTGTGCGTGAACACAGCGGCAAACTTTGTAATCTTCATGAACTGCCCTGGGTCGATAGCCTGCAAATGCATCATGGGACAATTCACTATCAGTGCAGATGCACCAAATGCAAGCTTGTGCATGGTGTGGCAAGCTGGCAAACATGAAACCAGCTCGCATTTTTAGTGGCACAGGGCACCAACCTGCACGATCACTTGGGTGTCTCTGAGCTTGGGCGCAGCACCAATGAACATCACACCAGAGCTAATCTTTTTGGGGGCCAGGAAGCCTCCTGCAGCACTCAAGCGCGGATGGAATTATTCCCCAGATTTCAGTGGTGGAAGCGCTGGGACTCAGCTATCAACTGCTATGCTGCTATGCTGACCTGTGAGAAGAAAATTGATCCGGATCGTGATGCCAGCGAACACGCAGTTCCTAGTGGGGGCGCTGAAGACGATGCTTTGCTGGTTACTCTGCACAATAGCATGCCAGAAAGAACACATGTTCTAGGTGGCTGCCACATAGGTGGCCAGGGGGGCACATGCCCCACCTCACGCAGGCAACCCATGCGTGCTTGCCTGCATGATGGACACTTGGCTCAATGTCACAGCATAAATGGGACGGCTTGCCAAGCCCACGAACGAAATGCCCACGTTGTTATTGGCCACAGCTCCTGCCTGCAAGTTGAGGTTCCGCACACCACCCTGCAAGGTGTAGAAGACAAGGGAGTGCAGCATGAACAGGCCAGCAGGTGCAGCAGCGGTTGCCCTCTTGTGGCTGGCCACACAGCACCAGCGGTTGGGTTCAGTTGGTACAGACAGCAGAACTTGCATCGACTCACCAGTATGATAACTCCAGCCTTGGAAAAGCTTCGGATGCTGGTCAGCACGATTGGACGCGTGTAAACACCAGCTGAAAACACCAGTCCTTTCCCTGCGCCAACCCACACTAACGTGAGCTGTGCCGCTCAGTTCAGCAAGAAGTGCCCCATTCTCTGTACCACCGACAGAGCAGAGGGTGAGACCATCTCACACAGCTGACGATTTCTGGGAAGCCACAATGCCCGCATTGGCTGTGCTGAAGATGCCAGCATCCGGAGTCAGGGTTACGGAATTCTTGAGGAACAAGGGCGTGTCTGGCAGCACCAGGCACCCCTGGGGGCAGTCCCTGACCGCCAGCTGGAGAACCGGTTGGTCGGCAGCGCCAATTGGGGCCCCATCACAGAGAGGATGTTGCGTTGGGAGCATGGCGAGACCTGTACCTTGCCGCCCAAAAACTGACCAGAGATGAAAGCACACCTGACAGCCTGGCATCACTCCACCAGGCCGGGTACACCTCCGACACCTTTCTCCCCATCATCACTTTGCCTGCAGAACGCACGCGGCACGGCCGGAATTGCATCCTACTGAAAAATGCAAGGCCTCTTCTTTATTCATGGGGGGGCCAAGACAGATGGGGGCCAACGACAGCGGTGGATACATTGCTGTTGATACCTCAGCCACACCATGCACAGCTGCCTGTACCTCGACCGGTAAACATAGGGTCGTTCCAGATTGGTGCTCGCTTTGGCTGCTGCACCAGAGAGAGTCGCACTCCAGGGTCCAGCTGGAACCTCGTGTTTGCGCCTGCCACACACACATACACGTGTTTGATTATGACTGGAAGTTGCGTAAGCCGGGCACAGGGGCAGCCAGATAGACATCAGCAGCAGATAGGCAGTGGATGCGCACCCATGATCACTGGCTTGCTCAGCACAAGGCTCCTCCTGATGCGGTACACGCCCGTGGGGAAGTAGAGGAAACGGGTGGTCCGCGCCTTGTTGGCCTTGCGCAATGCCACCGCATCATTTGTCACGCCATTACCGCGCGCGCCAAACCGCATCACGCTGCTGCCCCGCAAACAGCCGACGCGCAGGGCGGGGGGCTTGACGACCAGACCAGTTGGGGGGAACCTTTTATCGAAGGGGGCCGGCATTCGAGTGGCACGGTGGACGATGTTGAGGAGCGTATTCAACTTCTTAGGCTTGGGTTTTGGCTTGGGCTTTGGTTTAGGCTTGGGCGTTTTCTTCTTTGTCTTCATCGCTGAAACCAATGCCTCATCTCTGGCTGCATCTGTTGCTGATGCACCTGTCGCTGCTGCAGTTAGCACCTCATCTTGACCACGAAAGTTGGTGACGTTACTGGCTTCCATGTCCAATGTACGGGTGCTGCAGCAGGAATGGACACCAAATGTCGTGAGTATTTTGAATCCGTTCAGGATGTCGGATTGGCAAAGACGGCGCATGCCAGGATGGCAAAGAGATTTCCAAGAAGAATGTAGCAGACTGGTCCACCAGATGCTGCCAACATCTCCACCTGAGCTCCGTAGGAGAGTTCTTTGACTGCTCGGGCAGGCTGAAGTTGTGGTCAACAGCAAAAGCGTTTTCGGCCGCAGCAGCAGCGCTCAGGTGCGATGCCACTTGGAAGAGCACCAGCTGCAGAAGACATGAGCAGGCGGTGCATGTGAGGCAAGGACTGGCAGGCAGGCATAGACATGAAGACCGGCACCCTCAGATATGACTTGCCTGAGCTGCCTCTGTGCTCTTGCTGGGAGTCTCGCTCGGATACCCTGTCACAGCTGTCACCACACTGTCTTCGCCTCCAGACGCCTCGTCGGGGAGTGGCTCCCATGTCGGCCAGCCCTCCGGTGGCTCTACTAGCCAATCGAGCTGATCCACAGGGATGTCTGGCTCTGCATCAAACTCATCTGTGCCCCCCCACTGCCCAGGCTGCAGCAGGATGCGGGCGGAGTGCTGCCTGCCCACCCGACCAGCTCCTGCTGCCGGCTCCTCCCAGCTGCTATGCGTGGCTGCCCTGCATAGCGCCGCTGCGAACGTGCAAGCCAGTGCAAGCCTGCAGATGCGACTGCTGCAGGACATCACGCGTGCACGTTGGAAGCCACAGCCTGCATCGAATGGGAGAGTAAGTGAGCGGAAGTGGGCAGGTGTGATGGCGAGACGAGCGGTCGCCGCCCAGGCCGCCGGCGCCCGACAGCACCCGTCCTGGAGCAGCGACAGCGGCAGCAGGAGCTGCGGCGGGAGCGGCGCCTCTAAGCCCAGAGATGTGCAGTCGGCATCCATCCACTACAAGGAAGCAGGCTCTCGAGCTGACTCTCACCTGCTGGGCCGGACGCGCATCAACAGATGGCCTGCCTTGGCCAAGTCATGCTGGCCCAACCAACCCAGCAGTGCTGCTCCGCGGGAAGTTCACCACTAGTGATGCGGTGGGCTGCCCCCAGCCACACGGGTGCAGAACACCCGCAGATCGCGCCCACCAGTGTCCGCCTGCCAAGCCGTGCGTTGTTCGGCCCGTTTTCTGTCTCTGCTCGGCGACCCTTGATCTGGGTACGCAACAGTTTGGACTTTCCAAAAGCCAGTGCTTGTGCCAACCAACATGTGACGGCGCCACCTGGCAGCGACTGCCGACTCACGCAGTGTTTCTGAAAGCTGGCGAAATCGCCAAATGCTGGCGAAATCGGGCCAAAAAACGGCTCTGGCTGGCGATTGGCCGAAGGCCATCGCCAGCCAGGGCTGGCTAAATGAGGGCAGGCGGCGGGGCGACATCGCCAGCGCGTCGCCAGCCCCCATGACTGACATCGCCAATATTTTGAGGAGAAATGGCCAATTTTCCTCAGGAACTTCACTCCATAGTGTTAAACAAGCGCCAGCTTGCTGGGGGCTTCGCCCCCAGTCCCCCAAAAGGGAGGCAAGTGCCGACAAAGCAACAGCGGCGCCGCATGTGGCCGCTGCGCTGTGCCAGGCGCAAGGGTGGCTCCCCCGCATTTCGCCAATCCTCAATGTGCCATCGCCAGCTGATTGGCGAAATTTGGACGCGACAGCAGTCCTCATCGCCCGCCCATCGCCAAAGCTGCCACGAGGGCCAGAAACACTGGACTCACGAGTCGTGGTCCACGACAGGTGATCCCACACTGTGGCGGATGTGGGGCATGGGTGCCCACTGTCGCCACTGCCACTGGGTCTGGCGCGCTGTGCCTCCGTCCTGCGCCGCGGAGCGGTGCACCGCTCCGCGGCGGAGGCGGGGTGGCTGTTGAGCTGGCTGGACGGGCAGTGTGCACGGCGACGCTCAGCCTGGGCAGAGCTGCGGCGGGGTCGACGGCGTGCCGTCACGGCCAGCGCAGCCACTGCATCCTGGCGCTGACGCTGGCGCTGCGCGTTCACTGGCCATGCGTGCACAGAAACACCACCATCCCTGCATGATGGGCGCCCGCGTTTCCTTTCATTCCCTGTCGCCTTTCTGCGCTTGGTGGGCTGTTAAGGCCTTGGTGGGCATTACTTATGGCCAATAGTGGATTCGGAGGCCCTCGTGCCGCAAAGAGTGGAACAGGTTCAGCGCATCATTGTAGCTGATCCCATCGCCGTAGCCAATGAACCAGGGCATGTCCCTGCAGGCGTGGCAGGCCAGTACCACGTTAGCAAAGGTACCATGGCCTTAGGTGGTTGAATGCAGTGCTTGCAACGCCCGGCGCCCAGCCCTCACTGATGGATGTAGTGCATCTCGAACAGGATCTCCCCGATGCGGGAGCGCAGGTCTGCGTCGGCCTGCACAGCCCTCATGAACGGTATCTCCACCGACTGGGTGTCCACATCCAGCTTGATGACCTGCAGCAGTGGAACACTCGGCACACCTCGAAGGGCAGAGGCAGGCGCCGGGCAGCTCAGCCTGGGTGTCCCGCTGACTGTCACCTGCACTTGCTCGGCAGCCAAAGCTCAACGCACCAGAAAGTCGCCAGCCTGCACGTTTTGCTTGATGTACTGGATGGGGTGGGCAGGGCTTGTAGTGTCTCCCTCCAGCCCAGTGTTGTACAGCTGTGGACGGGGCAACAGCGCGTGTCAGGGGCATGAGTGGCACCGCATGCCATGGTGTGCCCCTTCATCACCCTCCTGCAGCTACAACCACCGAGCCCGCCAAAGCCGACCAGGTCCTGCCCTGCCGGGTGTGCCGAGCGCTCACATGCAGGCGGAACTTGACGTCTGGCGGCACCCCTTGCCAGTAGGTGGACTGGTTGACCGGCCGCGGCTCCCAGGCCCAGACCTCATCAAAGTGCACGCCCATCTGCTCGTAGTGTGCCAGCAGGTAGCTCAAGCTCGACCGGAGCTCCTGGCCCTCGTACCCTTGGCCCGCGCCAAAGTCCATCAGCAGCTTGCGCCCTGCAGCCGGCGGATACTGCGTCAGGGCATCCATTTGGACGGCCAATGGGGCCAGCATCCCCACTGCATGGCGTCCCAGCGACAGCATTAACAAGCAAGCTGTCCCATCCAGAGCAGCCAAGGCCACCATTGTTGGCAGCCAAGCCAATGCCTCCTCACCAGGGTATGTCTTCTGAAACTGCTCTGGTGTGAGGCCGGAGAACAGGAGATAATCCTTGGACTCAATATCAACGGTGCTGTTGGGTATGCAGTGCGGAGCGAGCGGGTGCCTGCATGGAGTGTGAGCGGCGGGCAGTTGCTTCGCCGGGCAGCCAGCGACTGCACCAGGGCTGCAGGCAGTCATGAGCCCAGATGCCGGTGGGCGGCCCAAGGGCACCCACCGCATGTGCCCCACCAGGGGCTCTATTGGGGTCAGGTACGTGCTGCCTGTGCACGGGTCTTTCCACTTGAAATGTGAGAAGACCGTGCTGGGATTTATACCCGCGTCTGTACCCGCTGCTGCAGCTGCTGCCTGTATGCCACGTTTGCCGCTGCTGTTGGCACCGCCGTCGCCGCCCCTGGTGCTGCCGAAGGACCTACCGCTGATGCTCGCTGCCAAGCTGATAGCGCCGTCCACCCATGCCTGCACCCTCTCTGGATGCAAGGCTACGGCTTCGCACAGCGTGTTTTTTTCCACAAACTTGGGCGTCGCCAGCTTGTACCTGCGGCACATAGGTAATACAACCGCCCTCAACCGACGGAGGCCCCCAGGGGCCTGCCACCTTGCCACAGCCTGGTTGATGCAGGGCATCGGTCAACGGCACCGTCCGTTGAGCTGGACTGGCTAGTAGGGCTGCAGCACGCCCTAATAGGGCTGCAGGCGGCACGCAGGGGGGCCCCTCCGGCCCGGGCGGCACGACGCTGCGCACCACTCCCGCTCCCACTCCGAAGGCTGGTAGGCAATCAGGCGTGGCCTGCACTGCGACCATGCTGCCGCCACGGAGTTGCCGGATCTAGATGGGGAGAGGAGGACGACGGAGAGCGCCAAGCCCGCCGCAAGAAGCCCCAGCGCTGCACGCACGGCAGGTTTGAGGGTCCTCATCTCTGCAAGCTGCTGCTTCATGGCCTCATGGTGCAGCGACAATGGAGACGGCCCGGATGAAGGGCAGGGAAACTGCAGCTGGGGTACAGCAGGGATGTACTGCGGCCGGGCATTGGCATTTGCGCGGCCTTAGCATAGCTACGCCGAGGCCTATCGCTCTGGCCTATTCGCAGTTTCAAAGTGGGAGCTGCCTGGTCTTGCCCCGAGGTTTGTTCACAGTGGCAACGCTTTAGGCCAGTGTGAAGCTTGCCGTCACCATCAGGCCCACGTTCACGTGCAATGCTGTCCAGCATGACGCGCAACAGGTGAGGAGCGTCCATATTAGGCCATCCGCTGGCGGTGGAGACGCTCGCCCGCCAACTGCCGCTCCTCTGTTTGCAATCTGAACCGCACTGCGCCACCCCGTCAACCCTGTCCTGGGTGTCTGCAGGAAGGGTCGCTCCAGCAGCCGGCACAGTCCAAAGCCGTCAGCCGTGCTGCCAGCAATACTGCCGGCCTGGGATTCGCGGCACTGGGTGGCGATTGTGGCGTTGTCACTCGGCTTGCTTGTGGTTGCCATGCCCCACGCCCGCGCAACGCGCACCCTTCAAGCTGGTGGCACCCATTTGTCCTCCACTGCGTCATCCCGGGACCAGCAGGCACCCATCACCATGGATGCAACGTTGCCAGCACGTGGGCAGCAGCATCGCCCACAGCAGGAGGATGAGCAGGATGGTGCTGCCACTTCGCCAGCAGACGAGCACGGAGCGTTGTGTCCGGCAGGCTGCCATGCCTCGGACGGCTGGGGCCGCTGCCTGAATGGGCGGTGCGAGTGCGCTTTGGGCCACGGAGCAGCAGATTGCGGATTCAGCCTGCCCTCGATCTACGCGGACAACCCAGTTTATGATTTGACTTCCAAAAATGGGCTACGCCAGCTCGACCTGACAGGCTGGTCTGTCGTCCCTGAATTCTTTGAGAAGTACCTTGAAAAAGCAGATGCCTCTACGGTGGTGGAAGTGGGCGTGTGGTGAGCGAGCAGGTCCCCGCCGTGTGGTCTACTGGCACTCTAGCGCCTGCTGAGCCCCACCCTCCTGCTTGCTGACCCTGCCCGACAGGAAGGGACTGTCTACTGCTCAGATGGCGAAGTGGCTGAAGCGGAAGAAGCGTGGCGTGATGATTTCAATCGACACCTTCCTGGGCGCCCCCGAGGTGAGCAGAGGGTTTGTGGGTCTGCAGGGCTGGCCCTGACGCATTGTTGAGAGCGTCATTTCTGCCACCATCCCATGCACACAGATGTGGACCGCCTCCGCCGTCAGCGGCGCAGATCCCTCCCGTAGCCTGCTGCTGGAGCATGGCTTCCCTTCCATTTACAAAACCTTCTTGAGCAACATGCAGCATGAGCAGCTGACGGATGTGGTTGTTCCTCTGCCCCTGCCATCCAAGCTGGCCAGCGTGGTGCTGAAGCGCCTGAACGTTACCGCCGACTTGATACATGTGGACGCAGGTGCAAACGGGGTTTGCATGAAGCTGAAATTGAGTGCCTGCCCATCCAAGGCAAACCTCTGTTGCTCTGCTCCTGTTGCTCTGTGCTACATGCAGCCCACGAGTACGGCAGTGTGAAGGAGGACATCCACGCGTGGTGGCCTTTTGTGCGGGGGGGCGGCATTTTGTTGGGCGATGATTGGAGTTGGACTGGTGTGCAGGTAACCACCCAAGCCTGCTTGGCTGTGCGGCGCTTCATTCGCTTGCTTGCAGCGCAAGGGTGACAATTTGTTGAATGGTTTGGAGTGCAGAAGGCTGTCAAAGAGTTTGTGCTGATGTGTGAGCTGGAGGAATTCCACTCTGTGGAGTCGGCCGCTCTGTCGTCGGAAACACTTGTTATGGCAAACCTCACCGAGTCCCGTCCGCACCCCAAGTGGCTGATCATGAAGCCGGCTGCGTTATGGTTTGCCCAGAAGCGCCACCTGCCCACATACTGTGAGCATGGCAGCACTGATCAATACGTGGGGCTGCTGGAGAGTTTACAACATAAACAATAGCCTGTTCTCCTTCCCCTTTGCCCCTCGGTTTGCCCCATTCATTGTCAGGCAGCAAAACTGTAATCTGACCTGCCCGTGGCATCTCAGGTCATAGTAAGCATGCAGGGCGTTTGCATCGTTTTCTTCTCAAGTGTAAGACGATGATGTGCTTGAGTTGTTCGGAAATTGTCAAGTTCCTAACCGCCACGCTGCGCATGCTGACGCCCGGCTGGCGTAAATGCTGATTGAGTACAAATATCGCCACGCACATGTGCCATCCATAAATTCATCGATGGCCGCCCCATACAGCTCCCACTATCCAACTTCAGTCCGAAAGCTGGCGGCAGCAGGCAGTTCTCCGGCCTATTCCAGGCTCGCAGCTCTCCTCATTGTCTGCCTGGCCGCATCCCTCCTTCTGTGGCCACGAACACGCTATGGCGGCGGCTCAGCTGCTGCAGGCCCGCCTTGTGCTGCTCCTCCCCTCCCTCTTCCCACTTCGTTTGGTGGCGTGCACCGCTATTCTATTCCTCTAGAGCTGAAGAAGGCGCCACCAGCGACGGACCCGGGCCCCAGAACGGGCATTTTGCACGTCTATTTGAAGGCGCTGAGATGGCCGGTGAGCGCAAGCGCACGCCGCTGTACCACCGCAACTGCGCTGTGTGCCTGCTGTCTGCGCGCTGTGCCCCATGCACAGGTTGTTGAGCTGTAGCAGCAGTGCAGGAGCCAGGGATGCCCTGCAGCAATGGCATGGGGCCAGTGCTGCTGCATCCGCTTGCTCGCTGTTTGCATGCGAAATGGTGTTGGCAAAGTTGTGAGTGTGTGGCCCCTTTGCCGTGCAGACCGAAGATGGAGCCTACCATTTGAAAATGAAGGGCTTTGTGGCGTTTGAGTTCACCTCGCCGCCAGTGCACTGGGGCGCCCACAACCACACGCTGCGAAACGTGCCCGAGATTGCCTCCCGCCTGCGCATGTTCCTCGTGCACAACTCCACGGCCGGGAGCAGCTGGCAGAGTGAGCTTACCCTTGAGATGTCAAACATCAACTGCGAAAAGATGACCAAGGATGACCCCGCCTTTGATTTTAAGGCGTGCATTGCTGCGGCGAGACGCAAGCCCACCAGTAGGTTTTACAACCTAGCTGATATCAGCATTAACTTGGGCCACACCACCGCCGTCGACTTTGGGCTAGCAGTGCATGGCTGGCCCCGCGGCGCTTCCCTCAAAGCGCAGCTGCAGGCGGCGCTCGCAGCGCCGCCTGCACAGAGCGACGGTCCGCAGCTGCTCTTCCGTGCGCTGCCCTACCTCTCCACCATCGGCGCAAGCCAGGCTGCCCGGCTTGTGACGTGGAGCAATGACTACCATGAGCCACTTGGCTTTGCTGGGACCGTCATGTATGTGCTGGCCAAGGATGCGGCGGAGCTTGTGGCGCAGCCTGGCATTCAAGCGCTGGTGGCCGCCAAGCGGCTCACGCTGGTGCTCTGGGACGAGTTTGCCACGTACCAGGTGGGCAGGGGAATCACCATGATGCGGCAGATGGTGAGCAGCCTGGGTGGCAGGCAGGGAGCAGGCGTGTAGATTGAAGGGGTTGTCTCTGGGACACCCTTGGAGGATCTTGACCCGTGCAACAGTATGCATTTGGCTGTGGCACTCTTGATTGCCTGCAGGGCTGGCGTGACTTTGATCTCCTGGTAGGTTGCTCGGAGCAGGTGTTTTCTGTCAGCTGGGCCTGCCTGCCTGCCCATCTTCTGTGCCTGATACCCAGGCCAATGCCTGCTGCCTGCAGGTTGTGCAGGATCATGCGGTGCTCTCCTTGTGGGGCCGCAATGTGTTGGTGCTGGTGATGGATATTGACGAGTTTGTGATGCCTGCCACCTCTGGAAGCACTCTTCCCAAGATGCTCGCCCCTGGGGGCTGCCTGTCAGCCCTGCGCCCCGAGTGCCGGCTCATTCGCCGTTGGAACATCTTTCCGCACCGCGCAGTGGTTGCCGGCGCGAGCGCCCCTGATGAGCCCAGCTTGTGGCGGACCGCTGCGGGGCCCAACCCGCTGTACAAGTACAAGTTCTCTGAGATTGACCCCCTTTACCCAGAGTATCCCAAGGCGTTGATGGACCCAGACCACGTGATGCCCGTCGCCGTCCATTACACCAGCATCTGCACCGGCACCTCTGCAATTGCCAACGCCTCGGCCAGCAGCAAGCTGCGGTCGGCGTGCAGCACGCGCGAGCCATGCCCGTGGGTCAGCACAGACTGTGTATATATAGCCCACGTGGAGAACCAGTTTGTTGTTCGATCAGTGCCCACCAATGCCACAGCGATTAAACCATCTGACTGGCTGTGGATGCTTGATAAATCTAATGGGCGGCCAAGTTGATGTGTAATTGAGGATCTAGAAGCGAACGAGGGAGAATTGCAGCGCCACACAAGCTGCATTGCAACACACATGCCTGCCCCCGATCCGCCCCTCAACCCACCCCACCCATCCTGCCTTACCTTGCCCACCGACACCCCACACATTTCCCCACACATTTCCCTATGAAGAAGATGGCACCGGCAGGCATGATTGAGGAGCAGTTGTCTAAGGGTGAGCCATGGCTTACAATTGCTGCACGCCGGCAGTATCGTAAACGTGCTGTTCATGGGCCCAGTTATGCAGCGGGTGGCCGTTGCCAGTAAAGCCCACCAGAACAATGCGGTGGGAGGGCAGGTATTGCTGGAAATAGGAGTAGGCCAGGAAGCCTGTGGAGGGCAACCTTCGTTTTCCCTTCTCAAAGGGGATACGGGCATAAGTCGTATACACGCTTTGAATGAATTGTGACTGTAGTTCTATAGCCTCAAAGTGGGTGAGTGAAAGGAGAGGTTGCAGGTCACGGGCTTTTGAAATGTATCGCGCCAGTTTTGTCTCCACAAACACAATTTTGTGGAACACTTGATTGAATTCACTCAACCGGTCCTCGCTGATGATACTGGTGTCGTTATGCTGCCGCAGGAAGCACACCATCTGGTGGGCGGGCACATGCCGAAAGTAGGGCAGCGGCAGCGCAAAGTTGAATAAAACGACGAGGTCCCACTTGCGCACGTGAATCGTTGCCCATGTAGAATTTGCATTGGGGTTGTTGGCTACCATGTAGACGACGGGTCTGGCATCTCGGTTGTTGTACCAGCCTAGGTAGATGGTTGACAGGACAACAGCGATGACGATGATTGCTCCACGCGAGAAGACGAAAGCGCGCAGCGTGGAGAGAGGCTCGCCGCCGCCGCCGCCGCCGCCAGGCCTGGGGGCGTCCCTCATTTCATTGCAAAAGGCCCGAAAGCTGCAGATAGATGGAGTTGTCTGCTGTTGACAAGCTGCCAACGACTTTGCGTCAGGGCGCACCCAGGTTTTCGCACAGCAAGCCCCCTTTGTGCGGTCATTGACCGCATTCTGCGGTTCTGGTATCCCTGGATGCTCCTGGGAGCATCACCCAGCAAATTCTTTGCGACTCACCCTTTGAACACCCGCTAGAGACCTGCTAGGCAGGACGGCAGGAGGCTGCGTACTCGGTTGAAGGGGCTGTAGTGGTCAGAGCTTGAAGAACGGATGTGAAAACATCAGGTGACGTCAGGCTGGCACCGTGGCACCGGGGCGCCGGGGGGCGGTTACACGCCCGCCTTGCTGGCGAACGCCCAGGCCAAACAGACACCTTCATGCTTCCACCACTCTTTTGGACCACCTGACAGCATGCAGGAGCAAGCTCAGCAATACACTGGGCGGCGTCCAATCCATTGAAGCGCTGGCGCCCTCTGCCGCAGGCAAGCCCCAATTGGGCCCAATCATTTGCCCCATGAGCAGCGGTTCAACAGTGTTTGAAAGAAGACATGAATGAAATAAGGGAAGGAGGCAGGAACACACATGCAGCTATAAGCTCGGACAGCACTCAGGGAGGACAATCGGTGGCGCCTTCTTCTCTATGCAGCTGCGCAGCGGCACACCCAGCGCTCCAGCACGCTCCTGGATCCTGGCGATGGTGCTTGCATCGCCCGACAGCAGCACGTCGGGCTCCACATACCACACCTGCTCAAAGTTTTGGAGCACCGGCAGCAGCATGGTGGGCACACCAAATATCTGCAGGCCAGCCAGCGACGGCAGCTCCTTCTCCAGCACGTCCAGGCATGCAAACAGCAGGTCCTGCTGTGGGTCATTGGCCGCCAGCTCGCGGGTCTCGGCATTCGCAAAGGGCGCCCCCTTGAACGCAACATAAGAGCGGTACGGCGTCAGGATGGCCACAGGCGGGCCGCAGGCAGGGGTGGCGGGCATGTCGCGGAGGGTGTCCCGGAAGAAGGTGGTGTGGTTGACACGGTCCAGCCAGTTGGTGAAGCCCATGCCGTGCGCGCCGGACGCCGCCGTCAGCTGCACCGCCTGCCGGTGCAGCTTGGGGTCGGCAATCTGCTCGAAAGCCCCTTCAAAGAAGACGGGCTTGGCAAAGGGCTTCATGGCGCTCAGCAGTATCTGCACAATCCTGACGTCGTTGGGCCGCACTGACATGGTCACAAAGTTGGAGTCGATGATGATGTAGTCCAGCCAGGGGCTGGCAGCCAGCGTGAACACCGCGCTTGCGCCGTAGATGGCGTGCCCGCTGTTGAAGACTTCTGGGAAGTGCATGATGCAGCGGAAGCCGTGGGCTGCAATCCGCTGGCAGCAGGCCTCGTGCACCGAGTGCAGCCGCTTGTGCCTGAAGTGCTGCCAGTCCCAGTAAAACAGGTCGGTCATGGTGGAGTTGTAGTGCTCCCCATGCTGGTAAAACTTGGGCGGCTCCACAGCTTCCCAGTCATCAAAGCTGGTGGCCCAACGCTGGTTCCAGTGCCCCAGCCCAGCGCGCACGCCCTTCACATATTCCCGGAATGCCAGTGCTGCCGCCGGACTGTAATCCTGGGGCGCGTCACGCTCCTGCAAGACCATCGGGCTGCAGGCTCAGACGGCAAGCTCGCAGAAAGCGGCACCAGGTGGGGGTGGGGGTGCAGCAGCTGTGCCTAGCCGCCGCCTGGCCCAACCAGCACCGCATCCCACCTGCGAGTACTTTGACTCATACTCGTTGTTGAAGCTGGGCTGGATGGAGTGGATGCAGGAGGCGTTGTTGGCTGCCAGCTGCCTGAGCACCGCATCGTGCCAGGCGTGCGCCAGCTCCAGCGCGCCCGCGTGGTTGAAGGTGGCCGCGCCGCGGGTCAGATTCAGCACGTCCCTCAGCACGCCGTCTGGGAAGCGGCGCGCCACCCAGGTGGGCGTCGCGTCGGTGTCCAGCACCACCGCCAGCTTGAGCCCCTGGCCGCACACCTGCTCCTGGACATAGTTCATGACTGTGAAATCAAAGCCCTCCGGGTCGGGCTGCTGCCACTTCCACCTCACAGATATGAAAATGATGCCGACGCCCTGGTCCTGCGTGACGCGGCGCAAGTGGGGTGGCAACGCATCGGCAGCAGCGCTCTTCAGCATGGCAGGCCAGCAACAAATGGTGGGCCAGCCGCCAGGCAGGCAGCTCACCTGTACGCTGCGCAGCACCTCTACAAAGTTGAACTTGGCGATGACGGGCGGCAGGGACGTCTCCTCCTCCATGCCCAATGGGCAGAAAATCTCCTTGCCCCACAGCGACGCAAACACTTCCTGCATGCCACCTTCTGCGTTGCAGCAACCACTGCCGTCGCCGCTGCTGCTGGTGCTGCCGTCACCTCTGCCGTTGCTGCCGCTACGGCTGCTGCCAATGCTGCTGCTGCTGCCGCTACTGCTATGGATCCCGCCAACGCCATTGCTGCTGCTGCTGCTAGCAGCCATCAACATATGGCGCAGGCATATGACCGCCACGACTGCAGCCGCGGCTGCCTGGGCAGGCAGCCACCGTCGGCGGGCCTGTGTCGGTGCCATGTCATCTGCAGAGTGAAATGCCACGATGAAAGTTTGAGGGCCTGTTGTCTTGCAACACTGGCGCCGCGTGGCGGCGATGGCGGCGGGCAGCCAGTGCTGCAACCTGCATCGCCGCCGGCGATGCATCTGCTGACATTGGCCCGTACGTAAACCAGAGAGCTGGTGTAGCGATGCAGTCCGTCGAAGGCTGGGTGCAGCAGCGGCAGGCTGCCGAGCCCACTGCGCCGCTCAGGGGAACGAGGGATGGGGCTCCCTTCCCTGTAATGGTAAGATGGCGCGCCACAAGTTCAAAACACCCAGGTCGTTGGGTGGGTGGTTCAGGCTTCCTGCGACTTGAATATGAGCCAGCCAAGTGAGGGAGCACGTTGAGAACGATATTCGCTTACAATTGCAAGGGAGGTTTGGAACTCTGACTGAGCAGTTGTGTTGAACTGAATTCACCTAGCAGTACGCTCGCCCGCCAGGAGCGAGCATTGCCCACATGGGCATGCCCGTTCGCAGGAAGGATTGCCATGCTTTACATGTACAGGAAGCAAAATAAGAGGCTGGTGGGCAGAATACAAAACACGGCAGCAAAGAACAACGTGCCGGGGTGCAATCTGCTTGTGGCTGTCGTTTTGGAGGTCACGAAAGGCACATTGCTTGATCGGCGCCCAAGTGGGCTACTTCCTGCCTCCCGCCCGCTTCACCTTGAGCTTGCGCCTGCCAGACTCCGACTGAGAGCCGCCGCCACCAGTGCTGCCTATGCTGAACCCGCCGCCCATGCCGCCGCCAAAGGGGTTGTTGGGCACCATGCCTCCCGCGGCGGGGGCGGGGGCCGGCTGCTGGGGCTGCACCGCACCAAACGCAAACGCTGGGGTGCTGCTGAAGCCAGGTTGCTGCGGCTGGGCACCTGCAATGCGTCGCCAGGAAGGCATGCCAGGCATAAATGGACGTCCGAAGTACAGAAGATACATGCGGTGACCAACAGCTGCAACAGGGTGCGAGACACGGCGGCCACCCCTACTCACCAAATGCAGGCGCAGGCTGGGCTCCGAATCCACCAAACCCTGGCTGTGGGGCGGGCGGAGCGCCAAACCCAGCTGCACCAAATGCTGGTTGTTGGGGCTGCTGACCAAAGCCGAACCCAGAGCTGCCAAAGGTAGGGGCACTGCCGGGTGGGGCTGATCCAAACTGGAAGGTCGGAGCTGGCGCCGCAGCACTCGCACCATTGTTGTTGGTGCCGTTTTCTACCATTTCTGCAGCACGAGGAGGCAGGGCAGCAGCAAGCAGCAGATACTGATCACAGCAAGGGCAGTAAAGTGCGTCTAAGCAAGCTTCACCAGCCGGTGACAATGCACAATGTTGTGAGGCATTCTCGTATGACAGGAGAGCAGAGCACAGTAAAGTTGATGCGACATGCACAAGTATGGCTCTGAGCAGCAGCCCACCTATGGAGTCCATGCCATTGGCAAACCCTCCAGAACCGCTGCTCGCGCCAAACCCAAAGCCACCAACGGGCGGAGCTGTGGCCGGAGTAGCACCAAAGGCGAAGCCGCCTGCTGGCACGGCGGCACTGGACGCCGGCGGCTGCGTGGAAAAGGCAAAGCCAGTGCTGCCGGGGGGCGGGGCCGACGCACCAAAGACAACGGCGGCGCCGCTGGAAGCAGTGGGCGCTGCCCCAAGCTGAATGGGCTGCTGAGATGCCGCTCCAAAGTTAAATGGCGGGGCTGCCACCACCGGAGCTGCTGCCGGCTCGAACCCGGGCTGAGATGCTGCAGCACCACCAAAAAGGAAAGGCGCTGCTGCAGCTGCGCTGCTGGCAAGAGGTGCTGCACCCGCTAAGCCAAATGCTGAGGCAGCGCCAGCAGGCGCTGCCGCCGCGGAGGAGGCCGCACCACCAAAGGAGAAGACAGGTGCGCTAGCTGGTGCGCTGCTGCCAAAAGCAAAATCCACGGACGCAGCGGCGGTGCTCGCTGGCACAGCAAAGCTGATTGATGGCGCTGAGGCTGCTGCACCGCTCGCCGAGCCGCCAGGAGCAGCCCCCGCTATCTCCTTGGCAGCATCCTCTGCTGCCTGCGAGGCAGCAGCTTGATTGGCCTGCAGAGCATAAAGAACCGTCAGAACAGAAGCAAACTGCGCGCTGTGATGTGCTTTGGTTTTGCACATCGCAGCACCCAATACTAGAGCAGTTTGCAGGTCAACAACCACAAAATCCGCCTACCCACCTTCAAGAAGGTATCGCCCCATCCTGCCCCAGAGGCCGGGGCGCTGGTGCCAGGGGCTGCTGCTGCTGCGGAGGGGGCCGCAACCCCACCAAAAGCGAAGGGCAGTGCGCTGCCTGTCGCGGCAGCTGCTGCGCTGCTGCTGGCGCCAAAGGTAAACGAGGGGGTGGGAGCAGCGCCGGTGCCGCTGGTTGGCAAGCCAAAGGTGATAGCCGGTGCCGAGGCTGCAGGTGCGCCTGCTGTACTTGCACCGCCGCTCGGGGCAGCGGCATCTACCTCCTTGGCTGCGGCCTCAGCTGCCGTTGAGGCGGCAGCTTGGTTGGACTGCAACAGAATGCAACGACGGGTGATAATTCACAGTGTGCCACAGGTAGCGTGCGCCAGGACAGCAAGAAAAAGCTCGGCGTCAGCAACCCCCTTTCTACACGGCATACAGAAGGGCAGGCCCACATACCTTCAAGAAGGCCTCCCCCCAGCCTGAAGCGGCGGTGCTGGCAGGTGCAGGCACCTGTGCAGGGGCTGCTGCAGCGGCAGGGGTGCTGCCAGTGGCACCAAACAGAAGACCTCCCGTGGCCGCTGGCGCGGCAAAAGTGAGCCCCGCGGCGGCAGAGGAAGCGGGTGCAGAAGCTGCCCCGCCGGCTGTCGCGAAAGCTGGTGCGGAGGAGAGGGCTGCTCCAGCACCCAGGGAAAAGCCGAGAGCTGGCCCCGAGGCGGCGCTCGCGATCGGGGCACCAAAGCTGAACTTGGGTGCGTCTGCGGCAGCCGCCGAGGGCTTGCCGGCCTCCGCCTCCTTGGCGGCAGCCTCGAGGGCTTGCTGAGCTGCACAAGGGTGTCAGCATGTGAGCGGTCAGTGGGTTGCACCAGCAGGTGGCATGTCCTGCCCAAGAATCCAGGGGACGAGCAGCATGCGCTGCAGTCGGAAGGCGGGCGTCGGCTGTACATGGGACAGCACACATCCCTTGACATACGAAATCCAACGCAAGATGTGGCTGGGCAATCGGCTGTGCTGCATCATTTGGTGAGGAATGGCTCGCACCTGCAGCCTGGTTCTTCTGCAGGAAGCTCAGGTCCCAGCCACCACTGGCTGCTGCGGGCTTGGCGGCCTCTGAAGCAGGACAGGCAGGCAGCACGCCACTGAGTTCATCGGGCTTCAGGCAAGCGTGGCCAAAACACAGCGTGCAGTGTCAGTGAAACACAACCCACCTGCAGGCTTGGGTGCGGGCGCTGGCTCTGGTGCCGTCGGAGGCGGCTCCTCGTCAGACAGATCAGACTCTGGCAGCGGCGACTTCGCCGCCTCAGCAGCCGCCTGGTTGGCCTTCTCAGCCTCAGCAGGGGTCTTGGCGGCCTTCAGCAGCATACGCGTATGGGGGCGTCAGTTCTTTTGAACAATCTCTGGCGTCTTTCCCCTGCAAAAGCGCCCTGCGCCACTGCATTCCGGTGCCAGGAGCGCAGGGATGAGAAGTGCAGCATTCGCAAAGCACCAGGCGTACCGTCAGCGGCGTCCAGGCGCCCTCGGCTTCTTTGCCCTCTCCTGCCTTCTTGCCGCCAAAGACAAAGGTGGGGGCAAGGCCTGAAGCGGCGGCCGTGGAAGCTGCTGCGATGGATGCAGCCACCTTGCGATCCATGTCACTGCTACGAGTGCCACCAAAAGCAAACTTGGGGGCCGTCGACGTGTCAGCACCGTTGGCAGGCTTGGGGGAGGCAAACGCCGGCACCGCAGGCTCTGCTGGCTTGCTGGCGCCAAACAGCGGCGCCGGCGCCTCGGATGCCCGCGCCAGCTCGGCTGCAGGCTCCTTCGGTGCCGCAATTTCGCTGCGCTGCTTCATGGTGGGTGTACCTGCTGCTCCTGCAGAGGAGGGCTGAGCTGCTGCCAGCCCAAACGTGAAGGCTGCCGTGGGCTGCTGGACCTGCTGCTGCTTGCTGCCGCCGCCAGTGGCCTCTGCTGGCGCAGCCTGTGCCGCAGCAGCTTTGTTGGAAGCCAGGAGGGCCTCACCCCAGCCGCTGGCGGTGCCGGCAGCAGCTGCAGCAGGCACAGCGGCGGTGGCGACCTTGGCCATCGGTGACGACGCGGGTGTGGGCGTGGGAGCAAAGGACACGACGTTCCCAAACGTCACGCTCCTGGCCCTCTCCCCCTGGCCGCCACTGTCCGCCGGCTCGTGCGCAGGCTCCCCCCGGGGCAGGCCTGCAAGCGGTAGCCACGGGTCATTGGAAACAGGAAGCCCCACTCACAAGCGAGAGAGCGGACAGCTGTGGCTGCTGAGCAGGCCTCGCCAGCCGGCAAGGCGCCTGCCCGCCCTACCTGCAAAGCCTAGCGAGTCGGTTGGGGGCGGGGACGCTGCGGGCTCCACACCCTGCTGCGCCTCGCCCATCGCCGCCGCCACCGCTGCCGCGCCAACGCCTGTAGGCGATGCCGCCACCACCTTGTCGAGGGCATCAAGGGTGGCTAGGATGCGGCGGGCGGTGTCAGTTGTGGCCTTTCCCCCTGCTGGCGCTGCGGCTGCCGGCGCGCCAGGCAGCAGCCCTGGCGGGGCTGCCGGGCTGGCGCCATTCTCCTGCTGCGGCGGCGGCTCCCAGCAACCGCCGAGCCCGCCCCATGCCGCCGCCGGCGGCTGCTGCTTCTGCTGCTGCGCAGCGCCGAAGCGCGACAGGCCTGCCGCCTTGGGGTGGAAGGGCGTGCGCCCTGCATTCCAGGCTCGCCGGTCGCCCCTGGCGCCAGCCCCGCCGCCGACTGGCTCCGACCGCTGCCGGATGCGGCGCTGCGCATCCAGGAGGCTGATGGTGCCGGCGTCGCCGCCCCCGGCATCTGCACCCAAGCAAGCAAGCGCGTGCGCGGCGCAGGTTGGGGGGGACCCACCCAGGGCGCAGCCCACCGGCAGCACAGCACAGCGAGAGGCATGCGGATGCAGAGTGATGAGCCCTCCACACGCGCTGCCAGCGGCTGCCCACCTGCATCCGGGCTGGCTGAATCCGCCTTCCGCTTTGTGCCGCTCGCAGGGGCACCACCGCGGCCGCCGGTAGCCAGGTTGCTGCGCATGGGGGTCCAGGCCAGTGGTGCCGGCGACAGCAGTGCAGTGCCAGGCCCGCTGCCAGCGCCTGCTGCCTCGTCGCCTGCTGCAGCCGCCACGGCGGCAGCTGCCAGGCCGAAGCGAGAGGTGCCGCCGCCGCCGCTGCCCGCGGGCCTGCCGGCAGCCAGCGGCTGCATGTGCACCGGGGTGCGGGAGAATCGGCTGTTGCTGCGCGCAGTGTAGGCCGTGCGCAGGCCGGTGGATGGGGTGGAGCTGCCGCCGCCTGCTGCGTGCAGCCCCAGGCGGGAGCCTCCAAAGCCGGCGCCTGCCCTCGGCCCGCCGCTGGGCGGCAGCGGCGAGGGCGACGTGCTGCCACCAAAGGCCAGCGCGGGCCCGGGGGTGCGCCCCGCGCCTGCCGTCAGCAGGCTGCTCGAGCGGGGGCGGGGGAAGGAGCGGGGCGAGTTGGTGGCCAGGGGGCCCTGCCGCAGCATGGCGAGCACGCTGTCATACGGGGTGCCGCTGCCGTCGCCGTCGACGCCCCGGGGTGGCACTTGGGGTGTGCCTGCTGCTGCCTCCTCTGCCTCGTCCCCCGTGCCCATGGGCGACTGGAACGCCACTCTGCGTGTGTGAGCAGCAGCCGCCTGCGGCGCTGGTGGCTGCGCGGGGCCCTGGGAAGCGCCCCGCAGGCCCGGCCGCGGCAGCGAGGCGGGGCTCGCCGCCGCCCGTGCCAGCTCGCGCCCTCCCTGCATCTGCTCCTTGCCGCTGCCGCCATCGCCCGCACCCTGGGTCTGCGACTCCAGCACCACCTCGACATCGCCATCCATCTCATCGTCTGCACACCACAGCACACACCATCACGCGTTAGGTGGGGCACCGATGTGCAGCTGTCGGTCAAGGTTGAATGCGCACGATGCATTCTGGTCGCAGCTGGCAGCAACAGCTGGCCAGAGCCAATTTTACAGCTGTTTGGGTTCAGCTCATAGTGTATGTATGGTAAATGGGTCAACACGATTCCTCTTGCTGCTGCTGCTGCTGTTGCTGGGCTAGATGCAGAAGCAAGCAAACAAGCGGCCCCACCTGTTGGCGGCGGTTCAGCGGCGGCGGCGGCAGGTGTTCCAAAGTAGCTGCCCAGCACCGGGACCTGCCACAGCAGCCGTTCAATTTTTCAGTGGGCAGCGGCAGGGAAGCACACAACGCGGCAGGGCGTCCATGGAATGAAAGGCCTCACCTTGGTGATCAGAGTTCGCAGGCTCCCAAACAGTCCCCCTGGCGCCGGCTCGCTGGCAGGCTGCTCCTTCAGCGGCCCCTCCTTGGCTACGGGCTTGGGGCCGGGCCTGCTGTAGGGGGTCTTGCCAGTCTGCGTGCGGTGGCGCCTCCCCCGCTGCGCCTTGCCATAGCCCCCGCCTTCATATCCATCCGCCTCCTCCATCAGCCCCCTGCCCGCACCGATGGGCGCCCCGACACACACAAATTCGCGAGTGAGGCCTGCCCAGCCGGGCACCAGAGGATACGGACGAGTGGAATGGAAGATGCGACGAGTGGAAATGATGCTGCGCCCAGGCGCGGGGTGGGAAGCCTTGTTCCCGGGCGGCCCGCCAGACGGGCGGAGCGGGCAGGTCGGTTCAGCAACACGGGAAAATGTAGATGGCAACTTGACCCAGTGCATCCTCCTTGATCCATTTTCATCCTGCAGGCCAGTGTAAATCAAACGCGGCATGCATTTCTGCTGCCGACGCGAAATGCCGCAGGTGGCGGCGGGAGGCGGCTGTGCAAAGTGTGCGAGGCAGACTCAGGGCGGCTCAAGATAATTGGACAGGCCCTGCAGAAGGCTGCCCTGCATGGGAAACCTCCCCGTGTTCGGTTGGGGTGTAGCGCTGCGGGCGAGGGCCACAGCATAACGCCCCACTGTCCTCGAGGGCACAGCATGCAGGGCAGGCGTGAGTTTTCTGTGGTCCCTGACGCTGTTCGGCTGCTTTGGCTCTGCGCTTTGGCTCTGGCGCTGGACTGCTGCGCTGACTCTCCCACATCATCCAGATTCACCAGCAATGGCACTCCGGCACCTCGGAGGTCGGCTGTCGTGCCACCTTCTGCGGCCAGGGGCTCCTGCCTCGCTACAGCTGGTTTCATGGCTCGGCAACACTGCCGCGTCTCCTGAGGATGCCCTGGAGGTGGCGAAAGCCTTGCAGGCGAACCAGTTTTTGGAGACCGAGTTGCAACGAATGAGGGCTGAACGGGCAGCAATCTCCCACGCCGAGCTGCTCGACTACATGCAGCAGAGGTGGGCCCCATCGCGCTGATGCAGATTGTACCGCCGCCTTGCGCCGGCGCCGCCCACTCATGCTTTCGCCCTTCGCCACCGTGTGCAGGGGCTTCACCCCGGGTGCAGCAGCAGATGTGGTGGGGCGGCTGGAAAAGTCGGGCGCCATGCTTAACCTCAGCGGCACCATCTTGCTGCGGCCCGGCGAGGTGGCGGAAGCGCTGGCAATGGTGAGGACGTGGAGCAGGTGTGTTGCTTTTTTCCCGCTCCGAGCTGCTGCACATGGTGGTGCCTGCTGCATACAGCCGACTTGAGCTTCTGGGCGCCCTGCAGGTGCTGCCCAGCAGCTTGGAAACCGCCACCGAGCGGCTGCGTGCGGCACAGCAGGAGCTGGCAGCCCTAGATGCCCAGCAGGCCAAGATTGGGCGGCGAGCGGCATGGCGGCAGCACGGCTTGGTCTGGGGCGGGCTGTCGTCGCAGCTTGCGCTCTGGGGCCTCATGTATCGGCTCACCTTCTGGGAGCTGTCATGGGATGTCATGGCAAGTGCCTGCTCGGCGCAGCCTGCTTCAATCGCATCACCATACTTCGGCCTGTGCACACCTCGCTGCTGAGCTCCTCGGCGCCTGGCAGCCTCCTGCCCTGCCCTGCGATGGCCCTCTCTGAAACGCCGCCCTGCCCTGCCCGCTCTGCCACTTCAGGAGCCCATCTGTTTTTTTGTGGGGGGTGGACAGGCGCTCATGTGCTATGCCTACTTCATGCTCACACGCCGCGAGTTCACCTGGGAGGCGGCGCTGGAGCGCTATGTGGGCCGCTGGGAGGCTACTGAGCTGCAGCGCGCCGGCTGGGATGCGCGGCACTATGCACGCCTGAAGGTCGAAGTGCAGCGGCTGGGCGAGCTGGTGCAGGCGGCGCAGCAGCAGGAGGAGCGGCAGAGGCTGGCTGAGGCGCAGCAGCAGCAGGAAGAGCCTGCCCAAGGAGTGTCAGCGGCAGAGGGCAAGAACGATGCGTGATGGGCGTGCGGTTAAATGCAGCGGCACCTGCGGCGCACCATACCCCTGCCTTGCATGTTTTTTCGCTGGGCTCAATTGTGTACATGACTGATTCACCTTGTATGGCTCAATAATGCTTCGACAACTTGTTTTCAGCAGCGCCAGCACGACAGGCTCGCTGTAGTGGCGGGTGGCACTCCTTTTCTGTACCAGCTGTTTTGATCACAATCGCCTCAGGGAAACGCTCACTGTATTGCCTGTTCAAAAGTATTGAAATTTGCCTCACAGAGGCTGCGAAAGCTTTGAGACGAACACCAGGGGCCGCGCAGGCCGTGCCGGCGGCCCTATTCTCATCGTATTCAGGCTGCTGCATTTCATGCGTTGTAGCACATGCACGCCCCATAGGTGAGTGCGCTAGCGCAGCAGCGTTCGGTTGAGCGGCCTTGCTCATCGTTTCAGGGAAGACAAGTTTCATGTGCATCAGTACGGCAGGCGCGTTACAGTTCCATCGCCTGGGGAGGCTGCAAGTTTCCCGCCGCTGCCGCCGCTCTCACCCGCTCCCGCCCCCCGCGTGTGCAGGCCAAGACAGCGATGCGCCTTTTCAGAATGGGAGCCGTGCAACTCTCTGCGCAGAAGATACCACGCGCCACTAAGCTGGCAGTCTTGGTGCTGCTGAGCGTCGCTGCTGTCACCAACCTAAGCAGTTTATCATCTGGTTCAGGCTTGGGCGGCGGCCTGCCAGCGATGCCGGCAAAGCCGCAGCCAGTCCTCATGTTCATGTATTCCCGCACCGGCAGCAGCCTGATGACTGAGGCGCTCAACCTGCACCCCCGCATCCTCTTCATGCCCGAGATGTACAATTCCGAGGGCCACTGGCAGGGCACCAAACCACGGGTGTCCTACTTCTTTGAGGGCGGCTACGTAGACGAATACAAGCAGTTTCGGCAGCGCTCCAAACAGTTCAGCGCGCCGCCAAAGGTGTTTGGCCAGCTTCAGGCGGTGGGCTTCAAGGTGCGCCCTCTGGAGACGGGCTTGCTTCCGGGCTCCAAGCAGTGGCGCGTGCTGGAGCGAGTGCGGCCCAAGTTGATCTGCTCCCACCGAAGGAACCTGGTCAAGGGGACGCTGTCCATGCTGCGGGCCGACGAGCTCAGCAACCGCTGCGGCACTGCAAACGTCATCAAGCGCCGCAATTGCTCGCTGCCGGCGGGATGGGTGCCTGCGCCGAGCGCCTTCAAGCGGTTGCTGGTCAGCCGGATGCACGAGGCACAGCAGTTTATTGACGTCTGTTCTCATGCGGCAGAGAGCTTCAACACGCTGTTCATCGCCTATGAGGATCTGCTGGACGACCTGCCTGGTGCCATGGAGCGCATCTTGCGATTCATCGACATGCCTGCAGCAGACAGGGCGCCGTTTTTGGCCGCCATTCGAAACAATACGCTGCCTATTGGCCTGCGGAAGAACACGCCCGACAATCTCAAGGAGCTGCTGCCATCAGACAGCCTGCATGACTTACAGGCTGCTGCTGAGCAGGTGTTTGCCAGCGAGGTTGCTGGACTTTTCGCTTGATGCGCCCAGCCTCGTGTGCTGCCCTTGGTACTGATTGTAATTGTGGGCTACCGTCCCATCCCCCCAAAACTGCAATCGAGGCAGAGAGAGACCTGCGTTGCCGGATGTGTGCTATGGCCACCCGTGGTGCAAGTTGTGGTGGTGCCCTCACGTGGTGCATATCGCCGCTGCTGCCTGGTGCCTAATCCCGCCGCCATCTGTTGCCTGCTCCCGTTGCATAGGACACGATGCAGCATGCAAGTCGGGATGCAGGTATGAAACACCTTTTGGGCGGCTCGCGCCAAACACTGCCAGTCGGCACAGGTGTACCGCCGGGCGCGGCACGGTACTGCATGCACCATGTAGGAAATTCAGCGATGGTTGCTCTATTCTAATCAGCATTACACCCACCATTCAGCACCAGCCCTGCATCCAATCATAGTCAAACTTGATTTGAACGCTGGGGCCCAACAGTTGCTGCCGGGGAGAGAGAGTCCACTTCCTTTCATGCGTTTCATTCTTAGTACCACTGCATACGTACATTGCGGTGCCCCCTTGAAGACGGTGCGCCTGGCTGGAGTGAGTGAACACGTTCTGCTGTCAAGCGCAGCGTCATTTGATTGTGCACTTGCTTTCGCTTGTCCTCTGTCAGCGCCACAGTCTTGGCCGGGTTCCGTGCCGATGCCCATGTGGCGCCACTGCCGGCACCGCCGCCACCGCTGCCGCCGCCGCAGGCTTTAGTGCAAGCCGGCCATGCTGCGACATTTCACGGACATACCGCTTGCTGCAAAGGTGGCAGTCATTGCCATGCTAAGCGTGGGAGCCGCAGCTGCGGGGATGTTCTCGTTCACCTGCAGCGGCGCCAGGATGGGGAGATCTGACGGATGGCGCCAGCGACGGCATGGGCAAGCAGGCGCAGGCGCAGCCGCTGCTCATGTTTATCTACGCCCGCACCGGCAGCAGCCTGATGACAGAGACGCTGAACCTGCACCCCCGCATCGTCTTCACGTCGGAGCTGTTCAACTCCAACAGCGACTGGGTCGGCGCCGACCCGCGGGCGGAGAGATTTTTTGCCGGTGATTACAAGGGCGTTTACGAGCACTACCGGAACAACAGCATTCAGTACACCGTGCCGCAGAAGGCATTCAATCAGCTGCATGCTGTTGGGTTCAAGGTGCGCAATGCGGATGCGGGCTTGCTGCCTGGTTCGGAGCAGTGGCACGTGCTGGAGCGGGTGCGGCCAAAGATCATCTGCAGCTACCGCAAGAGCCAGGTCAAAGCGGCGTTATCGCATCTTCGGGGTTTGGACCTTGCAAAACACTGCGGCACCGCAAACATCGTGCAGCGTCACAATTGCTCGCTGGCTGCGGGGTGGGTCCCCTCGCCAGATGCCTTCAAGGAGGCACTAACTTTATACCATAATGAGACTCAGCGGTTGATGAACGCTTGTTCTAGAGCAGCGGAGAGCTTCAACACTATGTTTGTTGCTTACGAGGACCTGCTAGATGGCCTGCCTGGCATTATCGGACGCATATTAAGATTCATCGACATGCCTGCCGCGGACAAGCGCCCCTTCATGGCCGCGCTTCAAGGCAACTCGCTGCCTATTGGCCTGCGGAAGAACACGCCTGACGACTTGACTGAGCTGCTGCCACCAGATAGCCTTCGAGAGCTGCAGGCTGTGGCTGAGCAGATGTATGCTAGCGAGGCAGCTGCATCCTTCTCCTGACCTCCCTTGTGCTTCTTGTAAGTGTAAAATATCATTTCATGTGATTGACCAGTTATAGATGATCAGAGTTTGCCCAGGCGCCAGGCTAGGAGTGGCAGGACAGCAAAACATGCACCACAGCTTCATTCCTGTTCAGATAAGGTTTATGCGTAGCGACACCACCACCACATCCTGCTGGTGCCAGCATCATGCCAGCACGTGTCGAATTCACATTCTTGAGTTGCCCACCTGTTACCGGCTGACAAGGTTTTAACCAGGCAATCTCCCAGATACCCCACACCCTTCCTTGCACACCCAGCCCGCAGCCGGGAATGGCCCACCAGCGCATGCAAGGACGTAAACAAGTGGCCAGCGCCGGCAAGACCGTGGCGCACCAGCGTTCGTCGCGGCAGCAGGGACCTTGAATGGCAAGCAGCAACAGCGGCACAAACAGTGAGCAGAAGCAGATTGGCGCCATCCTGTTCCCATAAGAACCGAGCGAGGGCAGCCACTGAAGAGAGGAAGATGCACCGGCGACAAGTTTGCCGCGGGGCGGCAGGTGGCGGCCACCGCTAGCTGCCTGTCGTCGTGCAGCCAGTTCCGCACCGCAAAATCATGGCGGCAGTGAAGGATGACCTCAACCACGCATGAATGAGCCATTGCGGTGGTGTCTGGGACCGAAACAGGGGTTGTCAGCCGCAGAACGTGGTAGACGACCCGGGAAGGAGGGGAGGGAGGAAAGCCCCTGATCCACACTCTTTGTCTGGCATCCAGCTCTTGTTGTACCTACCTATTGGCCTGTTGGGTTGGGCTGTGTTGCCGAAGCGCCAGCAGCCCAAGCAAACATGCAGACGATTGCCAGCCAGAGGGTGCTGGCAGGCCCCACGCAGGCCGGGGCCCGCTCCAGCAGGCGGCAGCAGCATCTAGTGGCCTTCTCTGGCTTCCGCCGGGCCAGCGCGGTGGACGGGCTGGGCAGCAGCGGCAATGCTACCCTCCAGGCAGCCGTGCAGCGCCAGGTCTCCGCTGCGGCCCGCTCCTCCGGCGTCAAGGTCATGCGCGTGACGCGCATGATGTTTGAGCGCTTCACGGAGAAGGCTATCAAGGTGGTGATGCTCGCCCAGGAGGAGGCCCGCAGGCTGGGCCACAACTTTGTGGGCACGGAGCAGATCCTGCTGGGCCTGATTGGCGAGTCCACGGGTGAGCAACGGGCGCGGCTGGCTGGATGGGCGGCGCGCATCGCGAGTTGCCGCCACGCCCCGGGCGGCGCCGCCGCGGCGCACGTGCCGGCTGCTTCCGGCTCACACCAGGCTGCGCGCCGCGCCCCTGCCTGCAGGCATTGCCGCCAAGGTGCTCAAATCGATGGGGGTGACCCTGAAGGACGCGCGGGTGGAGGTGGAGAAGATCATTGGGCGCGGCAGCGGCTTTGTGGCAGTGGAGATTCCCTTCACGCCGCGCGCCAAGCGCGTGCTGGAGCTGTCTCTGGAGGAGGCGCGCGCCCTAGGTGCGCGGCCGCCGCCGCAGCAAGGAGCCCGCCCCTCGCGCCCGCCGCGCTCCCGCCTGGCGGGCCGCCCCGCTCCGCACCACGAAACTGGCGTTCGGGGGGCACTGCGGCGCCGCCGCCGCCGCCGCGCCGGCCTGCCGCCCCCTCGCGCCCCTCCCCCGCATGCCGGCCGCGGCCCCGGCCTGCTCCCACCCGCGCCGGCACCAGCGCCTGACGGCCGCCGCCTGCCCTGGCGCCTCCCCCTGGTGCAGGCCACAACTACATTGGCACCGAGCACATCCTGCTCGGCCTGCTGCGCGAGGGCGAGGGCGTGGCGTCCCGCGTGCTGGAGACCCTGGGCGCCGACCCGCAGAAGATCCGCACGCAGGTGGGGCTGGGGGCGGGGTCGGTGGGGAAGCTGGGGCCCGCCTGCTGCGCCACCTGCTGAGCGGGGGACACTGACCTGCCTTGTGGCATGCCTCCGCTGAGTTTGAATTTTGCGGCAGCACGAGGGAGAGAGTTGTCGGTGTGGCTGGCCTCCCTCCGCGCTGCCATGGCCACGCGGCGAAAGCACGGCAGCGGGGAGGCAGGGCAGGCCGCGCCGGGCTTCCAGGCAGCTCCTCGATTGCGCGCCGCCGCCGCCGCCGCCGCCGCCTCCCGCAGGTCATCCGCATGGTGGGCGAGAGCCAGGAGCCTGTGGGCTCCACCGTGGGCGGCGGCTCCAGCGGCAGCAACAAGATGCCCACTCTGGAGGAGTACGGCACCAACCTGACGCAGCAGGCGGAGGAGGGCAAGCTGGACCCGGTTGTGGGGCGCAAGAAGGAGATCGAGCGCGTGACCCAGGTGCGAGGCGCGGCCGCGGCGGGGCCGGCCGCGGCAGGCGCGCCGGCGTGCCTGCCCAGTGCGGGAGCTTGCTGTGGCGGGAGCGTGTCTTGTGCTCCGCTGTAAGGCAGGCGCCAGGCTGTCGGCGCCTTGCGCACGAGTGCGTGGCAGCGCTGGGTGCGCCTGGGCGGGAGGCTGAGGCTGCCTGCCCGCCTGCCTGCTGCCGCTCGCGCACCTGCGCAGATTCTGGGCCGCCGCACCAAGAACAACCCCTGCCTGATTGGCGAGCCCGGCGTGGGCAAGACGGCGGTGGCCGAGGGCCTGGCCCAGAAGATTGCCACAGGCGACGTACCAGAGACAATTGAGGGGAAGCAGGTGCGCTAGCTGGCGGGAAAGAGGTGGAAAAAGGCGGGCGGCGGCGTGTGCGGCGCCGCACCGGGGAGCATCGCCTTGGAGCCACCCGCGCCCGCCCTGTGCTGCCCTGCTGCATCTGTGGCGTTGTCGTGTTCGCTTGCTGGCCAGCTTGCTGGCCTACCCAGCTGGCCGCCCCGGGCATCGCCCCGCTGCACCTCTCTGCGTCGTCAGCGACCGAGCGACTGAACGGCTGTGCTGTGCCTGCGCCTGCCCCGCCTTCTTCCTGCCCCTCCTTTCCTCCCAGGTCGTCACGCTGGACATGGGCCTGCTGGTGGCGGGCACCAAGTACCGCGGCGAGTTTGAGGAGCGGCTGAAGAAGCTGATGGAGGAGATCAAGCAGGTGTGTGTGTGTGTGTGTGGTGGTGGTAGGGAGCAGGGGGCGAGGCCGGCCGGGGCCGCGAGGCGGCGGCGGCAGCGCGCAAGCAGAGCACCGAGCGCCGTGGTGCCCTGGGTTGCCCGCCCGGATGGGATGGACCCCACGCCGCCGTGCCTGGTCGCTGTGGTTGCCGCCCAGCGGCACGCCTGGCGCGGCGCTCTCTCTGCCGCTAGCCGGAGCCTGGCCGCCCTGAGCGCCCCACCCCACCCCCGGGTGCCCCTGCTCGCTTCTGGCTGCTCTCTCCCGGCCTGCCTGGCTGCCCTGGGCGCCCCCCACCGGTGCCCCTGCTCTCTCCTGGCCTGCTCGCTTCTGGCTGCTCCCTCCTGGCCCGCCTGGCTGCCCTGGGCGCCCCCTCCCAACCCTCTGGCGCGTCTCCTGCCCCCCCCTGCAGAACGACGACATCATCCTGATGATTGACGAGGTGCACACGCTGATCGGCGCTGGCGCGGCGGAGGGCGCCATCGACGCCGCCAACATCCTCAAGCCCGCGCTGGCGCGCGGCGAGCTGCAGTGCATCGGCGCCACCACGCTGGACGAGTACCGCAAGCACATCGAGAAGGACCCCGCGCTGGAGCGGTGAGTGGTGGTGGGGCTGTGCGTAGTGTGTGCCCGCCAGCGGGGCTCGCCAGCAGTGCGTTGTCCTGCCCGCCGCCCGCCCAGCCCTGCGCCCGCTGCTCGAGCCTCGACCGCAGCCGCCCCCCGCTGCTGCCCCCCTGGCCTGCCCCCTTGCAGCCGCTTCCAGCCGGTGCACGTGCCGGAGCCGTCTGTGGAGGAGACGTACGAGATCATGCTGGGGCTTCGCGAGCGGTACGAGGCGCACCACAAGCTGCGGTACACCGACGAGGCGCTGCGGGCGGCCGCCAAGTACAGCTCGCAGTACATCTCCGACCGCTTCCTGCCCGACAAGGTGCGAAGAGGGAGGGAGGGAGGGAGGGAGGGAGGGAGGGAGGGAGGGAGGGAGGGAGGGCGAGGGAGGGCGAGGTGGGCAGGGGGCGTGTGGGTGTGCTCCAGCGTTGGGGAGCAAAACAGAGGCAGAGTGGCATGGCGTGGAGGCCCAAGCCTCCAGGCCAGCTCGCCAGTGTCGACCTGCCCACCTCGCCCTT